GCCAACGTTTACATACTCCTCTGTCGATGAATCCTGAGGAAGATTTGCGTTATACTACGAAAATCTGCAAAGCAAATCAAAACAAAGAACGATTCTTTCCAAGCTCTCTTTCCTTTGCCTCTGAAAACACGTTTTGCCATAACTCAACCCACGCTTTCTGGTTAGATCTCAATTCTTTGTGCGGATTGCGAATAGCAAAAGATAATGCATGTCGTACTCTAGTAGTGAGTGCTTTGAGGGCGAGCATTGATTTCCAATCCTTGACAGAGAATCGAATGCGCGCGCCGTCTATGGCAATTATTCCAGCGTATAACTTTCGTTCTATGTTAGTAAATCGAGTGGAAAAAAGCCAGTATACATCTGCAAGGGAAAATGCAGGGAGAGAAAGAAGGATGCATAACAGGAAGCAGGAGCGGATTAGTTCCCCCCCCCCCGACGTCCAAGCAGAGTAACTCCATATTAAAATCTCCTCCGGTCCCCCCTCTTGGGCGTTAGAATATCGATATATTTCGAGGGCGCACTACCGCCTGAAAGCCACTTCGTTCTAGCATAGCGGATGGAGTTAAGTAGACAGAGCGGCAAGCACACAGGTCGAGACTCGGCCGCAGGTTTCAAAGCATCCAGCATCCGCAAAGACCCCATGGAGATCCATCCGCGTAAAATATTCGACCGACGCCCGTTACATTGGCGTTTCAAGCCGATGCCGGAGACCGCGTTCGTGGTTCCGACCGTCATTGAGGATCTGAAATACCGATGGAGCCCCGAGGAGGTTGTGAGATGCACCGCCAGTGCTCCGGAATTGCAGAACGCCATTGCGGCATGTGGGGATTATGGAATTAGCGGTGGTGCTTGTGGGAGTATATTTGCGGGAAGGACACAGGTTGTTCCGGGGGAAGCTGATCAGTTCTGTGCAATCGCGGCGAGGGAAACGGGCTGTGCGGTTCTCACGGGCGACTCCGATCTGCTCGTGCATGACCTTGGCGCGGAAGGCTCAGTGATATTTATCGATTCAATTGAGACGGGTGACCCGCTGCCGAATTACAAGCCGGCCGGCGCCGGCGCCGGCCCCGGCCCCGGGCCGGATATTGCAAGTATTTTCAGCATACGGGCAACGCAAGTACGCCCAGCGACAGTCGCCAAGAAACTGGGTGTGCCCAGCTTCCAGCGCCTAGCCTACGAACTGAACAGGGATTCGCACGCATCGTTTCCAACAATCATCCAGCGCGCCAAGGGCAGCGACAGCCTGGGCATCGTTGCGAAAAGCGCCAATTACATCGCGTTTATGAAGGAGTATGATCTCGGTGGCCATGCGGCCGCGGATTCCTGTGCGTGGATTTCCAACACTCTCACTGCGATTGCGGACCCGCGACTCTCTGAGCTGTATGCTCAATATGAATTACCGGCGTTCGCCGTGCCTGGGGAGGCGGCAAATGTCTATCTCCACGACTTGATTGAGCACCATGACCGACGCACGGCGTGGACGCAGGGAAGCGAATTCCGGCTGATCGCCTACTCACTATTGAACCAGAGGTATGCTACGGGTGGTGCTCAGGGGCGGCGGAAAGAGGCTGTGATTGAGCATATGCGCAAGGGGCAGCGGATAGCGCCTGTCCTTTTTGCTCTTCTGGGACGCAGGGAGGTGGAGGAAAGACTGGAAGCTTTTCTGCAGCAGGTTAATCTGTTTGTCTCGGCCGTTTATAATGACGACGCTGGTGGTGGTGGTGGTGGTGATGGCGATGATGGCAATGGCGTTTGTGGCGGGAGTGCACGCGACCCCACTGCCTTATGGAGGGCGTTTGCGCTCTACGATATCCTCGCCCGCATGGCACCCGACGAGAGACCGAGCGTGGGACAGCTGCGCAGGTTCTTGGAACGCGGGTATTGTGGGGAGAAGCTGGAGTGGGACGATATCCACCTCCACGCGCAGAGGAAGGCGGTGCTGTACTCGTTGCGCATGCTGAAGGATGTCCTCGCTGCGAGCGGAGAGATGCCTGAACCAATGCTGGACGAGGGGTTGGCTGCGTTGATATCTGAAGCGACGGGGCTGTTGGGAGATCTGCCGTGGTTGCGCGATTGTCACCAGCGCACTTGTGGGATTGGGGGGGATGAGGGCGGGGAGGGGCCGCGCAGGGTGGTCGAGGGGTTGGTTTTGCTTCTCAAGGAAGAAGGGGAGGGAGAGGGGGGGCAAGAGCTGGGTGGAAGCCTGGTTGAAGGACCTGGCTTGTTGGGTGCGTCTTCTCACCACCAGGGTGATCGTGGACAGCTCAATAATGCGTCTACGGCTGGAGCGGGGGAGGGATGGATCGGCGCGTCCAAATTGCCGAGTAGTAGGAAAGGGAAGAAGAGGAGGAGGAGGACGGCGAGCAAGGGTGCGGCTCACGAGAAAGCACCAACTACCGCGAAACATGCGATGAACATCTATGATATTCTCCGACAGGTTGATTGAATTTGGTTGCCATTGTATGCGTTGCGTATGTATGTGTCTGTCCACAGGTAGATGACAATTCTGAAAATGAGAAATTCCTTGAGTTTATCGTAGAAGAAGAACTGGATTAGCCTAGCCTCCTCATCTAGCTGTGAGGTACACAATTAGCGCACCATTTCTGTGAGCAATTTCATGACTTTTTTTTCTTTTTTTCTTTTTCTGGTTTATTAGCTTATATTGCCAATCTGTATCTGACAGATTACTTAGCGCTAACTAATTGACTCTTAAAATACTCCGTAGAGACATTATGATTCACTAACTATGAATCTAATCTCACGAAATCTTACCTCGCTAACGACGATAGCTGGCTCAGAGTCCTGAAAAATAACTATAATCAAAAGAACCAAAAGAAAAGAAAAAAAAAAAAAAAAAAAAAAAAAAAAAAAAAAAAAACCTTGCTGTGATAAAAAGGACAAAAAGACAATAAACATGAAAATAAAAAAAGGATCAGAAAAAAAGAAAGAAAAGAAAAAGAAAGACAAAGAACAATAAATCATAACACTCATAACCTCTCTATAAACCCGCTTTTTCTATCCGGCGATCTTCCTCGTGTAGCCTCGGCGGTATCAGCCCCAGAAGTAGTAGTAGTAGTCCGGCCCTCAACCTCCGGCCGTGGGCTAGCATCTCTCAAACTACTCGGCTCAGCCTGATCCGTAAACGGATTCTCGCGGAGCGTAGCGCCATCAGCCTGACTTCCATACGTGGGCTCCCTACTGCGACTCCGACCCCTCTCCGCCTCTGCGGGTCCTGGCTCTGACTCTCCTCCGTGTAAATCGACCGTTACCGTGCTGGCCGCCGGCCCAGCCTTGGGCACGGTGCCGGCCTCCATCCGCCCGCCCAACTCATACGGCCCGCTCCCGTCCACATGCCTCGTCAGCCCCAGCTCCTCTTGCTCCTCATAATAGCCCGCGCCAGCACCCCCATACCCGCCCTCCCCGACGCGCGAATCCCAGATCTCATCGTGCGCATATGCACCGCCGCCAGCGCCGCCACTGCCAAAGCCACGGTGGCCACCCGCGCCCGCGCCCGAGTCCAATGGCGACTCATAGGCGCCCCGCGCGGTGCGCCGGTTGCGCATGGCGTCCCATTTATCCTTGAACCAGTCGCCGATGCCGCCGGCGCGCGGTTTGGGGTAGCTGCTGTCTCTGAGGTATTGGGACGACGACGAGGAGGAGGAGTTGAAGGCGGACGAGAAGGGAATGTAGGATTTTAGGGGGGGTGGTGGGAGGCCGGAGCGGCGGGCGCGGAAGTGGGTGAAGGCTATCCAGGCGACGTAGGCGAGGAGAAGAAGGAGGACGATTATTATGACAACGACGAACCAGTGCATGGCTTTTTTCTGGTGGTGTTTTGGATTTCGGGTTTTCTTTTTTGGGAAGTTGTTTTTTTTTCTTTTCTTTCCTTGCTTCTTTTTTCTTTCTTTTTCTATCTGGACCGGGTTTTGTGGCGTGGTTTTTGGGGGTAAGAGAGAGGTGGTCCAGGCCGTCTATAAGAATAGTATGCGATGATCCGCTTTTTGCTTGTTCAGAGACCTGCCGGCGGAATGCAGATGGATCGGTAACCGGTTAGCTATGCCTGACTGGCAGCGGATATCAGCTTGGATGCATGGGAGAGAGGTGTGGAGGAGGATCGAGGGCGCAAGTAGATATTAGGGTAATTCGGGGTTGTCGATGCAAGGGCGAAGATGAGCAGTACAGCAGTGTATGGCGAGGGAATGGGGTATATTGAAGGGAGATATACTTGAGCCAGAGATATTTGAGAGAGAGAGAGAGAGAGAGAGAGCGTGTTGGATGTCAGTTGCTGAGATTGTCCAAAGTCCGGGAAAGCGAGATGAGATGTCGGCACAGCGCCAAGAGCCGCCATGGCTGAGTCAGGATCATCCGGGATCTCCTGCTAATAACTAGTGGACATGGACGGAGTACGGAGTACGGAGAACATACGGAGTACATACGGAGTAGAAGAGCTAAGCATGTCAGTATGCGCCGTCCACAGCAGCATCCACAGAGGACACAGGCGCCATTGGCAGCCCGGAGCATACACGCCTCACCTCGTTGCCGTGTCCGTCGCTGGAGCCACACTCACTCTGTCGATGTCTATCTATCTACTATCTACTCTGTGCTGCTCCGCAAGACCCCATGCTTGATAATCCAGAAAAAGCAATTTCCAGCGCTGTAAATTGCAGCGTAGCTCCTGCAGGCTGCTCGCTGTGGGCTAGAACTGGTAGCGGCCCTTGGCCTCAGCGACGGCGTGCAAACAAGCAAGGGATGCGTTTATTTTAGTTTATTGTAAGAGACTCTTGGCTTGTCGGTAATTAAATCCATGTAGCCTCATTTACTTTTTTTTTTTTTTTTTTTTTTTGTAGTTACACATCTGCTCAGTACGGAGTAAATAAAATGCATGTCTAGATAGATAATTGATAGTTGTAGAAAAATCCACCTGCCTGCTCATCTACAAATCTGTATGTACTGTTCCGTCCAACGTACAACTCGCTCCCTTTTTCCTATCTCACAGACCTCAAAAACCCCACAACCCCCCTACAATACCCCACTAACTCCGCCAACCTCCTCCCCTCCCGCTCCTGCTCAACCTTCCACCGCGCCAACGCCTCCCGCAGCGCTTCCCGTGTAGTCTCTGCCTCGTTGTTGTCCCCACCCCCATCCCGAAAACCAGCACCAGCACCAGCACCAACACTCTCCCCTTCAACAGCAACATCCCCATGCACCTTCAAGAACACTGCCATCCACGCATTCACAAGCTCAAAGTCCCTCCTCGTCCTCAGCTGTGCGGTCAGCGCCTCCACGAACGCCACCAGCTCGTTCATGCCCTGCTTGCACCCGCTGAGCAGGCCCGGGTCGAGAGAGCGGATTTCTAGATCGGCTTTGGCGGGAGGCAGGGATTTGAGGTACTCGATGAATGGCGCGTAGTGGTTGCTGTTACTGCTGTTACTGCTGTTACCGTTGTTGCTGTCAGAGGAGCATGAGTGGAGGAGGGCGGTGAAAGTTGAGGGTTGCATGCTGGGGTCATTGGCGCGTTGGAGCTTGGCGATCCGGGATCGTTCGGCTGGCGTGGTCTTCTTGGTTCCTGAGCTGCCTTCTGTTGCTGCTGCTGCTGCTGCTGCTGCTACTGCTGGTGCGGAGACCAGTTGCGTGGAAGAGTCGGAGTCAGGCTTTGAGAGGGTTGAAGGGAGGAAGAATGGCGCTTTCTGCGGGACCTTGGGCGGTTCTTTGGGCTTGTTTCTTTCCTGTAGATTTTTTAATTTTTTATTTTTAGTCTCTGCAACAGTTCCAATCGTAGCGGGTGTTTTTTTTTTTTTTTTTTTTTTTTTTTTTTTTCTCATTCTTTTTTCATTCTCTTCTTTTGACGTATTAAAAATAAGAGTGGGGCATTCTTCTTACCTTGATAATATCTAGATGCAAGAGTGTCTGCCACCTGCTCTTCGGCGTAATACTCAATGTCATCATATCACCACTCAGCTGCTCCGTCGACAACACAGGATAGTCCTCACCACGGCCGCCCTCCCCCGCATCCTCCTCAAATGCCGCTTCTAAGACAGCCGCCCCACCCTCCCCAGACGCCGTCGGCGCACTGACCTCCACTATAGCATCCTCCTCAATATGTTTCGTCGGCACATGCGTGAACAAGCTCCGGTTGTTCCAGATATTAACCCCGACTCCATCCGCATGCGCCGTCGCCAGGAACTCGCCCGTCGCCGACATCGCGAGCGCCGTGCATGTATTCGCCAGCCGGAACGCGTCGATGAGATGGCCTGTCGGCAGGTCCCAGACGCGAATCACGGAGTCCATGGATGCGGCAATGATCCAGCGGCCGTCGTTGGAGATGCAGAAGTCGTTGATCTGGCCCATGGCGCCCCAGAGCTCCCGCACGAGTTTGCGCGTCTCGATGTCGATAACGCGGATGGAGAGGTCGTCGCAGCTTAGCGCGACGAGGTCGCTGGAGGTATTGGCGCGGAGACCCGTGACGGAGCACATGGGGTGCCAATCTAGCTCGTGGAGTAGTTGGCCCGTGATGAATTGCCAGAACTAGGTATACGCGTTAGAGATCTTGTGTTTACAGTTGGGTTGGGTTGGGTATATATATAGTATAATATGGCTGGGGGCGAACCTTCACTTTCCCATCAAGCCCGCAGCTTATAACCGTTGTATTCAATGCGTCAACCATCAGCCCAGAAACGGCACTGGTATGTTTTCCTTCGCCCATTTGGAAGCTTCTTTTGCCGCTGGACCCGGTCGCTAGATCGCTCATCTCATCCAATTGCATCATGTTTAACTTTCTTGCTTGGGCGGGGGTTACCCGCGCAGGGAATGACTGTCGATGCATGCCAGATTGGAGATTGTACATATCAATGGAACCACCAGCAGACCCAACTAGTGCAAAGGTGCCACACGGCGAAACCGCGACGCTCTGAAGAAAGTTAGAGATAAATAACGGTCCATAGAATTTTCAAGCCCTCATTGAATTTGCAGAGATGGACAAATGGGAACCGGAAGAAGCAACGAAAAACAAAAGAACATAACGAACCTTAACCTCCGTTCCATCGTGCGTCCCAAAGGCCCATCGTCCAGCTTTCTTCCTCCCCCAAATCCACGTCCTCGCAAATTTATCGCCCCGATGGCCTGTAACAACACTCTCCCACCCAGTTAAGTTGGTCGCCTCCGCAGTGCCGCCCTTCACATTAGCCCATACCGGCCCGTTTGCACCAGCAGCGCCAGCAGCGGTCCCCATGCCCCCGTCCCTATTCAACGAGCATGCCATACAGGTAATTTCCGGAGTCTTAAAGTCCTCCATCCGCGCTCCTGCAAACCCCCTCTTCTTCTTCTTTAACTTCACATGGCCCTGCGACAGCTCCGTACTCTGCGAATCCTTTCGCAGACTCAGACCCCATAGGCTGCGGTCTTTGCTCGCGCTGAGGATCCATTTACCGACGGAGTCGGAATCGTCAGAGGAGGCCGGGAGGAAGCGGAGGGTTGTGATGGGTGCCGAGTGGCCGCTGCGCGAGTGCAGGGGGCGAGGGACAGGGGAGAATGGGGTCTCGTCGAAGATCCAGGAACGCAGGGCGTTATCTGTGCCTGTAGATATTAGAACGGGTTGGCCGTGTAGAAACTCGATTTTGCTAACGCCGGGCTCTTCAGACGAGGAGGACTCGTGTGCGTCGCGCAGGACGCCGGTGATCTTGCCGCCGTTGTTCAGGTCCCACATGGTGATGTCGCCGCTGTCAGCGCTGGCAGTGGCCATGACGCCTGCTTTGCGCCCGTCGTGGCCAGCGCCTAGGTCGTCAGTGCGGAAGGAGATGCAGGTTATTGGAGAGAAGGGAGTGGTAGAAGAAGCGGAAGAAGTGGAAGTGGGGGAGCGGAGGTTTAGGACAACCTGGTCCGTTCTGACGTTGTGGATGGTCAGGGCTCCGCTGCTGTAGGCGATTGCGATTAGGGAGAGGGCGGGCGTGGGTTGCATGGCAGTAACGGCGCCTGCGTCTGGTGTTGCGGGGAGGATGGTGTAGACAAGTTTCCCCGTTGAGAGGTTCCAGATATCAATGCTACCATCCTGGCGGCCCGCGAAGATCTTGTTGAGGTATGTTGGCATATTACATATCCGGCCTGTCAGGACTCGAGTGGTGCCACCAGGCGACACTAATGATGCTGCTGCTGATGACAATGTCTTTCGTTGGCTGGGAGGGATGAGTGCGGTGTAATGCTCGAAAGTCGTAGATTTCCACACGCGTATGGTTCTACAACCGCATCCAACAATCCACGAGCCAAACACGAGTAGCTGCTCAATCGGCTCGGTTGCTCCTATCGCTCCCGCAGTGGCTGTTGGTGACGCGGGGAATGGCAGCTCTCCGATCTTCTTCCCGCGCTTGAAAACCCAGACACCTTGTGCGGATTCGTTGGCCAGCGATCCACTACCCCAGGCAGCCAGCACTTTATCTTTCCAGGCGCATATCGCTGTTATAGTCGCAGGGGTTTGAGGGCGTGTGAGGAAGACGAGGCTGAGGCCACGGCGGAGGTCATACGTCTGTAGGGATCCGCCTACAGATGTAGTGATTTGGAACGTAGTTTTGCCCAGCGGGACGGAGGTGAATGGCACTGTAGTTGGGGATACAAGGCCTAGAGTCTTTTTGCATGGTTCCAATACGGATTGTTAGTTGCACAGGTCAACCTTTTGCACAAACGGGACGGCTCAAGAGGAATAAAAATAACCTAGACGCACTCTGAAGGGGGAGAAGATCCGAGAGCTCGGAGGGTGAGCAGCATCTTGAGACACGAGCTGTCCTGGGGCAACCTTCTGTCTCTTCGCAACAGGGAACCCGAAGGCATCGCTGTCAATTGACGGCATGGTGTGTCTCTCTGCGATGAAGTGATTGAGAACTCAGATTAGATGCTCATGGTCGGGTGGGTTGACATGCGATGGTGGGACAAATTGGAGGTTGGAATATTTTTCTCTTGGCTTCCAAAAAAACCACCAGCCCTGTCCAGCCAAGAGAAATCGAGCAGACGAGTGTTTTGCTTTTTTCAGGATTTCTTTTTCTTTTCGCCTTGGGGGCGTGTTGCTTTAGTCGTCGAGCTAAGGCGAATTTTTTCTTCTGCCGGCTGTAGGTTTTTACCACTTTGGGCCTAACAAGGAACGCCCCAAGAAACATTTTGCGAGTTTCTAGAGGCGGCGAGACGACGCGCACAACAGCATCAATATTTGATTAATTGACCAGAGAGCGAACAGTAGGCGTATGCGTATATGGATAGTCCCTCTCTCACTGTCTCCCGTTTCCACTGTTAGTTTGGGATAATATCTACCGCGATACACTTGCTGTCCCGCCCCCGATTCCGCAGAATTTGCCATTGAACCCATCTTGGCGGAGGCTTTTATACTTCATCATCGGCATCATCACCGTCTGCAAATACGTCAACCAGCACAACATCGACCGCATCAACGCCAACAACTTCCAGGACAGGAACCAGCAAACCGCATAGATACACGTACGGCCAACGAATACGCAATGGGGGCTGGAATCCGGAGCCAGCAGTGGTTTCTCACGATAACTCGCAGCAACTAGACTAGCCCATCCCGTTGGATTGCCAGGTGGCTCAAGTTACTATCTGCCTTACGCACCGATATCCGGTTGTATATATTTCCTTTTTTTATATAAATATATGCCCATATGGCTGCGGATACAACGGACACGGTAAAAGCCACACCTCTGGAGACGGACACTGAGACGAATACTACGGAGGGAGCAGACAAACCAGCTCCCGAGAGCTGCCGCCCGCAACAGAGACAAGACACCGCAGGAGGACCGGCGGCAGCAGCAGCACCACCATCGCCAATGTCACCACCAGAACCTGCATCAGCCCTCTCAGACACAGACGCAGGCGCAGATACACAAGCCCATCAGCCACATCAGGTGCAGAGACCGGCTGCGGCTTCTCCCTCAGGTTCTGCGGCTGCTCCTGCACCCAAACAAGCCAGCCAGTCGCCCGGTCAATCCCGGTCACCGGGGAGCTTCTCTTCCGATCGCAGCATGGCGGCAGGAAGCTCTGCTAATAATGTTGTTATGCCTGTGTCTGCCACCACTAATGCTCAAGCTACTACCGCGTCAAGCTCTGGAATGCCCTCTGCCATTCGCTCTCGACCAAGTCAGACCTGCCTTCCAGAGAGGGATCCTCACAGAGACTCCCACCGCGTATCCTTCTCCTCCCTCAACTCTCTGGCTTCCACCATCTACTCCGTCACTGGTGACCGTGTCCCAAGCACTGGCACTTCCAGCGTTAACGGTTCCATCAAAAGCGGCATGGAGGGCTCCACTGTGAGAAATCCCTCTGGCTTCCTGGGTTTGAGCATGAACATGGAAACGCCAGCAGGTACTGGAGAATTTACAACTTCTCCCACTATGGCCTCCTCGCCTGGGGCGGGAGCAGTAGGTGTGCATCCCCTGTATTCAATTGTTCCCGCCATCTAGGATTCGCATCGCCGCTAACCGCAACAGTATCTCCCACCCAATCATCCTCTCATGTACCCCATAGCGATGCAGGAACTGATGGTCGTCCTACCACAAACTGGGTGAGCCGCCCTGCAAGGTCATCCAGTCGAGCGCCAAGAAGGCTGAGCGGGAGCACGGGAGCAAGCAGTGCGAGCGAAGTTGATCGTAAGTTACACGAGAAAATAATATCCCTTTTTTTTTTTTTTTTTTTTTTTTTTTTTTTTTTTTTTGATATGGTTTGCGAGAATATAGTTAACTGACCGAATACAAACTCCGCGATAGCCAAGATTCCGTTTATCGGGAAGATCGGGGTGTGTGCCCTGGACGTCAAGGCTCGCAGCAAACCTAGTCAGAATATCCTTACCAGATTGCAGTCAAACGGCGAATTTGAGGTTATTGTGTTTGGCGATAAGGTCATTCTTGATGAGGGTACGTTTCTATCAGTTCTCTCCTCCTGTCTCTTCTTGCAAGAATATCTAAATAAATCAAAAGAAATAGACTAATATTGGTTATTTATAGATGTGGAGAATTGGCCAGTGTGGTAGGAACCCCTCCATTTCGTGTAACTGTATATCGCAATGCTCAATACAGCAATTGCTAATGATATGTTATATAGTGACTTTTTAATTGCATTTTTCTCCGATGGATTCCCTCTAGACAAAGCAATTGCATACGCCAAACTGAGGAAACCCTTTTGCATCAACGACCTTCCCATGCAAAAGGTCCTATGGGATCGGCGTCTTTGCCTTCGTATCCTCGACCATATGGGTGTCCGAACCCCGAAAAGGATGGAGGTTAACAGAGATGGCGGTCCCAGACTCGAATGCCCAAAACTCGCGAAGCACGTATATGAACTCACCGGAGTAAAGTTGGAGGGACCCGACGACGGAACTGGTGGCGGTACTCCCAGAACGCAGTCTGTGTGCATGTCCGAAGACGGAGAATCCCTCATCGTCGATGGCAAGGTTTTTAGAAAGCCGTTTGTCGAAAAACCAGTCAGCGGGGAGGATCATAATATCCACATTTATTTTTCCAAAGACCAACAGTATGGTGGTGGCGGCCGCCGGCTTTTCCGCAAAATCGGTAATAAGAGCTCCGAATACGATCCGAACCTTAATATCCCAAGATCGGTTCTTGAGAAGGATGGAAGTTACCTTTACGAGCAGTTTTTGAGAGTTGATAATGCCGAGGATGTCAAGGCGTACACGGTAGGACCTGATTTTTGTCACGCAGAGACCCGCAAATCCCCCGTAGTTGACGGCCTTGTCCGTCGGAACACGCATGGCAAAGAATTGAGATACATTACCAAACTGAGTAAGGAAGAGGCTGCTACGGCAACCAAGATATCCAACGGCTTTGGGCAAAGAATATGTGGCTTTGATATGCTTCGTGTTGGCGACAAGTCTTATGTGATCGATGTCAACGGCTGGAGTTTTGTCAAAGATAATAATGATTATTATGACAAATGTGCAAAAATCCTGCGCGAGATGTTTATCAGCCAGAAACTGCGCAGGGAAGGGAAGATTGAACACTTGGGAGGCCCCCAACACGAGACGCTCTCTCCGCGCAAAAATATTAGCGGTTCCCACCGACAGACACTCAAATCGCTCTTGAGAACGCAGGGTCAATATTACAATCAAAAACCCCAGCAGGGTGTTTCTGCAGAGACGACTCCCGCGCCAAGCTCCTTGCCGACTCACTTTTCGGATGCAAGTGACTCGATACCGCATTCCAAGGGTTTTTCCACCAAGCTCGACAGGCAGCATACTTTGAAATCAACAGATGGCATCTCTTCAACTCAGCCCTCTCCGACGGAGCCCATTGTCGCTCCACCCCCGGCATCGAAGCATTCGTGGAAGTTAAAAGGGATGGTCGCTGTAATCCGCCATGCCGATCGGACCCCAAAGCAGAAATTCAAATTTACTTTCCATACGCAACCATTTATTGACCTTCTGAAGGGACATCAAGAAGAAGTTGTAATAAAGGGGGAATTGGCCTTACGCAGTGTTTTGCACGCGGTTGTTATTGCTATGGAGCAAGGTATCGAGGATGTTGAAAAGCTTAAACTCCTTCAAGCATCACTTCATCATAAGGGAGGGTGGCCGGGAACGAAAGTCCAGATCAAGCCGATGTTCAGACACCGAAATCCTGATGAGATGCGGAATAGAGGCCCTTCTATTAACCCCTTGAGCCCTGTCTCTGAAAACCCTGCCGGAGGTAAACTTTTTGAAGAAAGTACGGGAGCTGGAGGAGCAAACGAGGACCACCAATCTTCGCTCTCCCAGAGTAGAAGTAATTCTCTGTCTGGTCCGACTTTCTCCCGTTTTTCAGCCGTGGAGAATGACTTGGTTTTAGATAAGCTTCAATTAGTGATTAAATGGGGCGGTGAACCTACACATGCTGCGCGGTACCAATCGCAGGATGTGGGACTCAATATGAGGGATGACTTGAAGCTTATGAATAAGGAGGCGTTGAATGATGTCCGAATATTTACCAGTTCAGAGAGGAGAGTCAGCACAAGTGGTAAGTTTCGTAGAACTATCGGTTTTTTATTTACATGTAGAAAGCTTTTCTGACCTTGAAAACAACAAATTTCTAGCACAAATATTTGCCTCCGCGTTCCTTGACCAGAAGAACCTGCCTGAAGATTTCATCCAAGTGAGAAAAGATCTACTTGATGATTCGAATGCAGCAAAAGATGTAATGGACAAAGTCAAGAAGAAGCTCAAGCTACTTTTAAGGGAGGGAAACTCCGCCCCGCCTCAGTTTGCCTGGCCAAAGGATAATTTTCCTGAACCCTCAATTGTTCTGTCAACTGTGGTTGAACTCATGAAGTTCCATAGAAAAGTCATGAGGTACAATTTCTCAAGGCTTGAGAGTGAGCTAAGTTCCACCTCCGGAAACGGCTCTGATGGCCAAAGCAGCAAAAATGGTAATCAAGACACACCAACCCTTGCTTCCATTCAAGGACGTTGGTGTGCTGGAGAAGATCCCCAACTGTTCAAAGAAAGATGGGAGAAACTATTTGCGGAGTTTTGTGATACCGAGAAAGTTGACCCTAGCAAACTGTCCGAACTGTATGATAGTATGAAGTTCGACGCGCTGCATAACCGTCAGTTCCTGGAGTGGGTTTTCGTGCCCCCTGATAACATGCTTAAAGGAGATGGCTCCAAATATTCGAGCCAGGGCTCTCCGAATGATAAACCAAACCCTACCAGTCTGGAGAGTGTTGAATCGGGTAGCAATAAGCCACAGGGATCTCAACAGCAGCAATTGAACGATCGGAGCAACAGCAACGGCGGTGATTTTCATGGAGGAGGTGATAAAGGTGACGACAAACATCACAATTCCAACACTTTCGCTCAGCGTCTCGGGCTTAAAAGAAGATCCCTTCTGGACTTATCGTTAATGCAACCTATTGGGCCGTTGGAAGATTGGTATGACTCTTATTTCAAGCTATATCCCGGCTGTGCCCAGACGAAGACCAAAATCGACAAGAGGCTTTCAAGACTGCGCCAACTCTACAAACTTGCGAAGGTGCTTTTCGATTTCGTAACCCCGCAAGAATACGGAATTGATGATGACGAGAAACTCGAAATCGGCCTATTGACCTCTCTCCCCTTGCTACGGGAGATAGTTATGGATCTAGAAGAAGTCCAAGCATCCCCAGACGCCAAATCGTTCTTCTACTTTACTAAAGAATCACACATTTACACTCTTCTGAACTGTATTCTGGAAGGAGGCATTCAGACTAAGATCGCACGCCGCGCCATCCCCGAGTTGGATTACCTTTCCCAAATCTGCTTCGAGTTGTACGAAGCGCAGGATAGTGAGTCGGCGATGTTTTCATATTCCATTCGCATCTCTATTAGCCCTGGGTGCCACACGTTCGATCCGCTAGACGTGCAGTTGGATTCAAGGCATGCGATTGGGTGTGCGCCGCGAAGAAGCTTGACGGCACATCAGGATTGGAAGGAAGTTATTGAGACGTTGAAGGCGAAGTTTGATACGTGAGTAATTCTATTTTTCTTTGATTTTTCGGTCGTTTATTTTTTGTGGTAAAAAGGGGAGGGGAAGTGGGAGGGTTTTGACAGTAATATTTATTTCTCGTATTCGAGTTTAACTAACTGGATGCGATAAATGCATGTTATAGGGTGAAACTTCCCAAGTCATTTATTGCGGTCAATTTGAGCGATAAGCTTGCGGCGGCGAAGTCTTTCAAGGATGAGGAGCGGGAGACTGCTGCTGCGGACAGTGGGTGAGTGAACGAGCGAGCGGAGGGGGGGTAAGGAGGTGATGGTGTTGGGTGACTTTTACTTCTCATTGTTAATCGTTTTATGTGTATCATATATTTCCATTAGTCATATAACTATGGGAGGGAGTTAAAGAGAAGAAAATAAAACAAGTGGGGGACTGGATGAAGATTTCGGCGGCTGGGTGGTGCGAAATGGATTTCGTGGGCGGCTGTTTCTGTATCTTTCTTCTAATAAATAGCACATAGTAGTTACCCATAAACTAGAACTAGGCTTCACAAATAAAATGGATTTATATTATTCGTTTTTATGTTTATATTCTTTATATTTCCCCTCTTCTCTCTTGTGGTTAGAATATGTCTCGTGAACCGCCACGTTGTTCGTATAATGTAGGACTGGATTATGGACTATAATAATAAATGAAGTTATATTGCCTACTGTCGGCTATTTTTTCTAGGATGTAAATAAATGTATACCATTCAGCTTCCTTGTCTTGCATGAGGCTTTGAACCTCAAAGGCTCTCGGGTCAAGCCAAGTTCCTTCGAACTAACAATGTCAATACTCTCTCAGGGTCCCGTGGATATCGAGCATGTTTCCCACAACACGTCTACGAATAGCCTAACATACATACCAACGGGCCAGGAGAAGCATGGCTCTGGCAAGATACAAGCAGTCATTCAAGAGGACCGCATCGTCGCGGTTGTTCCGTGTCCTGAAGACTCGAGGCTGACGTCGTATATCTGGCTGGAAGCCTCAGACCCTCCCCCAGCCGGACTGCCAGATAAGCAGGAACAGCCCGAGTATCCATATGTGCTGAAACGGTTCGAGGCGGCGGGAGAATGCCCTGCATCACTCCGCGAGTTCATCGGCAGCCCGCAGTCCCACCTTTACCCCGCCAAGCGATCGGCTTCCAACCCCGCCGACCGCAACAACCTCCATATCATCATCTCCGCCCTCTCCGGCACCCACCAAGCTATCCCCTTCTACACCACCCTGCTCGAACCCCTCCTCGCTACCCTCCACCTCCACGAACACCAGGACTACTGCACCCACGTCACCTCCTCCGCCGACACAATCACCCACCTCACGCAAACTATCTTCCGCCCGCGCGCCCAGCGCGGGATCGCGCAGACCATCATTCTCCTGGCTGGCGATGGCGGGCTGGTTGAGATCATAAAGGGCCTGACGGCCGTTAGGGCTGCGGATGACTTTGTGTCTCCTGTTGTGGCGCTGGTGCCGATGGGGACAGGCAATGCAACGGCGCATTCTGCGGGGATTGTGTCGGGGCGGGATGCGACGATGGGCTTGCGGGGGTTGGTGAGCGGGGTGGCGAAGCGGCTGCCGATGTTTGCGGCGCGGACTTCGAGGGGCGCGGAGTATGTGACGGGTGGGGGAAGGGGGCGGGAGCCTGTTTTCGTGTCTGATGGTGGCGGTGGTGGTAGCGGTAGCGGTAGCGACGGCGACGGGGGCGGGGGCGGGGGCCCCGAGATTTATGGTGCTGTTGTGCTTAGTTGGGGGCTGCATGCGTCGCTCGTGGCAGATAGCGATACGCTTGAATACCGCCGTTTTGGGCGGGAGCGGTTCCAGATGGCGGCGAAGGAGTTGCTGTTTCCCGCTGACGGGAGTAGCCCGCATGTTTATAGGGGCAGGATCAGCGTCACGGCGAAAACTACAGATGCGGTGACTGGGGGGGAAATGCTACGGACACGACTGCTTGAGCGGAGTGAGCATATGTATGTACTTGTCACGCTCTGCTCGGCGCTGGAAAAAGGCTTCATGATATCGCCTGCGTCCAGGCCGTTGGATGGGAGGTTGTGGTTTGTGCATTTTGGGCCGGTGAAGTCGGAGGCTGTTATGGAGGTTATGCAACTAGCGTATGATGAAGGTCGGCATGTGGTTGATATGCGCGATGTGGTAGGGTATGAGGAGGCTGAGGCTGTTAGGATCGAGTTCTGTGAAGGGGAAACGGAGGAAAGATGGAGGCGGATTTGTATTGATGGGATGATACTGGTAGTGGAGGATGGTGGGTGGGTGGAGGTGAAAAAGGGAAAAAGAGAGGCTGTGAGGTTAGTTGTGCCTGAAGGGAAAGGAGTTGATGATCACAGCGAGAGGAGATATATTAACTAGAATATGCTGGGGGATTGTTGGTTTTATCGGGAATGCAGCTGGGCTACTTATAGAGCTTTTATACACGACGTGCCTTCCATATACGCACTGGAATTATTATTGGTCTTAGATCTGGTTTTATGTTATATTATATTCTATATTTAGATATATACATACATGATATGAGCCTAGGCCTGGAGCTTCTATCTACTAGAAACAGAGGTCATGCTCGATGCCCATGGAGTATGGTGTGCAGTACGCATATCCAATGCACGGCCCTGATATCAACTTGCCGAGGACAATACTCCGTAGGGCAGCAGCTATCCCAGGGAGACTTAGCAGGGGAAACCATAAGTACTGAAATACGGTCCGGGGCCTGAGGCCGGTTTCCTAGTGGGCGGCAACTTGAGCGGAAGAAGCAGTGGGCGGAGAGCGGAGAGCGGAAAATTGCTTGTAAGGGCGGAGAAACGGCGGAGAGAGGGTCTGTAACGGGAGACGGGAATGACGTCATTGGTTACAGCCGGATATGGTAATTTACAGCGTTACGAGATCCGAGCGTAATCCGGTGACACAGCCTGTAACTATGTCACATGAAATCGGGTACGGAGTACTTGCAACGATCTTCTTCCGCATCCTCACCTGCTCATATTCTGCATTTTCCATCCCCCACTTGCTGTGCTGACGGGAGAAAGAAAGTACGTGGAATGGCTGCATGTTGCTGCTGCCGCTGTTTTCATAGCTCCTGTTTCTGGTAGACGATGTTCATAGCGACTGCGCTTATCTCACAACCAACCTTCGGCCAACTCCTAGGTTCTCTAATGCACGGCCCGATAAATGCACCCCGGCCCAGCCGTCATCGTTAAAGCGATCTGTGAGGTTCGCAAAGCTCTCCATGCTTGTTACGCCGCGTCTTTATCGGCTGGCGCAGATACCAGATAACGGCTCGCGAGTTCCTTTCTCCTACCACCCATCCTTCAATACACTGACTGGCTGGGACGTTGAGCCAGCGGAATACGAACGAGCAGCGGAGATGCTGCTAGTGCATCAGGTTGGCAGTGTCCGTGTTGGGGAAGTGGTCCGGTATAATTTTGTCTTAACCTTTCAATTAAAACATAAAAAAAAAAAAAAAAAAAAAAAAAAAAATTTCATGCTGATTCGGAAAATTCAGGTTTACGCTCACGTATACCCCTTCTGCAGATCGCATCTTCCCCACACCTACGGAGCTCTTCGTCAAGGTTAGAAATACCTCTGCGATACCGCTGCGCGCCGCGTATTTGCACGGCCCTTACACTCTATATACTTCCTGCTACCCTGCATCTTTCGACCCAAACCGGAAATACGAGGATCATGAAACCTGCGGGCTCCCGCAATTTGAACCAAACCTGAAAGCGGGCGGGGCTTTCGACTCAGTGATCCCGGTGCCAGAGAACGTCCAGTCGTCGACCTCCGCAGCAGATCAGCAGAGCATTACTTGGATAATCGAAATCGCATCGCAGGTGATATTTTCAACTACAGCGGCTGTAAACTTCGAGGTCCTCGTTGGGAGGGACCTGAAGTCCTTGGAACTTGGAATTGGAAATTCAACGAGCCTGCCTGTTCCGGGTCATGTTCGCGAGCTTGCCAGACGTAATTCAAAGAGCAAACATAAAAATCCCCCAGGCCGTATGAAAGGGGTGTACTCCACGGCAATCAAACTAGTTATTGATGATACAGCAAGCCTATGGAGTACACCGCGATTTCCATCCTGGAGTGAGAAGGAAGACCTTCGAAACTTGGAAATGGAACAGACGGAGATTGCTACGGAATCTCAGAGAGATTGCCACGCAAACTCGGCTGGGGAAGCAGAAAACCGAAAAAAACGGAGAAAAGTTCATTTCGTCGTCCTAACGCATGGACTACATAGTAACATAGGGGCCGATATGTTATATCTTAAGGAGAGCATAGATGCTGCTTCAAGGAAAGCTCGGGAAGATGCGCGGAACCAGCGAAAGAAGGCAAAGAATTCACAGCCTTCACAGCCAGCTGTGTCTACCCAGGATGTTTCTGATACACCTTTGGTAGATAGACAACATACTGCTTCAGAAGAAGATGGCGACGATGACGAGCATGTTATTGTACGCGGATTCCCCGGAAATGTAGTTCGCACCGAAAGGGGTATTCAGTATCTGGGGAAAAGGCTAGCGAAATATGTCCTTCTCATGACTTATCCGGATCAGCCTTATCTTCCTCTCAAAGAATCCCGCAGCAAATTTCGGGCATTTGCTGGCAACAAAGATTCCACAGGCTCGAGTGGCCGTGCATCTCATTCTGGAAGTACAATATATCGGCACGAACCGAAGAAAAGCGATTACGGTTACCAGATAACGAGTATCAGTTTTATAGGGCACTCTCTTGGCGGCCTCGTCCAAACGTATGCCATTGCTTATATACAGAAACATTCTCCTGAATTTTTTGACTGCATCAAGCCTATCAATTTCGTTGCTCTTGCATCCCCATTTCTTGGTCTCAGCAATGAAAACCCGATCTACGTTCGTTTCGCTTTAGATTTTGGACTCGTTGGTCGCACCGGTCAAGACCTTGGTCTGTCATGGACTGCCCCGACAAAAATGCGAAGTGGATGGGGTGCGATGATAGGAGGATTGGGAAACGATTCTCCTACCGCTACCCATCATGCGGATCCCAAATCAAAACCACTTCTTAGGATTCTTCCAAGCGGCCCTGCTCACCAAGTTCTCAAGAAATTTCGAAATCGTACCGTATACTCCAATGTTGTAAATGACGGAATTGTCCCATTACGAACCTCTTGCCTCCTTTTCCTAGATTGGAAAGGCCTAGATCGAGTTGAGAAGGCTAGACGAGAAAGCGGCTGGGTCGGAATCATGGCCGAGTGGGGTTGGGCCGAGATTACGGGAGCTAATGTTAATACAAATTCAATTCGCTCAACTAAACACCCTACAAACTCTGTACCTACCAATTCTGCCAATTGCGACAATGAGGACGATAAAGTTAAAAATGGAAAGTTGATCCCTTCAACTAAGAAAGCGGAAGGCGAAATCCCAGAGCCACCGGCTGAGAGCCCAGAGGGACCAAGTGGAAGTTTCGAAACCAGTCCAGAACTTCCCAAACAGTCCCAGTTTTTGACTGTTGCTCGTAACACTGAACCACCAGGTGATATGCAACCCGTTAAATTGGCTCCACGCTCTTATCCGAATCCATTCGCCGGTTTCCTTTCCTTGTTCAGACCACAGGGAAAAGGCCACAATCAAAGCAAAAGCTCAAAAATCTATAGGCGGAGCCAGACTGTCGGTAACAATGAGTTGGCCGAAACCCCATGGACGGACGGTCCCTCCCGCTTTCCACGCGCCGAACCAGCCAGAGGCGATTCTTTTCTTCAGGAAGAAGGCCACCACGCCCCGCCAAAGACAACAATTCTGGAAGCGGCGGGCGATGTCCTCAAACCGCCTCTACCTTCAACTGAGTACATCCTGGACCCTTCAACCCGTGCCAGGACTATCTTCCATGATCGCGTCTACCACCCATCGGATATACCCCCGCCGCCCCGAAAAAAGAATCGCAGCTTTTTTCCAACTTCTAGCACCAGTAGCCTTCCTTCACCTACCGAGACGGCGAAAAGTGTAGATAACCAGTCTAATAGTTCACTAATCCAAACGACTTCCGATTCGGTCCTTGGTACAACCAGTGGCATGAAAGTCGAGGAGAAAATCGCTCGCGCCTATCATCGCGACTTATCCTGGCGCAAAGTTCTTGTACGCCTTGAGCCCGACGCACACAACAACATTATAGTGCGTCGTATGTTTGCAAACGCGTATGGCTGGCCCGTCGTCAAACACCTCGTCGACACTCACTTTGCAGACACAACCGTGGCAAAGACGGCAGACGAGTTTGAGAGCGGTGCTGAGCGTGCTATGCCTACAAGCCGCAGGCCCTCTGAATCCGGCAAAGAGGTCATTGGCCAAGTTGATCCGCCGGGCAAATCACCAACGCTAACTATCCAGCAACCAAATCCCGAGAACCAACACCCACCTGAGTCATCAGAGACCATGGAAGCACTGCGGGCCATGTTGTCCCCAGCTACCCCAAACCGCATACTACCAGATGCCAAGACGGACATCACTAATTCTATCGACCCACACCAGCCGACCATGTCTGTCAGCCGAATGTCCTCTTCTCAATCAAAGACTTCCCATGCAGACTCCTCTCGATGGACAGATCGGTATTTCGACGACGAGGACGGTGAGGGTTATGACTCGCAGGACGAAGCGCATTTTGCTGGAAGTGGTATTCGTGCGTTGTCAGCAGCTGACAGCTAGTGATGTTATTCTGCGAGTAACGAGCCGATAGAGTCTCCGACGACGAAAGCTAATGCTAGAGGAATGACTAAAGCGGAGGATTGCGAAGTTTATAGAACTGCTGCATCGGCCAGGGGCGTTAGAAAATGGACGGATTAGGGGATAGAATTAAATAATTTAGTAATAATAATCACAAATATAATCATAATACGAGGCGGAATCATGAAGGTGACGTTGGGTTGGGGGTTTTCTTATTGGCTCTTGGGAGCTCTTTTGGTGGATTTTCGATTCCCATGATCGCACTTTGGTATAATACCCTTCTCTTTTATATAAATACTACGTGACTGCGTACGAGACCCGCTCACTTAATTGAACAGTCGGGAGAGTTTAAGTTATTTCTGTCGTTATCTATAAACCCCTCTGGACTAACTGCTTAGATTCTTGCTCTTTTCCTTTGGCCCTAGATCATTCATTGCTGTTCTTCTAGATCTTAACATCGGCTATGAGTTCATGAGTTGAAGTCGTGCATTTCACACGCTCTCTCTGTTATCCCAGAGTTATATATATATATATATATAGTTCGTTTCAAGGCAACGTGTACCGCATGTGCAAAGTACATATTTGCCCACACGTCAAGCATGATCAATCTCTACTTGATGAGGATGTAATTGTTTTGGGAATTCACGGCTGAGCGGGTAATTCTTCGCCAGCGTAGAAACGGAGGATATCCATCCACTTGCCCACCAAGCCAACTTGCGGGATCGGCTCAGTAAGCCCCTCCCCCTCATAATTCCCATGCTGCATCCAGAAAGTGATTCGAGGATTTGCCAATGCGCAGATCGTTGAGCTATTTGCCGTTGTTCGAGCATTCGACGGACGCATAACAATTCCCGCTGTCTCGTGTGCTTAAGAAGATTTCGCACATTTGTCATTTTTATTTTCTTTCGAAGTTCTGTGGGATGGAGGTTTGACCGGAATGTGAATGGCGGAGCTGTACTAATGGTGCCCACCCATTGAATGTTGGTTTTGTCGTTGGTGAAGACCTCGATTGCTTTTCGAGATTCGCAGAAGAGTATCTGCTTCCCCCCTGTGGAGCCAGGGACATGGAGGGTGCTCCTTGCGCATTCATCGTCTATTTCAAAGTGTCGCGAATATAGGTGTTTAAGCTGCGTACGCTGATATATGTATGCTCCGGTGGCAAGTCCATGGGATACTTGTGCATTTGTATAATTTGGACGATGTCCCTCTTCAACGGGATTTGAATAGGTAGCTCGAGGTTTTCTAGGGAAACAGACCAACTAAGACTGGTCAGCCCGGTCGAATTTGAACTTTCAGCAGGAGCCACCGTGACCTGCGGCGATGAAGGGGTAGTTTCATGGTCCTTTTGGTTTTGGTTTTGTTGTTTCTTTCCATTTTTTCAAGCCAAAAATTTTTGGCATGGGAGATCTTGTGTGGGCGGTGATAGCGCCTGTTGCCTCCTGTTAATTGTAGCCAGTGTGTTAATGTTGTTGCCAACAGGCGGATATCATGTCCTGATGATGCGAACTTGCTCTACCGACTTTGGGATTATGTGGGTGAAGTCATGGTAAATAGTTTAAAATGAAGGCTTTCATTTCTCATTGACCCAATCTGACATCTTGGTTTGTCTCATCCATGCGTTTGTTCCTAGGAAGCCATCACCGCCACTGTAGGACTACCACTATTATCCCTTTCCCCATACCACCTCCCATCCATGCCAGCCTTGGCCCTATCCGCTTCATTAAACGGCCCCTTAAGCGCACCCTTGAAATGTTTCTTCACATTCTCTCTGAACACTTGCACCGCATCCGCCCCTTCTTGCTCACAAATCCAAGTCAACCACCTATGCCCGGTCGTAACATGCGTGATTTCATCGTTATGGATAATCTCTAACGTCGCCACGCTCTCCATGTCACCCGCATTACGGAATTTCTGGATCGTCATAGGATTGACGTCCAAGCCCCTGGCTTCGTGCACGAGCGCGATAATGCTGATGCGGGCACGGATATCATGCGCGGTTTCCGTGGCGGAGAGCCAGAGGCCGTGATGAACGGGGAGAGCGCCGAAGCGTGAGCCTAGTTGCTCCAAGCGCGTGCGCAGGAGCGAGAAGTGTTTTGCCTCATCTGCGGCGACTTTTAGGAAGTCGTGGAAAAAAGTGCGCGGAAGTTCCCGTTTCGATTCCGTGTTTGTTCGGAACGTGGAGAATCGTACGCATATGTCGATGGCGAGATCGATTGCCCAGAGCTCAATGTTGGCGAGGGCATGTAACATGGTGATTCGGCTTTTTAGATTCCCGCCTCTGCCGGGCTTGGGGGCTTCCCAGGGGTTGACCTCTGATAAGCTCTCTGGGCGGGGTGGTTGGTCTGGGGGAGTCACGGTTCCCCGTCCCAGGGACATCGAGTTGGGAGAGGTCTCTTTCTGAGCGAAAAGAGAGAAAAAATGTGTTGTTAGTTCGATTTTGTGTTCAGGGTTGGCTGTATTCAGGATGTGGACAGCCCAATCACAAAATGTAGCGTGTTCGTCTAGATAACGAGGGATGCTGTGGGCATCCAGCCCCTCCTCCTCTTCGTCCATATCCTCAGAGGTCGTACGAGTAATAACATCATTGGTACTTGTAGACACCGGCGACGCTGGTTGCTTCTTTTTTCGTTTCACGCGCTTTTCACGATTTTTTAACATGACCTTCTCGCTGACAGGTTCTACCTTGCCCAGCACCACATCACCTACCCCGCCATCCTTTACGTTATATTGCAAATAAACAACCTGATCTTTTATATCAATGGGAAACGTGCAAGTTTTAATCCCAACACTGGACTCTCCAGTCTCCACGTTGAAGTCGTATGCATGCCAGGGGCAAGAGACCACATAGGCGGAATCTTCAATATCGATATGGGATTCTTCCATGGGACCCCCAGCATGAGGGCACTCTGCTTCCATGGCATAGTATGACCACCCATCTTGTGTTTCGTTGGTCCTGGGCACGGATATAGATAAAGGCTCAATCGATGGCAAACGGAAAAGGACTAGCCGTTTTCCGTCAGAAAGATGGATGACATATCGAGCCTGTGCAAAGTCTAAAAGAGAGCCTAGTCTAATAGACATTCTTGTATGCAGGGCAATGGACACCCCAACTGTTAGTGTTCATGATTGGTAGGAATATCGCAAAGGCAGTTAAGTACCAGTCATGAAGTGGCGGAAAAATTTAGTCTACAAGACGGTTGAGTGACTAATCAGAACAACTTGACCATAACTAACTAGTGGATATTATAAGGGAATATTTTCATCATTTTCTCTGGAATATTTTGAGGTACTTTACTAGACGCCCAATGAAGATAAATAGCAAAGTATAGGTAAAATCGGGGAGGTAAAAGAACGCCACAGACAGTATTTATTAAAGGCGAATGTATGTATAGTACAAATAACGATGTAAACAAAGGCCTCGGATTCCAGTCCATTTCGTCCCTGCTCTAATTGCCTTTACCCACCTATCCCTAAGAAACCGTTATTTTGAGCGCACAGCTTAATACCAAATATTAAACGGGGGTTATCATTGAACCGTGGTACACCAAGTTGTTAATGGTGACTATGTGTGAACCGGAGCAGCTTGAGGAACTTCACCATACCCGCCCATATCTTCAAATGGCGCGACGAAACCTCCATTGCCATTGCCCCCAAACGGCACTGCCTCACGCCCCGCTCTCGGTTGGAAAAGCGGCTCATTGGGATTCGCCAGGTAACCGACATGAATTTGCCCATAATAAGCAGCAGCAATAGCAGCCAAATCCACATGATCAAAATACGGATTGTTCTGCGGTAGCGGGACCTGCGGGGGAACTACATCGTCTGGGTCCTCCATCAGGATGTGCCTGAAGTTATTGAACCAGGGACACGCGCACGTCTTCCACCTGGCAGCGCATACGATGCAGAACTCAGCTCCACAGCGGCAGGTCATGTGGTTACAGCCTTCAGTCAATTCGATCATGGCCGAGCAGCTGTAGCAACGCTGCCAGCCGTTTTCCCTGGCCGTCTCGACGAAGCGTTTCATCTCATCGTCCTTTGGGCACTCGCCATCGATGTGCCATTTTCCATTGCACAGCCCGCATACTTTAGTATGGCAGCTCACACATATGCCGAATCTGCGACCGCCTGTGGCGCCGCCGCCGGTGTCGATATGGATGTTGCTGGGCTTGATCCACTCTCCGCAGCCTTTGGAAGGACAGTATAATCGGTTTTTGGTGGTGTATTCCTTGTATTTTTTGTTCCACTTGATCTTGAATTCTATGTCAAATAGGTTGTCGACGTGCTTAAGAGGAATGTGATCGGTTGTGCAGCATTTTGGGGGCATGTGTTGCGGGTCAGTTACAGACAATGTAAACAAGCGCTTAAGGCAGTCTTCACACATGCTGTGGGAACAGGAAAGCTGGGCGGCTTTGCTCACGGGGATGTCGTCGAAACACGTTAAGCATGTAACTCTATACTCGAACGGTCAAATTGGGGAAGAGAAACGTTCAAGATAAAAAGAGAGAGTCTCACAGTTGGGTAAATGAGCAGGCACAGAACTTACGTCTTTTCCGGCAACGATGTGGGAGACGTAATTGTTTTGACTCCCCCACCCTTTCTCCCTTGCTTTGCAGGGGACACTTGTTTTCCAGACTTGGTTTTTGGGGCTGATGATCTGAGAGCCGTTTTTGCAAGGTTCCAATCTGACTGCTCACCGAGTCGAAGAGGGAGGGATATCGGGGAAGGACTGGGTTTCATCCACGATTCCGCTACGGCGCGTTGTGTAGCGCTTCGTTTGAGTGGATCCCTGCGAACCGATTCCTTTGTCTTTCCTCTAGAAGACACCGTTGGACGGGCTGTGCTAATAATGCTTGGGTGTACTGGCATTGACATTGACACGGTCGATGAGAGATCTCTGCGAGAATGAGTCTTTTTGGGAGTTGCGGAACCTTTCTGAGCCCTGTGGTTCTCTCGGGAGGCATTTTCGGACTTGTCCTCCGTAGAATGGGTTCGATGAGACTTTCGTCGATGGCGCCTATATTCGTCTCCTTCCTTAGGGTGACTAGACTGTCGTCGACGTTGGCAGTGATTGTGGTCCGAATCTAAAACCGATGCAGTACGCGCTGGGTTTCTCGAGCTGGTTGTCCGTCCTTCAGCTCCGCTAGTAGTAAAGAAAAATAGACTTCGAATGAGAGGAGCCATGCTCGAATAGGTCGCGAATTTGTGAGAGTTATGAGGGTGGAATGGTTCTCTCTTCTCGTCCGCGTCCCTAACCTTCATTGCTGCTGGTAGATGCCGGGAGAGCAGTGAAAGGTTTCTGCTTATTTTGCCCCTCCCCCAGAGAAGTTGGTCCTCAGTGTCTAGAAGTTCATCAGGAAGTAGCTTTTCCAAGAGTCCGAAGCAAGCGAGCAACAAAGGAAGGGTCAAAGAGAAGTCGAACTCTCGTGTTTTCAACATCCCCTCATCTCCCCCCTTTCATTATGCCAACCAGCGCCAGGCTTCCAATCCAGAGTTTCGCTGTAAGTTAAATGGTATGGGATACTGGAAAGGGAGAAAACTCCAATTGGGCAATGGAGACGTCCCTCCTCACACCACCACAGCAAAACACCCATGTCACCAGTCCGCCAGCCAGCGAGGGTTGCATGAACTGTTCGTTTGCGAGATGTGGACAGACCGGGTGGCAGGAACAAGTTGGGGAAGAGGGACCGATGGTTGGACCATCATGATGCTGATGGTGCTGGTGATGGTGCTGGTGATGACTCTCTACCGCGAAACATGCCCAAATCGCAACCCAACCGCTCCTTTCGCCCCTGGCGATGGCGTTGAGATACTAGGTCATCATTTACTCTGTAGTTAGAGCTGCTGTATGTTCTTCTCTTTTTCTTTTTCTTTTCTTTTCTTTTCTTCTTTCTTGTTCTTTTCTTTATTAAAAAAGAATATGATACAAGAAACGCAGGGCGAAACTGAATGGTGAAGCAAGCGGGTAGCTTTGCATGCCACGCCTTCGGGCTCATGGCGAGCCAACGGCAGCTGGCCAGCTGGCAGACGATGAGGCATGCCGAGCTGAGTCCTGGTCGATTCAATCATCATTCTCGTCATTTCGCTGTCAGGGTATCATTATGGGATCAGGCAGGAAAGTTAGTGGCTATTTGATCTCATCAATGAATCGACACGGGGCTGTTCGTTAGTAGCTGTTGGCTGCCTTTTTTAAATTATTATCTTCGAAGGATTCAGTTTCTTTGCTATTTTTTTGTTTTTTTTTTTTTTTTTTTTTTTTTTTTTTTTATATATATAGGGGTTGCAGATTGGACTTAGTGAAAAAGACATTTTGATGCTGGTTTGGACAAGAATGATGTGTAAAATACGTTGCTTGGTTGTGGTGGGACAAATCTGATAGCCCGTTTTGACTGGCTGCAAATGTATTCTGATATAGATTGGCTCCCTGGTATACAGGATGTAGTTATTTCAAAAAGACGGAATACTAGTACTTATTCTATGGTAGTTTGCCTTTTTCCAGCCTTATTTAGAACCAGTTCCTATCGTCTAAAAACTCGCCCTCCTCGTCTATCTATATACCGGAACAAAAACTTGTATCTATCTGAATGCTCCAGCAAGCAACTACCTAAGTGTCTAGGTAGTTTTCCCCCGCCTTGCCTTTTTTCTCTTTTTGACGTGTTGTCGAAACCACAAACAATGGCACATGAAGAGCGTATTCTCCATCGTTAGAAATGAACAGGATTTGAGATGGGCCATAATCATAAACCATAACCACAGCGTGTTCGGAGCGCATCTCAGCTGAATTCTATGTTCCCGCAAAGGCGAAAAAAAAAAAAAAAAAAAAAAAAAAAAAAAAAAAAGAGACAAGAAGAAACAAAAGAGAAACGCCCTCAATGCGAATAATCAAAGCTCCCCTGAATGTGGCTCCAAAACTCCTCGATGATCTCTTTTTGGCCCTCCCCATTCGGCGACGGCCGGACGACAAGATACTTCCTCCCATCAACCTGGCCCTCCCACCCGCCCGGGTTCCCATCGACAACCAGCCCCCCAGCCTCCGTCACGATCACCCAACCCGCACACACATCCCACGCCCAACAGCCGCCCTCCCAGTATAGATCAAGAGCCCCCGTCGCAACCGCGCACATGTTCAGCGCCGCAGACCCTGTGCACCGCATGGAATGCACCATCGCCCCGCCCTCCTCCTCCGTCTTCCCCAGCCTCTCGAAGGTGCGCAGCTTCGTCTCCCAATTGCGCCCGACGCGATCAGAGCCCCACTCGACCGCGATCAGCGCATTGCGAAGGCCACGCAGCGGCTCGGTGGCGGCGCCATTCAGCGGCAGCTGGGTGGTGCGGTTGAAGAACGCGCCCTTGCCGCGGATGGCGGAGTAGAGGGCGGCGGTGGACGGGTTGAAGACGACACCGACGACGGGCTGCCTGTTGACGGTGAGGCCGAGCGAGATGCAGAAGTTAGGGAAGCCGTGGACGAAGTTTACGGTGCCGTCGATTGGGTCGACGATGAAGGTTGGTGCATCCGTGAGGACGGAGGAGAGGTGGTAGGTTTCTTCGCCCATGAATCTAAGAGTTGGAGCAATGTAATTCTGGGTCAGCGATGGTCTGGAGGGGGGTTGGATTTGAATGGTGGACGGGTAGAGATAGATCAATAGATTACTCGTATGTGGGATATCTGGATCTGAGCTCCTTGGAGACCATCGCTTCGACGGCACGGTCATATTCCGTTACGAGATCGGAGCCTGTATCGCAAAAATTGCAGTGTTAATATGTAGACATACAAATATGCATCATAAGGAGATATGCAATGTACTGGACAGGTACAGGTGCATTGCAAAGCAAATGGCGGGCGTTGGAAGTTTGCGGAGCAGCCCTACTATTCTTTTTGGAGTCGACGCCATTGACCAATGGCTTCGCACCGGTGATCACAGCTCCCGCCCGGGTGGCCAGATCAATGAGAAAGTCATGGATTTCCTGGAGATCGGGCGCTGGGGCATGGGCTGCGCTTATTGCCATTGTCGTCGTTGGCGAGCTTTTTCCGAATCCTATCTTGGCGGGGTTGAGCGGAGAATTCTGGTATTTAAAGATTGAAGTGTAGCTATTTAACTAAATAGTTCAGGGCGAATGAGGTGAAAGGCGGCGCACGATGGGTGATTGGAGCTCTGAAATGCGCATTTAAAAATACGAAACCGTGGGAATGGATGATGACTGGAATGAATGAATAATAATATATATATATATGTACTCGTAGTGGTAGATCTGTCGGATCAACGTTTAAGGATTGTATCAGCTTGAAATTCCTTAATCTTACTTGTATATACACCCTCTTTTTTATAATAGTTACTGCAATCTTTTCATGTAATTATCGGAATCATCTTATCTTAGTTAACTATGTACTCAATTGATAGCCAGTAATTTTGTGGCAAGGTTCGGAAACCATCGAAGTACACAAATACGCAAAAACCCAGGGAAAATCCACCAGGTCCCTCTCTAAGTTAGGGTGAATGAAAGGATTTGCCGTAATTTTTACTTTATCAATGTCTTCCTGACAATCGAGAAATCTCTCTGGCAAAGGACATCCCCACAGGCAGGCAGGCAATCATGGTCAACAAAATCTCTCAACACCGCTGCAAAACGATGATAACCTCGATATAATGGCCTAAGAGGAAGAAAAGGAATTTAACCTTGCATTGCTTTTTCATGCATTATGCAGAACATCCCTTGAGAACCCGCGGCGGAGAGTATAAATCCATAACCGCCCGAGTCCCCAGGTCCCAATCAGCGCTGCATTGTTTGCCGCATGCACTGAGAGCCTGGTGCCATTTGCGCAAAATCGCTGGATCGCAGCGGGGCGTGTCAACTTGTAATAATCATACATACATGCACAAGAAGCAATGTTGACTCCTGAGGTGTGTCTTATAGCGCGGGACGACCAGGGCCAACAGTCTTCCATTCCTCGCTGAGCTTTGCTGCGGTTGGCGTCGTATCGTCCTGGAGGGGATTTTCTTTCTTGAGTATATATTTGGCGTCTGGTTGGCTGTATTCGCTTTGTCAACGGCTTCAATTCCGTTGAACAAAAATTGTTATTATAAACATTCTATTCAAAGACGGAGTGGATTGTGGAGTCTTAGACTGCCGAGGTGTGAGGACACCTAGCACCCAGAAATGAGATCGCCGCGGAAAATAATCGAATGAGGGCCACTCGTTGTATATATCTATCTATCTATGTCAGAGGCAGGCGGCGGGGCAAGAGGAATGGGTGAGGGCTGACTGACTAAGCCAAAAAAATAGTTATTCTTTGCGTCATTTTCCATACATTTTTCATACATTCCTAGTAGATATCAACTTGGAATGTTTATCAGTCAGGAAAGACTACCATTTCCATATTTTTCTATTTCCTATAGAGAATAACCCCTTGAATACCGTCGCCGCTCCAATTTGTATTCCGACAGCCCTGTAATTTGAAAAATTGGTTAGACTTTCGGTGTAACATCGCGCATCGATAGCGGGCAACGGACGGTATGCCCTCTGAATTGGCAGAGGTATGCGATGTTTCCCTCGCTGCCAGCTATTCAGAACGGGGAGAACGTGCTTCAGCTAACCTGAGACTCCTTGCTACGTATCCACATACAGCTCGTAGAGTTCCTTCATCATGGAAACTCCCAGATACGGCAAATAGGTCTGTGGCCCACTCTTAATCCTGCATATCGTGTCTTCTGGCAATGTGTCTTTGCTGGTTTCCGGGCATGAATTTTGTCCTTCGTTTCGATTTGCCGTTTCCTTTCTGCTTCTCCTGCTTGTTGTTGATTAGTTAGTTGACAGCACGCAGCATGTGAAAATCTTCTTGGATTCTCGATATCTCAGCCTTCACTGTTCAAGGTTCATCAGCTTCTACCAGTGAGGGATCTTAAACTACTTGTTCGGGACTACACTGTGAGTGTCTTTCGGCAGACGCAAATATATACATCCCAATAATTCCTTTGAATGGTTTTGTTCAACTTTAATGAATAAATGAATTAACGCCCCTGAACAACTTACAGCCAATCTCCAAAAATGCATTGACGATATTGATAAACCTCTCCGGCGACGAGGAGGTTCTCAAAGAACTAGCTGAAGATGATGCTTTTCTGGAAACCCTCTTGAGTAAAGTCACGGTAATTATTTCAGATTCTGCGCCACTCCCAACCGGGACGTTAGTTCAAATGCGAAAATACATATCTAATCACAGCGCACAACAGAACAAGAAAGAACCCCACGTCAACGAAATCACCATGCTCCTCGCCAACCTCGCTAAATCCGATAGCTTCAAGCGTATCATAAACCTAACCCGCAGCGTGCCCAAGGATGTCTCTGGCTCCCCAAAGGCCCTCGACCAATTAATGGACTGCTTCATAAAGGGGCAGGATGGCGGCATCAACAAGGCCACCGACTCCAACTACGACTATCTAGCCTACGTCTTCGCCGACCTCTCCAAATACGACGAAGGTAGAGCCTACTTCCTCACTCGACAGGAATACGACTCCGTCATCCCCATCACCAAACTCACCATCTTCACCGAGCACCGCAGCCACATCCGTCGAAAGGGCGTGGCGTCGACGCTGAAGAACATCGCGTTCGAGGTACAGGCGCACTCGCAGCTGCTCGCGGAGTCCGGGGTGAACATCCTCCCGTACCTCCTGTTGCCAGTCGCGGGACCCGAGGAATTCACGGATGAAGAGAGCGCGGCCATGCTGCCGGATCTGCAGCTTCTACCGCCGGACAAGGAGCGGGATTCAGATAAGGATATCATCGCGACACATTTGGAGACGTTGCTGCTGCTGACGACGACGAGGGAGGGCAGGGAGCTGATGAGGGCGGTTAATGTGTATCCGATCATACGGGAATGCCATTTGCATGTTGACGATGAGGGGACGCGGGAGGGGTGTGACCGGTTGGTGCAGGTGCTGATGAGGGATGAGGAAGGGGAAGCCAATGGGGGGGAAGATGCAGTGTTGGCGAAGGCTAAGGCGGAGTTTGGGAAAGGGGTCGCTGACGAGGATGAGCAGATTGTGGAGGTGTTTTGATTCGGGGATTTTTGGTATATACCAGGATACTTCAAGAATCCGAGTTGTTTATAGACAGTTGTGCAAGTGCATTCAGCCTTTGTTCTCTCGTAGAAGTTGATGGGACTGGAGTAGTTGAGGACATGGCTATTGGAGCTCAGTTGCAGCGCATATGCTAGTAGTATACATGTAATCCTCAGAATTATCAACCCTACAATTTATGAAACTCCCCTGGATAGATCCTAAATTATTTAACGCGCGGATAACCTAAATGCCGCCAGCGGCGTCAATCCTCTAGGGGGCTAGTTTGTCAGTTAGGCTTCTATGCAAGTCATCGTCACGCAACCTCGGCTGAACCTGCCTTTTCTTTCCTGCGTAACTTTGTCCTATCTCTTAATTACCCTTCCCAACAACCCAACAACCCAACAACAAACAATTAACAGCTCAGGGCCCCGGTGGTATCACTCATAACCTCCTAAATAAATAATATCCCGCTGGACGCTTTTCATCTCTCACCATCCCCCTATTCCGATACAATCCCCTGCGATTTCATCAATGACAACAACAACAACGCAGCAATAGCGCCAGTCCCCGCCATGGAGGATTCAACCAGGTTGTCATGGTACGTCGAGATGGCAGCTCCCTTCCCATTCAGCCATAAAAAATTTGCACGCTTAACATTCCTCTCATCTCCACAGGCTTATCCGCCCATACACCACCACCCAGGCACTGCCACCTCCATCACCACGCCCACTTCCTCCGAAGCTGAAATTCGTCCCTGCATCGCAGAGCTCCTGCGCACGGGCTATCACCCCTCAGAACTAATCCTGCGCGTCGAACGTGTCATTGAAGTCTTGTTTACTCCAAGCCCTGGCCATGCCACTGGCACCACCACCACAACTACCGCCGCCGTTGCCGTTGCCGTTGCCGCATCCGCATCCGCATCCGCAAGACCGAATCGCAGGTCATACCGCGTATTCCTCAGCGATGGGGAGTTCGTTATCCAGGCGCTGTTGGCCAAGGCTCTTCATCGCTTTGCGTTGGCAGGAGAGGTAGCTGTGGGTTCTGTGATGAGGTTGGAGCGGTTTGAGCTTAGGAAGGGGGAGCGAATTGGTGGTAGCGATGGTGCCGACGGCGCGGGACAGGTGATGTTTCTCGCTGTTGAGGGTTTTCGATGTCTGACTAAGAAGGGTGTTGGGGAGAGGGGAACAAGGGTGCTGGAGAGGGGTGATGTCGAGGTGCGGGTGGGTGAGCAGAAGAGGAAAAAGGGTGATCAGGGTAATGAGGACGGTGGTGGTGGTGGTGGTGGCACTGGGCGTGGAGCGAAAGCGCCTAGGATTAGTGATGCGGACGGTGCAGCGGATATTAGTGGTGATTGGGAAGATGGCTTCTTGGTGGAGGACAGTATTTCCGATTGTTTATCTGGAAACTTGAATGGTATATTCGATTCTGGAAGTCAGATGTTCGAAGACTATGCGGATTCTGGAAATATACACAATGCTACGAAAGATGCCAAAGGGCACCCCGGAGTTCGGCCAGGATCCTCAACCTCAATGCAGGAGCAGGAGAGATCCGCCCATTTAGAGGAGCTTTCAACTGCAAACATTAGCTTCTCAAATTCGCCGCTACAACCAGAGCCACCCGAAACCATCAAACAAGAACCTTCCTCCTCCTCGCACACGGCCACTCAAAATCTCAATACACAAAATAAAAACAACACATCCACACAGTTAGGAACAGCGACGCACAGCCAGTTCAAACTCCCCGGCATCCTAGAGCCGGTATCTCGTCCCCTAAACCTCCACACACTCTCCCAACTCCTCCACCCAGCCAAGCCGCTACCAAAACGCAACTACCTCTGCGATGTACTTGCGGTGATATCCTGGATATCGCCAGACATCGTCAAGCGCCCACAGATGCCGCCGAAGCGCGATTTGCGCATCATGGATCCGACGATAACCAGCCACAAGAACAATCTCAACCACGCGCTGCAGCAGCGATTGGGTGTATCTGTTAGCGTATTTGTTGATGCGGCGGCTTTTAGCCCGCCGGTGGGGACAGTGGGCCTTTTCCGCTGTCTAAAGACGCACGAGTGGGAAGGGGTGAGCTTGAATGCGTATGAGAAGGATTGTAAGGGGCGAGAATGGTTTGTGTGTGAGCCGGGCAGGTTGAGGAGGATGTTGGCAGTGGTGAAGAAGGGGGAGGGCGTTTTTGATGTTGAGGAGATGGAGGAGTGGTGGAGGACCCGGTGTCAGGAGGAGAAGAAGAAAGAAGAGGAGGAGGAAGAGCCGGGGAGGGGAAATGGGCGAGATGGGCGAGATTGGTGAGATTGGTGCTGTTGAGAGGGCGGATTGATGATCACGAGGTAATGCAAGCTTTCATGATAATGAACTGATATGATACGATGTGAGGATGTGTTTATGGCTTATTACTAGGATGGAGTCTCAAGGTACATACTAGTTTGGGCTGAAGCTAGGATTGGGTTACCTGCACGCAGGTTAAAGCACTGCTGGAAATGGCTATAACTGCTATATGCATAGATATATATAGTACATAGCACGGTTGTATGAGCCACTATTAGTTTCACATCATTCACAGCCTTCTTCCTTCTCTATTCTCATGCAAATTCACCTCACTATTGCCAGATCTGCCACGCTGAATTCGCCTTCTCTAGTATGATCGGACCTCCATCCACGTTGCGGAGGTTGAGAATTGCCTTTTGGAGTTTAGTCGCCCATCACATGACCTGCTCTGATGTCAACGAGACGGGCCCCAAATCATTTATTTATCCATCGTCATATTCACGCCAGAGATGGAATCGTTGGTGTCCAGTTTCTGCTGTCGATTCAAAGCTGTCCTCCGTAATATATCACTGTGAGGACTATTAGCATAATAGTGTTCTCGTGGCGCTACATTGCCCCAACCAAATCAAGGATCACCTCCACTCGCAGCTCGCTTCAACACATACGTTAACTCTTGAGTCCTGAACGAACCACTCATTTCCCAATGGGATTTACCAACTACTGTCCTCTTTGAATTTGCCTGCTCCCTTGCTTAAGGAGGTATTCTCAACATCTCCTCTTCAACGACGCAGAACTCGAAACAATGAGCTCAACACCACCCAATCGGCCTCCAGTGACACGACCCCCTCCTGGCCCAAGCGGTCCGCCTATGAAAATCCGCCGACTCAAGGTTGACCCGTTGGTTCGACCCAAGAAGAAGCGAATTCCGTTATCGCCAGGACCAGGACCAGGACATCCCGGAGCAGGTCCAGTTGCGAACGGGAGAGTAGGATCTCCACGACCGCGACCTCTGCAAACAGCGCCCAGATCGCAACCTTCAGCTACACAACCCAAATCTGCTATTCCCAGCGCAGACGACCTTACTGTAAACGGATTCAGCGGACCGTTACTTTCTAAGACCTACGTCGATTATCCATTGGTAACCACCAAGCGCGCCTGGCGAGAGGGATTAAAACACCATGTTGCGAAGTTTGCCTCAAAGAAGAATATAGACCCGAGAGATGAGTCGCAGTTTACGCGACCAGTTCGGTTGCAGCGGCGCGATCCTCGAGCTTCGAATATTGGACCGGCGTCTGAAAAAGATGATCAGCCTTCACGGAGACACGGTGAACTCAACGAGGCTGAGCGGGAGGAGTTGGAGGCGAAGAAAGCCGCTAGAGAGAAGCAACGGGCAGACAACCTGGCGCAGATTGCCCCGTCGGCTGCGGTTACACAGAAAAAGACGAACGCGCTGAAGCAACGGACCCAGCAGGTGTTCAAGTCTGAGATGAATCCGGAGGAAATTGTGAAAGCCAGGATTAAGTACGAGGAGGCACTGCCTTGGCATCTGGACGATTTCGATAATAAAGGTACTTGGGTTGGGAATTATGAAGCGGCGATGTCCGAAACGTATGCGATGTTCGTGCTTCAAAATGATGGAAAGATGCGCATGGTACCCCTCGACAAGTGGTACAAGTTCACAACCAAAACCCCTTTCAAGACCCTAAGTATTGAAGAAGCGGAGAAGTTCATGGCGAAGAAGATTAAGGATCCCCGATGGTTCATGGAGAAGGAACAGGATAGAGCCCAGAAGAAAGCTCTGGAGGAGTATGCGAAACAGAGTAGACTCTTCACCGGCAGGAAAGAAGGGCATACAAGAGTTAGCGAGGGGTTTGAAAGAGATGACTTGGATTTCGAGGAAGACAGATTCGCTGACGATGAAGAACATGTCGGCATCTTTGACGAGGATGAAGATGCCAAGACGGCTGAGAAGAGAATAAAAGAGGATCAGCTCAAGGCGAACATCTTTGATCTGAAAGATGAACGCATGTACGATGAAGAGGAAAATCAGGAGAAGAAAGAAAAGGAGGCCCTTAGAAATTTTGGAAAACATGTTCGGAAAGCTCTGCAGCGGAGGGAGAAGAATTTCGATTATAGCAGTGGCTCAGATGCCAATCCATATTCTGACGAGGTATGTCCATTCATCTTCTCGACTGCGCATTTTGTTTGTGGGAAGCCAGCTAATTAATACCCTTCGCTACATAGAGCTCGGATGATTCCGAAACAGAGCAACTAAAGGAAGAAAAGCCCGAAGAGGAACGCGGAAAGAAAGAAAAGGGCAAAGAATCTGACAAGAACTCCGGTATATCAACAAAAGGGACGAATACTCCTTCAGGTCGTCTAAAACATACGGACCCGCTCGGCAAGAAGGCCGCATCCCGCGCTGCCCGAAAACGACCCGGCTCCCCAAATCTCTCCGAAGCCAGTGGCACAGATACCGGTCGTAAAAAGCCCAAGAATAAGCACGCCGATGTCCAGGTCGAGTCGCGTACTATGTCCCCAGGTCCCTCCGGCCAGCGCAAGCCAAACGTAGCAGCAGACCAGGCCAGCAAGAAACGTGGCCGAAACGGGGCCCCTGGATCTGGCAGCGATGGTGAACGAGGCGCAGGCTCTGGGGCCGAGATGAGCGATTCTGCTGCGGCAGGAAGCAAGAAACTCAAGCTGAACCCGCCAGGTGTGTTGTCGAAGATGGGGACACCGCGGGGTTCGCGTCCAGGGAGTCCAAGAGTTAATTCGCCAGGTATATCATATTCTCAATCTTCGCCCCCCTCCCCCCTTTCTTTCGACGACCGTTGTCCCTTTTTCTTGTTCAATGCCTTATGTATATTTTACATCTCGAAACCTATTCGTACTATACTAACAAAGTAAACGATCTCCCAGTCCCTCCAACGCGCACCTCCTCCCCCGGTTTAACTACACCTGTATCCACAAACCTCGCCTTCCCCACGGCGTTAGAAATCCACTCCGCCATCCCGGCCACCGGTATTGCCAGCGCCGAGCTGCTGAAGATTTTCCGCCCTCGCATTGGGGATTCGAAGGAGAATCATCGCAAGTTTATTGCGATTGTGAGAGATGTGAGCATTTATGGGAAAGAGGATAAGTTGTTGAGACCTGGCGTTTTGAAGGAGGGAACGGGGTGATTCTTGGTTTTTATGTGATTTTCGATTTGTCGAACACCGTGACGGCATGTATGTATGGATGTATGTATTGGTTTGCGGGATCGTGGCAGCAACCAAGTAAGAGAGATAAGATAAGTAAAATAGTATAAAGCAGGAGGCGGAGAATAGGAAAATTGGGATGCGCACTGAGTTTGTGAGCTAAGTGCCGTTTTCGTGTCTTTCTTTTTTGTCAATCTGGGGATTTTTTTTAGGCTAGAATTTCCTATTATAATGAATGACTGGCTAGTTTTGATGGACTTGCGCTAGGTGGATATTGATCATTTTGATAACTGACATACCCTTTCCTCGTCATTCCTGATAGATACTCTTTTCCTTCCAGGGCTTATGGATTCTTTCAGTTCTTTTATGGATAGACAGCTCTTGTGGCTCGACTCCCATATCTTACTTGGACACGGTTGGGAAACTTACGATGCCGAACATCAGCTTTCCTGAAATATTATTTTTATCTCCGTATTAAAATGGGGTTTAGTTATGGGTGGTATCTACGTACATCTATCTATCCACAATCATGAAGGATCATGATAAATAAAAACGCATCGTGTAAGTGAGAACAGTCAAACTCAAAAAAAAAAACCATCAAATAAACATCGGGAAAAATTTATTAAGTAGGATTAAAAGGAAACAAATAGAACCAGAACATCGGCGCACAACATTAAAACTCGAAAATGAAAACATCATCCATAAACGTAAAGATATCTAAAACATAAAGAGAGCATAAAGCGACAACGCCTGCACATTTTCTACTTCAACTTCCTCCTTGCCTATATACTATCTATTCGTTCTCACTCGTAAAAAGTTTCTAAACTGTTTATTTCTCCCCGTCTTCATACTTCCCCCAGTTTGCAAGCACAGCCCCAATCCTCGGCGAATTTGTCAACTTATACACATCCTCAAAATACTCCTTAGTCAACTCGAACGGCTTCGCAGTGACGTTCGGAATATACTTTCCAATCAATTTGCTCGGGTCGATGGTGGTTTTGTTAATCTTTTTGAGCAGGAAGGATCGGAACGGCTTCACGCCGGAGCGTAGGAAAGTGCTGTGGAATGGGACGTCGATGCCTTTGAGTGGGATGGTAGCGAAGCCGCGTTCAAGGGTTATGGGTTGCGGTTTGGAGTTGGTGAGTTGGGAGCAGGAGGTGATGATTTCGACGAGGTGGGCGCGCAGATCGTCGATGGACATTGTGGACATTAGGGTTGTTATGTCTATTTTTTGGGCTTTAAGGACATTGAGGACGTTGGTGAGGGTGTCCAGGGCCCGGAGCTAAAGATTTGTTAGATGACCTTGGAACTAGAAAGGTAAAGAGTCTACGACCAACTGATGGTCAAAGCAAACAGAGGAACTTACATCTCCCGCACAAACATACTGCAAATTCGCAATGTTGTAGTTGACAATCTCCAACAACCACCCTGTTTGCTCTGCAATATTCTCCACAACGTACTGCAACGCCTGCTCATTAAACGTCTTCGAGATCCGACTCGGGTTCACCGCGCACATAGAGTAATTAGACCGGCCCAGCTCGTCCCTCTCAACGGCCACTTGCATCGTCAGACCACGGTAGAATACCACAGACACGAGTGATTCGATCGGCATCACGTCAGCCAGTGCTGCAAGTGCGGAGTACTCGCCCAACGAGTGTCCAGCGAAACTGCTGTCGCGCTGCACGAGGCCTTTGGATCGCATGTCCTCGAAGCTGGCTTTTTCCATCAATGTCAGGGCTGGCTGGGTGAATTGTGTGGCCGAGAGAAGACCCGTGGGCGACCGGTAGGTGTACGAGATGCTGTTTTCATCGATATCTTTAAAGATCTTCTCGGACTTAATGGTTCCGTCGGCATTGACAGTCTCGAATGTCATGGCCATATAATTCTGACGGATGATTTTGCCGCGAGGTCCACCGAAGTGAATAGTCAGTTCCTGCGGGTTGTTCTTGACAATGTTGATGATCGACAGGCCGTAATTCTCGATGAAGTGCTTATCAGCACGATCCCAGACTTCCTTGGCGACGGCGCTGGAATTATAAAGGTCCATACCCATTCCTTGTTCTTGCGAACCCTGGCCTGTAAACACATATGCGGATACCGGCTGTTCCACTTCAGCTTCGCCGAGCAGCACTTTTTCTTCCGTCGCCTGGTTGCTTGCTTCGACCTTGATGATTTTCCGGCCAGCTACCATGCCGATGTGCTGGAGGACGACCACAAGGTCATCGTTTGGCAACACCATCCCAACCAGCGAAGCGTGGAAACTGCGAACACGCCCGATATTGTTCTCTGCAGCCCACGTCTCGACGAGACTCCGCACCGCGGCACTGGTATACATGCCATGTGTGATTGTGCCGGGCAGATTGGCGTAGCTGGAGAACACGCGGGAGACATGGATAGGGTTGTAATCGCCCGAGACGCGCGCATAGGTTTCATTTGACGCGGGCGCGCGGAGGGTAAGCGGCGTTTTTCCGCTGAGTGGGATCGGGTTCTCGAAGTTGACGGGTTGCTCGATAGCTGAGCCGTGGCGTTGGAGGTAATCGATGACTGGGTTCCCATGAGAGGTACCGGCCTCGTACTCTACGGAGGCAACTTGGATGACTTCCTTGGTGGGCAGTTCGAGGAGCACTTGGCCGATTGTTTGCACGCTGCTAAAGATAGTTTGGTTTTTAAACCGGACAAGACTTTGTAGACGAAACGTGAGCGTCTGGCCGAGGAGATCCACATCAGGTTCATCGAGGCGGAACCATTCCTTCGATTGTAGCACAGCGACATCCTTGGATGAAGCTAGATGGATCTGCATGGGGACCTCCTCCTTGCGCTGGAAGGTAGTCTCATAATCATTATAGGACCCACGATACAAAAACTGACTTGTAACCTCCATAATCGGCTTGCCCTCCCTCCTAATTGTCCCACAGACTTCAACCATCTTCCCGGAATCTTGGTTAATCACCGCATTAACTTGTGCCGTAGTTTCAAGTACATCGCCAACTTTCAGCGGCTCAGAGCCAGGAATCATCCTGAAACCATTGGACAGATGTACCAGCTTCAATAGATCGCCATCAATGACGCGGGGGAATATGGGCTTCGTGATGGCCTTCCATCCAACGACGATGGCGAAATCCATGGGTGCAAACACCTCTTTTCCAGGTCGATCAACGAACGCCTCACCAGTATTTCCGACAGCGTGCACGAAATCAGCAATCGCTTGGCTCGTAACAGTGGCCTTGCCGCCATCAAAGATTGCGGTTGCAGGAGTATCGAATGGGACGTTCCGCTCGCCAAACCAAATACGATAATAAAACTCCTTGATCCGGTCATTTCGATCATCCATGACTTCGCGAATGGGCGCGTATCCTGTTTCCGGATGATATGTGAAACGGAAGCAGAGCGGCACGACGCCACCTTCAGCAGTTCGTCCCTCAAACAAGGTCAGGGAGATTTCCCGCTCGCCGTTTGTTCGCACTTCGACTGTCTTGACGAGTTTTCCGGCGGGGGACGGCTCGCGGACACTGATAATGGTTTTGCGCGAGTCGTTGGGGTATTGGATCTCAACAAACATGCCTGGAGTTGGTGCAAGAATCCGCTTCATCGGGTTCGTCTGGAACTTCTGGCCCTGGATGAAAACCTCAGTAGTGAACATAGCATAACGCCATGAGTAGGTCCTGCCCGCAAGCAGATGCAACCAGCGGTCGAGATCGGGGAGGTTGGCGGATGTAGAAGGTGAGAGGCGATAAGAGACTTTGGTAGCATCCTCGGAGACGGTTAGGCCGTCGATATCGCTCTCCCCGTCGGTTTCTAGCAGCAGCTGTCCGCCGAAGTACTCGATGACAGGGACGTTGGATTCATTGCCGCCGTAGACGTCATTCACAAGACCTTTGATATGGTCATTGTGAATGCCATCGAGGATATCTTTGACGGGCTCGTCGATTGTGTTGGAGTACTTAGCAGCCATAGGACCTTGGAGAATACACACGCGGCCCACATCTTGGCCCACAACGGCTTCGAGGTCCTCGGACTGCCAGAGGGAGTCCTTCTTGAACCAGAATTCAAAATTTTCATCTAGTGATGGGACAAACGGCACAGGCTTCTGACCACGGCGCTGGCAGAGAAGAAGGAAGTGCTGAACATCTTGTGCAGAGATCAACTGTGACGTCGCTTCTGGGTATGCGTTTAGAATATTGTCGACAGCCGGGTAAGGGGTATCGAGCTGCGTATAATTTTGTAGCAGTGATGGTTGTCCCTCGACGGAAGTAAACCGCTCCTCAATACGTCGGATGAAATCGCCCGTGAGTCGTTTCAAAGAGTCATCAATCCATCTCGATTCATGCTTCACATACATGAGGTCTACCATGCGATGCACGACCTCGGTATATGTCATATCTTCCAAATCCACAGTGTCGCCCTGCGAGTTGCGCCCAAACCAGACCTTCTGGAAATCAGCATTCAACTTCTTAATGATATAATCGCGTTGCTTTTTTAACTCTGGCAGACGTTTAGCCTTATCCAGTGAGAAGATCTTCTGGTCCATCTCGTGCCAGAAACGGACACCACGCGTGGCCAGCTTATGAATTGGCTCGCCCATCTCGGAACGAACGGTGATGACACCACCAGCAGGGCCGCTATATGTATCTTCCCAGCGACTATCGTCAACACCCTCAGCTTCAACAATGGCCTGTTTAGCGGCCTTGGAAGTATGTGCTTCCTTGGCGGTCATCATGCGACTACCAAAGAGGCATCCATCGAACGGCATTGGGGGGTATCCGAATTCCCTCGACCAGGATCCGGTCAAGTAAGGGTAGGTATCTTGAGACCCGCCGAATCCGCTACCAGCGACCAGCACGATATTGTCACATCTCCTAATGCGGCTGTACATTTGCAGAATTGGCTGATGGAAATCCTCGAACGAATGATGGCCGCCACCACGACCACCAGTCCACTGCATGATCACAGGGAAAGTGGGGTTTGCTTTAGCGATGTTGATCACCTGCTGGATAGCATCCATAGAGCCCGGCTTGAAACCGATATGCTTGATGCCGAGAGTTTGGATGTATTCGTTGGCGACTTCGATAGACGGCACACCTGCACCAATCGTCAGACCTTCAATTGGAACGCCGTCAGCACGCAGTTTGCCAATTAACGGGATTTGCCATCCCATAGCGCGCGGGTTAACATAAATCAAGTTAACAGTAATACCGCGGCCAGGGGGGATGTTCTTCTCGATCTTGTTAAGAGCTTCCGTCATCGTTTTAGCATTGTAGTATCCACCACCAGCGAGTTCGATTTGGTACCCTGCATTCATAGTCGCAGCGACGAAGTCCCAGGGGACCGTTGTAGGAGTCATACCGGCAACCATGACGGGAGGGACTCCAAGCAGCCTACTCATTTTCGTGTCGACAAATGTCTGGCCAACGGAGGTTTTAACTAGCCGCGGGCCGTGCTCCTTAACCCAATCCACAGCATATTTGACAGCATGTTCCTCATCCCGGTCAAACAACTCCGGTTTGTAGCCAACTTCCGCGTTAGTGCCATCCATTGCTCCAGAAAGGATAACCCGAACACCAGTACCATCTTTGTTGCGATTAGTCAAGACGCCCAACCCTGAAATTCCTCCAGGGCCGAAGTCTAGGACATGAGTTGCCTTGGGAAAGACAGTGGCCTTCTCCCAGTTGACGGGGTCTCTCGTGATCATGCGAATCAAAGCCGGGACGATATCTTCGTCTCTGTCGCGCAAGTCTTCACCGGTATTGGTATCGTACACGGGGATACGCAGGGACTTGGATGGAATGGCCAGATCCTCTAGGTCCTCTGTGATTTGTTCGAAAGCAGAGGCGAGGTATTGGCTGTGGAACGGTGCGGTGATTGGGAGGAAGCGATTGACAAATCGAACCTTTCGCTGCGTATAAGGTACACGAGTCTGATCTAATCCCGTGGGGGCCTTAACCTTGCGCAATCGAAGATTGAGACCGTAAAGAGATATAGGAGGCCCCGTTACTACAAAGTTGCGAGCACTGTTTACCAGCGAGATGGCAATATGTCGATCTTGAGGCAAATGCTGGTTGGTGGCATCGATGTGCTCTTGGACAGCGGAACGGGCAAGATCTCGAATTGACAGCATTGGTGTTGGCACCCCTTCGCCGTTCTCAACTGAATCTTGAAGGATAGAAGGGGCAAGGGAGGTTCGCGGGTATGCTTGCTGGCTTCGCATTCCGATCCAGAAGAGGATCGTCAAAGCGCTTTTGGAGGCTTTGTAAAATGTGTCCCACGTGGTAGCCGTAGCGATCAGAGCTGCAGTGACAATGCCCTGGGAATGGCCCGTGGTGCCGCTGAATCTCTCCAGGACTTCGCCAGGCTGTTTTCCCATAACCTTACACGTAGTCACATAATGTGCTAGCTGGACCAGACCGATCAGGGGAAGACTAACGGGCGCAGACACCAAGTAATCCGTGTCTGGCTGAGAGTCGCGGTCCTCAAGCCATCGTACAATATCCATCCCTTTGGAGTAGAGCTTGATGGCATCCGGGTCGCGGGAGAGAGACTGCAGAAGCTCTGCAGAAGACGCAATGAAATCCTCCACAAAGGAAGGATATGTGGTGTAGATTTCCCGGAGCTCATCAAAATATTCCTCGATGTTTCCCTGGCCACCATAGACGCTGTACAGTTGTGCATTACCATCGGCAGCAGCACGCAGCAAGGCAGAATCGTGTGGTTTGGTGGGCCGATTTGCTGCCGCACGACCCGCATAATATGACTGTACGACGAGAAGTTTCTTTGCAGTGATTCCTGGAAGCGTAGAGGCGATGGCATGTACATCGTTGCCCCGCATAAACGCGCGCTCGAATTCGTTTAGGACAAGCTTCAATACCTCGACATAAGAGCCCTGTGCGTCATCCTCGCCTTCTTCTACTTGGCTAGCAACGTAGCCCAAATACCTAGCAACGAGCTCCTGCACAGATGAAGGCTCGTCATCCTGAGCCAGTTCATCGGTGGGGGCAGGTAAAGAAGCTGAAAACGAATCCCTGAGTTGTTGTGCATGGAAATGTAGGGAGGTCGGGACTAGAAATGAGAACTCGAGGGAGCCGTGGGACAGGATGAGAGGGCGGAGAGATTGTGAGGATCGCGGGGTATTAATGCCAGTCTGGGGGCCTGTAGACGTGCCGTACATGATGCTGGTAGAGAGGCAAACTGAGGAGGCCTGTTAGTCAATTGAGAGGGTTGTAGGAGATTGGAAAATCAGGTAACTTGCCTGTGAGTTTTATGAACAGCTAATCTCGGTTTCAAGCAGGCAGGTTGAGGTGGCGATAGTCCCCAAGTTTCACAGCGGGAGGGCGTTGAAGAAACGACGCAAGGATGTTGGGAGGAAGGGAGACCACAGCAGCGGCATTCAGCTCATGAGTAGCCGTCAAGAGGAATGAGAGAAGGAGTAGCTGTGCAATAATGTTGAACACTCCACCGTTTGTCCGTGCCAGGGCAGCAACAGTAGTGGAAGAGAACAAGGAGCGGAGTACCCAGTTCTGAGGGGGAAAAAGCACAGAGACTAAGAAATTGAAGAACTGGAGACTTTGAAGATGTTGAAGCAAGATACTTGCTGGTTTTCTGCCCCATTGGGAAAATTTGATGCCCGGTAATTAATACCAAGAATTACAGCTGAATAATAAGTCGTTGAACGCATATAGCACACATTAGGCTTAGCGGGTAACTTTGGACCCCAAAAAAGCAAAATGGTTGGGCTTAGTCATGCAGTAGTCTGGCCCAGATTGCCGGGTTGACAATACGATACACTAGTGGCCGCAGGCTCTGAGCTCCCAACAGTGTGCATCAAAATGTTGGCAAATGTGGTGTTGGGGTCCTGGCAAGCGGATATAGGAGGATGGCGTTTAATCCTGTTTTATCAGAGAGTAAAACGTGGGCGATTATATATTTATCCACCAATTTCAATTCTGTTGTTTAGCCATCTTTTGTCTCTTAACTCCTCCCTGATCGGTCGGCTTCAAGTAAGCTCCATCGTATCGGATGCGCACACCGTATTTGCCATACCGGAACAATACGCAGCTGCCGTGCCCTGGCCCGCTACAGACAAGCATTGGCTAGTGTCCCAACCAGGCACCGTACGGCGTATTGTAATTCGGATACCGTACCAATAATCTCAACTCCCCAACAACAAACTCCGAACTTCTCTCGGTGTCACTATTTTCGGTTTTTTTTTCTTGTTCTTCACTCCACCCTCCCCTCTCCCACTTTCCACCCACTGACGTTGACTGCTTGGAGGGATTTTTCTCCAGGCTCACTCATTGTTGGTTGAAGGACGTCTGTGGTCCGCATTACTCCATCATCCTTCTCTGCTCCTCCCTCGGCATGCGATTGGAGTTTCTCTTTTGCCGCTTTAATTTTTTTTAATTCAAGCTGGGGCATACCAAGCTTATATCAAGCATCCTTCAGTCTCCCAAATTCTCACAGTACATAATATATCCAGTCCTCCCTTTATCTCCTCTCCATATCGTCTTCCACTTCCTCTCATTCCCATCAACATGCGCCCCGAAGTCGAGCAGGAGCTCGCCCATACCCTCCTTGTCGAGCTCCTCGCATACCAATTCGCCTCCCCCGTCAGATGGATCGAAACCCAAGATGTCATCCTCCAGGAGAAGCGTACGGAGCGCATCGTCGAAATAGGCCCCGCTGACACCTTGGGTGGAATGGCCAGGCGTACGATTGCGTCCAAATACGAAGCTTACGATGCAGCTACCTCCGTCCAACGCCAGATTCTGTGTTATAATAAGGATGCAAAGGAGATTTATTACGATGTTGATCCCGTAGAAGATGAGCCGGAGTCCGTCCCTGCTACTGCTGGTGCTGCGGCTTTCACCACTCCTGCAGCATCCGGCTCTGCTCCTACTCCAGCGGCTGTTCCAGCCCCATATCCAGCTTCAGCTCCATCCCCATCGACTGGACCAGCTGCTGCTGTTGCGGATACACCAGTTACAGCTCTGGATATAGTTAGAGTGCTTGTGGCGCAGAAATTGAAAAAGCCCCTGGCAGATATTCCCCTGACAAAGGCTATTAAGGATCTAGTTGGAGGTGAGCAATTCTCATTTGTTTTCTTTGTCAATTATCCACCCTGGGGTTCCAGTGGAAACGCTGAATTAATGTTATATTTCTTGTAGGCAAATCAACTCTTCAAAATGAAATTTTAGGCGATCTCGGAAAAGAATTCGGCTCAACCCCAGAGAAACCAGAAGATACGCCACTAGATGAGCTTGGTGCTGCTATCCAGCCTACTTTTAATGGCCAACTTGGCAAACAATCCTCATCACTCGTTGCAAGACTTGTTTCGTCCAAAATGCCCGGTGGTTTCAATATTACCGCTGTCCGAAAGTATCTTGAAACAAGATGGGGACTGCAAGCAGGTCGACAAGACAGCCTTCTTCTTCTGGCTCTAACTATGGAGCCTGCATCGCGACTGGGCTCGGAAACGGACGCCAAAGCATACTTGGACGATGTTGCCAATAAATATGCCGCCCATGCGGGTATCAACCTTTCTACCACTCCCGCTGGTGGAGATGGAGGCAATGGAGGTGGTGGCATGATGATGGACCCAGCCGCTCTAGACGCCCTCACTAAGGATCAACGTGCATTCTTTAAGCAACAACTCGAGCTTACGGCCCGGTATCTTAAAAAAGATCTTCGCGCAGGCGATAAGGCTTTCCTGGCCTCCCAGGAAACTCAGGCTGCTCTCCAGGCGCAACTGGATCTGTGGCATGCTGAGCACGGTGACACATACGCTTCTGGCATAGCGCCGTCATTCGATCCTCTCAAGGCCCGCATCTACGATTCATCTTGGAACTGGGCGAGACAAGATGCGCTCAACATGTATTACGATATCATCTTCGGCCGGCTAAAGGCCGTGGATCGTGAAATTGTCAGTCAATGTATCCGTCTTATGAATCGGTCGAATCCTCTTTTGTTAGAATTTATGCAATACCACATTGACAACTGCCCAACCGAACGCGGCGAAACATATAAACTCGCAAAGGAACTTGGCCAGCAACTCCTTGAAAATTGCAAGGAGGTTCTCAATGAGAAGCCTGTTTACAAAGACGTTGCCGTACCAACAGGACCTCAGACTATCATTGACTCCCGGGGAAACATCAAGTACTCGGAAATTCCTCGAGGTAGCGCCCGGAAACTCGAGCATTACGTCAAGGCAATGGCGGAGGGTGGGCCCATTTCCGAGTACAGTAACCGCGCCAAAGTCCAGAATGACTTGAAGAGTGTCTATAAACTCATTCGCAAGCAACACAAACTCTCCAAGTCGTCTCAGCTGCAATTCAATGCTCTATACCGCGAGGTTCTACGTGCGTTGTCCATGAACGAGAACCAAATCATGCCTCAAGAAAACGGCTATGCGAAGAAGGGCAGTCGCAATAGCTCGAGATCTCGCATGAACGGTACGGTCGCCAACGGGAATGGGAACGCAAACGGACACGGAAATGGACGCACGGGCAAAGTGGAGACCATCCCATTCCTCCACCTCAAAAAGAAACACGCCAATGGATGGGAATATAGCAAGAAACTCACCGGCATCTATCTCGACGGGCTGGAATCTGCTGCTCGCGCTGGCGTCACGTTCCATGGTAAAAATGCTCTGATGACTGGTGCAGGGGCTGGATCAATTGGCGCGGCTGTATTGCAGGGTATGATCAGTGGTGGTGCCAAGGTCGTCGTCACCACAAGTCGATTTTCTCGAGAAGTCACTCAGTACTACCAGACTATGTACACCCGCTACGGGGCGCGGGGTTCACAACTTGTTGTCGTTCCTTTCAATCAAGGCAGTAAGCAGGATGTTGAAGCGCTTGTGAACTACATTTATGATCCCAAGAATGGACTGGGCTGGGATCTGGATTATATCGTGCCATTCGCTGCCATCTCTGAGAATGGCCGGGAAATTGACGGCATCGACTCGAAATCTGAACTCGCACACAGAGTCATGTTGACCAACATTTTCCGCCTGCTTGGTTATGTCAAGTCCCAGAAACACGAGCGCGGGTTCGAAACTCGTCCCGCTCAGGTTATCCTGCCACTGTCTCCAAACCATGGTACCTTTGGTAACGATGGCTTATACTCCGAGTCGAAACTCGGGCTTGAAACTCTCTTCAACCGCTGGTATTCTGAAAGTTGGGCAAATTACTTGACTATCTGTGGTGCCGTCATCGGCTGGACGCGTTGTACCGGTCTCATGAACGCCAACGACGTGATTGCCGAAGGTGTCGAAAAACTTGGCGTTCGCACGTTCTCGCAGCAGGAGATGGCGTTCAACCTCCTAGGTCTCATGGCGCCTGCCATCGTCAACCTGTGCCAAAACCAGCCCGTCTTCGCCGATCTTAACGGTGGCCTCCAGTTCCTGCCTGATCTCAATGTGCTGATGAAGCGGCTGCACGGCGAGGTCAAGGAGACAAGCACCGTCCGGCAGGCTGTCACTAAGGAGACGGCGCTAGAGAATAAGGTTGTCAATGGCGAGAGCAGCGAGGCATTATATAAGAAGGTCACCACAGTTCCCCGCGCGAATATCAAGTTTGAATTTCCGAAACTCCCCGACTGGAAAGAGGAGATCGAGCCGCTCAACGCTAATCTTAAGGGTATGGTGAATTTGGATAAGGTGGTTGTTGTCACGGGCTTTGCGGAGATTGGTCCCTGGGGTAACTCACGCACCCGGTGGGAGATGGAAGCGTACGGGAAATTCTCACTGGAAGGCTGCATTGAAATGGCGTGGCTGATGGGGCTGATCAAGAACCATAACGGTCCCATCAAGGGCAAGCCATATTCCGGCTGGGTTGATGCAAAAACCGGAGAGCCTGTCAGTGATAAGGATGTCAAAGCAAAGTATGAGAAACACATCCTGGAACATTCTGGTATTCGTCTTATTGAGCCGGAGCTTTTTGGCGGGTATGATCCGAAGAAGAAACAGATACTCCAGGAGATCGTGCTGCAGGAGGATCTGGATTCATTTGAGGCGTCCAAAGAAACTGCAGAGGAGTTCAAGCGCGAACATGGTGATAACGTGGAGATTTTTGAGATTCCTGATTCTGGGGAATACACTGTCCGCTTGCTCAAGGGAGCTACCCTTATGATCCCCAAGGCTCTTAAGTTCGATCGCCTGGTTGCCGGCCAAATTCCCACGGGCTGGGATCCGAAGCACTATGGGATTCCGGATGATATTATCAGCCAGGTGGATCGTGTTACTCTATTTGTCCTAGTTTGCACTGTCGAGTCCCTACTTGCGGCTGGTATCACTGATCCATATGAATTCTACAAATATGTCCATATCTCAGAGGTTGGTAACTGTATTGGCTCTGGAATTGGTGGATCCCATGCTTTACGGGGTATTTACAAGGATCGATACCTTGATAAACCGATACAAAAGGATATTCTGCAAGAATCTTTCATCAACACCATGAGTGCATGGGTAAACATGCTTCTGCTCTCATCTACAGGCCCCATCAAAACACCTGTTGGCGCGTGTGCCACAGCCGTCGAATCCATTGATATCGGTTATGAGACTATCATTGAGGGGAAAGCGCGCGTTTGTTTCGTCGGCGGCTTTGATGACTTCCAGGAAGAAGGGTCATATGAGTTTGCGAATATGCAAGCTACTAGTAACGCCGAGAAGGAATTTGCCCATGGCCGTACGCCCCAGGAGATGTCCCGGCCAACTACCACCACGCGGAGTGGATTCATGGAGTCACAAGGTTGCGGCATGCAGCTGATAATGAGCGCGCAGCTTGCATTGGATATGGGTGTGCCCATCTATGGTATTGTTGGTTTGACGACCACGGCTACGGATAAGATTGGTAGATCTGTCCCTGCGCCTGGAAAGGGTGTCTTGTCAACTGCCCGCGAGAATCCTGGAAAATTCCCCTCCCCGCTTCTCGATATCAATTACCGTCGTCGCCAGCTCGATCTCCGCAAAGCCCAGATCAAACAATGGCAAGAGTCAGAACTTCTCTATCTCAACGAAGAAGTTGAAGCAATGAAAGCCCAAGCTACCGAACCATTCAATGTCGACGAATATATGCAAGAGCGTATCGAGCACATCAAGCGTGAAGCAATCCGCCAGGAGAAAGACGCCGCCTATAGCCTGGGCAACAACTTCTGGAAGCGAGATTCGCGCATTGCTCCACTTCGCGGCGCACTGGCTACCTGGGGCTTGACCATTGACGACCTCGACGTGGCGTCCTTCCACGGCACCTCCACTGTCGCCAACGACAAAAACGAATGCGATGTTATCTGCCAACAGGTGAGGCATCTTGGCCGCCAGAAGGGCAATGCGATGATGGGTATCTTCCAGAAGTACCTTACAGGTCATCCCAAGGGTGCCGCAGGTGGCTTCATGTTCAACGGTGCGTTGCAGGTGTTGAATTCAGGCCTTGTGCCTGGCAACCGCAATGCGGATAACATCGATAAAGTCATGGAGAAGTTCGACTATATCGTATATCCGAGTCGCAGTCTGCAGACAGATGGCATCAAGGCGTTCTCAGTGACGTCGTTTGGGTTCGGGCAGAAGGGAACTCAAGCGATCGGCATCCACCCCAAGTATCTGTTTGCGACACTTGATAAGACGACGTTTGAAGGGTATAAGAGGAGGGTTCAGGCGAGACAGAAGAAGGCGTACCGGTATTTCCATAACGGGCTTATTAATAATAGTCTCTTTGTGGCCAAGGACAAATCGCCGTATGCTGATGAGATGGAAACAAAGGTCTTCTTGAATCCAGACATTCGGGTTGTTCTTAATGAGAAGACAGATACCCTGGGTTATGCTACCACTCCCGCCCATGGCAATGGCACCGCCAATGGCAAAAATGCCAGCCCCACGCACAAGTCATCCACGCCAGCACCATCCGAGGACCCTCAAACCCTCCACACGCGCCAGATGGTCGAGTCCCTCGCCAAAGCGACTGCGTCCGAAAACTCCAAAGTCGGCGTTGACGTCGAAAGCATCGCAGCCATCAATATCGAGAACGAAACATTCATCGAGCGCAATTTCACGGAGGAGGAGCAGCGGTATTGTCGCGCGGCGCCGTCCCCGCAAGCGTCGTTTGCTGGCCGGTGGAGCGCCAAAGAAGCTGTTTTTAAGAGTCTTGGGGTCGCGGGCAAGGGGGCTGGGGCGGCATTGAAGGATATCGAGATTTTGAGTGGAAGTGGAGGTGGACCGGTTGTTGTTGTAAGTTCATTTTTCTTTTCATTTTTCACTACTCACCCTGTCCGCGAAGCAGTGGGAAGAAACGGTTTACTGACATTTACCCGCGATACTATTTAGCTACACGGCGATGCTGCTGCTGCTGCGAAGCAGGTGGGTGTTAAGGAGGTTAGTGTTAGCATTAGTCATAGTGATACACAGGCTATCGCGATCGCGATGTCGAAGTTTTGAGATCCATTAATCTGTGTTCCACTTTCAGACGTATTGGGGATAAGGAGGATGCGAACTTAGACATTTTGTTGTTAACATAGAGCCAAGGGGAGGAAGCGGAAAAGTCCTCCTCTTAAGATTTCTTTACTCGGGGGATACATATGTCCTTTTGTTTACTTTTCTCATTTATTTTAATTTTTTCTGTACAGTGGGAATGACCAAGACGGGAGAAGGTAATGTCATGTTTTTTCCTACTTGGTTTCTTTTTCTTTTTCCATCCTTTTACCTTGATGACGAGTCTGATGATATATTTTAATAATATTTTTATGGACGTTTTTTTGCATGTTTAATCAAAATATCATATAAGCATTTCGTACTGTATAATAGTACTTCTCGATAGCAATAATAGCCTCTTTCACCACGTTCAACATAGCTTCACCACAAATACTATTCAGTTTATCGTCATTCCCCTGATTTTTAGTATATAGTCACGTGGTAGTTATATCAATTAAAAAACTTCCGAACCTCGCAGCTAGCAGAGTAAGATCCACAAATGTGCGCTTCCAAGCTGCTATGGAACTTCGATGCACCCAATTCTCTCCTTGAGAAGCGCACGCACATGCACACGCATAAACCCTGCATTTTTGCTATGTTGGGCGACAGCTTTAGCGCCTCCAAAATCTACAGCCCTTGGTGCTCGACTTCCGCCGCTCCTCCGTAACACACAGCTCACTACTAACATTAAGAGCTTATCTACCGCGCTTCCATTGTCCCAAAAGGGTAGTAAGCTCCGGATCTGTCTCCGATTGCCATTGACCGTATTTCCAGAGAAGCGTGTGTTTTCAAGGACGAGCGCTAGCTCAACAAAAGCTGCAATGGCTGAGACGGCTGGGGAAATCTCCGGTTCTCTGCCTGCAGCCGTGGAATCGGGCACGGAGTTGAGCGCGGGACAAATTGTGAGTCATGAGGGAAAGGAGTACATGGCAGTTAAGGAGGGTTTGGCGTATATACTGATACCGCGATCCCAAGAACAAAGTCAAGAATGGGATGGGATGGCGCAAAAGGGAACGGGATTGGGCGAGGAGAATATAACGGCTCCTCAGGAAGATGAGGAGTTGCAACGGCCCAAGAAACAACAGGGAAAGCAGCAGCAACAGCAGCAAAACAAACAGCAGCAAGAGACACAGTCTGTCTTTTACAACCCAATTCAGCAATTCAACCGCGATTTGAGCGTGTTGGCGATCCGGGCCTACGGAGAGCATGCGCTAGTGGTGAAGAGGGAGAAGATGGAAAAGGCGGCTCTAAGTAAGAGAGCGTCAAAAGTGAAGAAGAGGAAGAGAGTAGTTGCGGATGTTGGGGGGAGGGAAGCTGAGGGGCAGAATAGAGGGGATGGGGATGGGGATGAGGAGGGCAATTCTCTTGGGAAATGTGTTCGGGCGGAGCAACAGGATACAGCAACAGGTACAACTACAACCACGGTTACAGAGCAGAATAAGATACCGCCCTTCTCCATCCTCGACGCTCTCTCTGCAACCGGTCTCCGCGCTCTCCGCTACGCAAAAGAAATCCCCTTCGCAACACGCATAGTCGCCAACGACCTCTCCCCCGATGCCGTTAGGTCCATGAAGCTGAATATACAATACAACGGCGTCGGAAATGTTGTCATGCCAAACATCGATGATGCCTGTGCATACATGTATAGCATGCTCCGCGCACGGCCTCAGAAGGATGGCAGCCATTTTGGAAAATTTGACGTTGTCGATCTTGATCCCTACGGCACCGCGGCGCCCTTTTTGGACGCTGCCGTTCAGGCCATCTGTGATGGGGGACTGTTGTGTGTTACATGCACGGATGCAAGCGTGTTCGCCTCCAACGGCTATCCAGAGAAAACCTATGCGTTGTACGGCGGATTGCCCTTCAAAGGCCCGCAGTCACATGAAGCTGGCCTACGACTCATCTTGCACGCAATTGCTAGTTCAGCCGCCAAATACGGCCTATCCATCGAACCTCTTCTCTCTCTCTCTATTGATTTCTACGCAAGGGTTTTCGTACGTCTCCACCGCTCACCGGCGCAGGTAAAGTTCACCGCTGGAAAATCGATGATAGTGTATAACTGCGACAACGGCTGCGGGGCATGGAAAACGCAGGCTCTCGCTGTGAATAAACATAAGATTGATCGGAATGGAAACCCTTTCTATCACTATGGATTTGCGCAGGGACCAAGTACGACACCCACATGTGAACACTGTGGGTTTAAAACTCATCTTGCTGGACCCATGTGGGCGGGCCCGCTCCATAATAATGTCTTCATCCAACGAATTTTAGATTTGTTGGCGGGTGCCGATAGCGAGATCTATCCCACAGTGGGGCGAATTGAAGGGATGCTCTCGACTGCGTTGGAGGAGGATTTGGATATGGGAGGCGGGCCCTCCTGCGAGAATACTCCCGCACCTGAGTCTGCTGCTGCAACTGAAACTGTTACGAACGGCAAGGAAAAAGACACCCCATCCTTCATAATCCCCCGTACTGACCCAGCCAAACTCGATCCGCACCCTTTCTTCTTCATGCCCAGTTACGTTTGCAAAGTCGTGCATACACAAACAATCTCCGAAGACTGTCTGCGCGGCGCCCTGCATCACCTAGGCTATAGATCTAGTCGCAGCCATACCAAAGCCGGCTCTGTGCGAACGGATGCTCCATGGAGTGTCATTTGGGAGATTGTACGTGAGTGGGTGAGGCAGAAGTGCCCCGTTAAGGAGGGGAAAATTCGAGAGGGGACAGCGGGGATGGGGATTATGGGGCGGAAGAGGGATACTGAGAATGAAAACGAGAGGATGGATGATGAGGCAGGGGCGAAGCTGAGAAGCCTGAAGCGGGACGTACTAGCGGCGCTGGAGGGATCCACGGAGATCTCGGACTTGGTCCTGCGTATTGAGGCTGCTTTGTATCGTGTTGGTTCTGGATCAAGAGGTGTTGGTGAAAAAAGCAAATACGGGTCTGAGGGGGGTGCCTCTCCTCCGAAGGGTGAAAATTGCGACGGGGGAATTAAACAACGGCAGCGATCTGTTTCACCCATGAGAGCAGGATCTAGACGGTCGCGCTCTCCGTCCCTTTTAGAACCGGATCCAAACACATTGACTATTGTGTTTGACGAGGCTCTTGGGAAGACTGTGTTGGCAGCGCATCGGAAGAAGAGGTTGACAAGGTATCAAATGAATCCAAGAGCGAATTGGGGTCCGATGAATAGGGCGTCGCGGGGTGGGAAGTGAATAATTTACATTATTGTATTGGCTTCATGCATTTGTTCAAAGAATCAATGATCAATCCCTGGATTGCTGAAGCAACAGACCTCAAGGAAATATTCATTGCATATCTATACACTCCTCTATATGATTGAATCAGCATTCATGCAACATATACCCTCCATACCATATGATGTCAAGAATATTAACGAATATAACAGAACGATTGCGTCCAATCATCCAATCCCGGGCAGTTTGTGTAAACCACACCACATCCTCAAAACCTCACCCGTATACCCAAAACATCACTTCAACATCCGCCGTCTACAATCCCCCGGTTTTCTTAATAAATTCCACAATCGCATCCCCGACCTCTGCCGTCTTTGCCTTCCCCCGCAAATCGGGCGTGCGAATCCCAGACTCCAACACAGCCGAAACAGCCTGCTCAATTAATTGAGCCTCGGCCTCCATATGGAACGAGTAGCGGAACATCATCGCCACACACAGGATCATGGCGACGGGGTTCGCTTTGCATTGGCCGGCAATGCTACATTTACCGAATAATGGTTAGCATTTGTCCACTTTCTTCTTCTGCTTCTTTCTCTTTTGGTCAACGGTAATGCAGAGCAATACATACTCGGGTGCCGAGCCATGCGTCGGTTCATACAACCCCTTCAGGCCCCCTTTCCCATCCTCGCCGGGCACCCCACTCAAGCTTGCACTTGGCAGCACACCCAGGCTACCCACGAGAGACCCCGCCTGGTCCGACAGCATATCACCAAATGTATTATCAGCTAGGAGAACTCCATTCAGCACACGCGGCTTCGTCGCCATGAGCAGCGAGGCGCTGTCGGCGAGCTGGTGGGTGAGTTTTAGTTGGGGGAATTCGGTGGAGATGGTTTCCGTGACGACGCGGCGCCAGAGACGCGAGGAGGCGAGGACGTTGGCTTTGTCGAGGGAGATAATGGGGAGCGGGTTCGGGGAGAAGGTCGGGCTTTTGTGGTGTAGGGCGAGGTAGGCTGCTAGGCGGGCGATGCGCCTGACTTCCTCGGCGCTGTATCCCCATTCATCCATTGCTGGAAAACGTCAATAAAATGCATATTCGCCACGTTCGAGATATCCATAAGGGATGGCGGAGTGCGGATGTTGATATGAGATGCTTTTACCATAATCCTGCTCCTCCACTTTCCGCCCAAAATAGGCCCCACCACAATTTTCCCTCAGCACCAGAAACTCCACGCCCTCGACCACCTCTTCTTTAAACGGAGTAAACTCCCTCGTCACCGCCTTGCACGGCGATATGCACGGCCGCAAGTTACCATACACTCTCATCGCTTTTCGCAATTGCAAGAGCCCGCCCTCCGGACCCTCCAGGCCCCGGCGGACACCATCCCATTTTGGCCCGCCGACGGCAGCGAATAAGACCGCATCGGCGTCTAACGCGGCTTGCTTCACAGAATCGGTGAGAGGGGTGCCGTGGGCATCAATGCTACATCCGCCTATTAGTTCGGTGCGGAGGGCGAAGGTGCGTGTTCGCGAGGAGAAGACGGAGAGGACTTTGACGGCTTCGGCGGTGATTTCGGGGCCGATTCCGTCGCCGGGGAGGACGAGGACTTTGTGGGTGACCATTTCTGGGTCTGTGTACGGGGGTTATATATATATACTAGTTCCTGCTTTGGGTAAGGGAGATTGGGGAGAGGGTTAGTAGAGCTGGAGGAGCGGAGAGGAAAGAGTAGCAAACCAAGATTGTTTCTTTTGGACAGACGAGGGCTTAATCGGCGCTTTTTATTTACTTGTATTTCCAGCAGATATCGGCGGGGGGGGTTAAATTTTTCTTTTTATTTTTATTTTTATTTTTATTTTTTTTTTTTTTTTGCGGGGCAGGTTGTCTGTTAGTTCGGCAGAGTCTCGGCCGTGTCCACTTCGGCATCCGGCAATCGTTGAACTGAGAAGAAGAATAAATTAGGACGGACTGACATGGCGATGGCAGGGAATGAACGCGAGCTGGAGGAGATATTCCACACAGTCGATCAATTTATCTCGATCTACTTGCCATTTTCCTCTTGTGAAATTCGAGGCGTTTCTAAGATCTCTGATTGCCGGCGTCGTTGATAGTTTTTGCGAAACTCAGAAGCGCTCCGATATCGCATCGATTGGCAAGCCGAGCCAGTGGAGGAAGTGTGTCTCTATACACAATAAACTGGCAGAGAATGACTGCTGGTTAGATATTAAAGAATGAGTATCTATTGGCGTGATTGAGTTGGATTTAATTGGTATCAGAGTATCCCTACCTGTGTCCTTCCTCATTTTCTATCCTGTATTTACTAAGGGCTTTCAAGAGAACACTTCTGCACGAGAACATCTATTATTGCATCAGATATGTCATGGCATATCTCCAGAACTCTTATACACATACCTTTAAACGTGCCCAAACATGAAATGCCGAAACCATCGAAATACATTTTCTCATTTCAGCCCTAAAACCCACCCCAACAACGGTACCTCTTTGTATATTTTATCCCACCCTTTCGCCTCCCACCTTATTCCCAGTTCTCCTCGTCCTAAAACTCCCAGTCCACCAGCCAGCCACAACGCAATCCCCGTCGCTGAAACCCCAATAACGACCCATCTAACGTTCCGCGACCTCCTCCTACAATCCATCGATCCCAATACCCCCCCATTTGGGCCCCGACTCCTCCCCGTCCCCGTCATCTCCGTCTTATACCCCATCCACCACGCCCACCCACCCACAACATGCCAAACCCCAACCCCAACCAACGCCGCATACCACCCTCGCATAAGCCACGGTGCCCTCGCAATCCCGTGGGCCACGAACCCGAGCCCCACCCCAGAGCTGCCACCGTCCACATACACCGGCACAACCCGATTCACCAGCACATGGGATGCAAATAGCGGCAGCAGCAGATAACCCAGCCGGGCCTGGACGCTGGGCCGTTTCCAGTTTCCCGACGCACGGAACTCGTGGCGCTGGGCGCATGTTTCGGCGCCGTAGAGGCGGGCGCGGCGGCGGGCGCGGAGGATGCGGAGGGCTACGCCTGCGCTGAGGTGGGTGAGGACGGGTATAGTGAGCAGAAAAGGTTCGAGGGCGGGGGACTGATAGAGGGGTCGCGTGAGTAGGAGGTAGGGTTCAGCGGCTGTAATGGAATCGGTCATGAGGGGGATTAGAGAGGTGTTTGTTAGGTGGAGGGTTAGGAAGAATGTGGGCGCATAGGTCGAGGTTCTCTGAAGGATGGACACTGATAAGTTTCTACGGTTAGATAGGATTCTTTTTCTTTCTTTCCCCCACCAGCTCCAGGCAGCTATAGCAAAGGATATACGTACGCCAATACTCCCAACCCTTCCCGCTTAGCCCTACATGTCGGATGGGGTCATGTCGATGTTTGTTCTCTCCTTCATAGCTTCCTGCATCAGCGGGCTTTCCGCTGGCGGTGGAGGCGTTCGGCAGGTTTCCGCCCTGTTCCAAGTCTAGTGCCCAGTCGAGAGGTGACGGCTCGAGCTGCTGAAGCGAATCTGTCCCCGAATCTTCAGATATTGCATAGCTATCCGCACCACGTCGTCGCCCTGATGCTGCGTGGTACGGTCGGTCCATTTAGCGTTTGCTTGGGTACAATGTTATGAAATTGACGGCGTAGAGATGTCCGTGGGAGAAGTGCTGGAAATGATGTGTATCTATAGACTGCTCTATACAGGCAAAGAAGGCAACGTGCATCTAATAGAATAATCGACTGTCGTTGAGCAGTTGAAGGAAGTTGAACTCGGAAGCAGCTGCGGCTTCACCTGTTTTCACCGCCTTTGCTGGTCTCCCGGCAGAATCTCCAAGCTCAACAACAAAACAAAATTGATACTTGATCGCTTCAAGCTCTACAGAATACACTCAGCGAAGGAAGGACTCAAAGAAATCCCAAAGAACACTACGTCGTACACTATATAAACCATGCCACCCTACCCTCCACAACACCAAACCAGCCCGATAATTATTTAAATAAGCAAAACAAACAAAGACAACAAAAATGCCACCAGTTCGTGTCTCCTCCTCCTCCCTAACCCCTCTTAAAAAAATGAAAACAAAAAAAAAAAAAAAAACCCAAGCTAACCAGCCCAACCCTTCCCAAACGCAACAAGAAACAGCGCAGCTTCACCAACCCATCCCCCAAAACGGAATCCGCCCGCAACGCCCTGACCTCCTTCACCTGCACGCTCTGCAGCAAGTCCTACTCGCGCCACCCGGAATATGAAGCGCACATCGGCTCCTACGACCACCAGCACCGCAAGCGCCTGCGGGATCTAAAGCAGCTGTCGCGCGACCCGCAGGCGGCGGAGAGGGCGCGTCGGGAGGAGAGGAGGCGGGATGAGGAGGCGGGTATTGTGAGGGTTGAGGTTGGTGGAGGGACGGCGAAGGTTGGAGGGGGAGGGGGTTTCAAGAAGGGCGGGTTTAAGAGTTCGTTTACGGCTGTGGGGGTTGGGGCGGGGGTGGGGAAGGGGAAGAGGAATCCGCTGGGCGACGATGCCGATGACGAAGACGGCGACGGCGACGGCGACGACGTCAAGAACGAGAACGAGGGGGAGGGAGGGGGGCAGGCGGGAACGGAGGTGAAGAGGAGTGCTGCTGATGCTGCCGCTGCTAATGCTAATACAGGCGAGTCGTTGGTTGCGGGGCGTGGGGATGTAGATGCGGAGAGTGAGACGGATGAGGATGAGGAGGGCGGTGGGTATTATGATCCTAGGAAGCCGACTGGGTGTTTTGAGGGATGTGTTGGGGTGGGGATTGTCCCGGTTGCATGAAACATGAATTTATGAATTTGGGATGGCGACTTTTGCATTTATTTGATTGTATATATTTTTTCCATGCTTTTTTTTCTGGAATGCCGGAGTGCTTGGTGTTATGGAATGGAATGGAACATATAATGACAGCGTTTAGATATATATACTCCTAACCCAAAGAACGAACTAGAAATAAATATACCAAACTCCTTATCTCAGCTATTGTTGTCATCTACGGGGACTGTGATACGTATCTATCTATCCATATCTATGACCCTTTTTCTGCATCCATTGACGTTTAACTCAACCATATCCATGCTAAACCATGAGCTACGCCATATTTCATTTCAACGTAACCCCGTCCACCCCCTCATTCGTAATCTTCACGACCTCAATCTCCCCGCTGTCAGTAAAATACATCCGATCAATGCACACGACGCGGTGATCGCGTGCACCATCTCCCGGAGGCCGCCGATGATAAACGATGTAGTACTCGTCGCCGACATTGAACACACTGTTATGGCCTGTGCTTGTGCCGATGGCTGGATCGCTGCTGAGGATCAGTTTGGAGGGTCCGCTGAAAGGGCCGAGTGGGCTGTCGCCTTTGACATATTTGACAGCGTAGGACGGATCTCCCCATCTATGTTTTAATTTTGGTTATTTTTAGTTTTAGTTTTAGTTTTTATTTTTTTTTTTTTTTTGGGAATTCGTCACTAACAGATATGAGCAGAGTGGGAGCACAAGGAAAAAAAGGGGGGGTTAATAATATAAATAATACGCACCCTCCAACGCTATAAAAAAAATAATAAACCCCTTTCCTCTTCAGCATCCACGGTGCCTCCACGTACGCTTTCTCGGGAGTCACTTCTCTGAAACCGCCCTTGAACGACACCATGTCATCCGCCAACTCGCCCACAACCGCATGTCCCCGACCGCCCCAATACAGATAATTTCTCCCCTCGCCGCGGCCCTCCCCATCCCCCTGCCCATCCATAAACACCATCGCATCGATGGGCTGCGCGCCAAATACATAATCGCCAATCAGCGGCCGACCCAATACATCCTTGAAGGGTCCCGCTGGCGATTTGGAAACAGCGACGCCTATGCCGACACCGTCTCCGGCGGAGTAGTAGAGGAAGTATGAGCCGTCCTTGTAGCCGACGGTAGGGGCCCAGGCGGCGCGGTCGGTGGTCCAGGGTACATCAGCGAAGTCGAGGATGCGGCCGGCGCGTTGCCAGGTGAGCAGGTCGGACGAGAAGAAGGCGTCGAAGAATGTCTGGTTGTTGAAACTGGTGGAGGTGGTGGGGTAGAGGTAGAAGGCGTCCCCGTAGATGCGAAGTTCCGGATCAGCGTACCAGCCTTCTATGATGGGATTGCCTGTTTTGGCGCGGGAGGGTAGTTGGGCTGTTTGGCAGAGGGATAGTGGGAGGGAAAAAAGCAGGAAGACCAGGACGATTAACGGGGGGTTGGGGGCCGTGTATTCACGGAGGAGTTTCAGCATGGTGGATGGGATGGGTGTATGTCTATATCTAGATATATACGATAAACGCTTGAAGGGCGTGGGAGTTCTACAAAAGAAGTGCTCTTTGGGCAGGAAGCAAAGGGGAATTGCCCAGGTAGCAGCCCAGAGCTGCGAGGTGACAGGGAGGGACCAGCATTGGAATATGTCTCGAGCAGCAAGAGCTTGGAGGAATGGTGTCCAGCAAGTCCAGCGGGAATGGGACGCCTGAGATGTCTCCTGATGCGCAGAAACTCCACAGCGCCGTGCATGTAAATAGACAGACTCGTTCCTGGCATTATATCAACCAAGGCATCGTGCAAGGCTTGGGAACGGACCGCTGTGTTCTGCGTACAAATATTCTGCGTACAAATATTCTGCGTACAAATATTCTGCGTACAACTACAGCACATACTGGTGCAGTAACTATACAGTACAGGCGAGTTCAAGGACTAGTATATCCCCTGCGCTGTGTTGCACAACACCTGCTGGATATCAGGGAACGAAAACAAAGTCACACCCCACTGGCCATTCCCAGCTCCCGACCCAGCACAGGCGGGGAATAGAATATGAAAAGACGAGCAAATACAAGCAAAAGACAACCTGGATCTGCAGCAGGTTGTGTGTGTGCCCGCTCCATGTGATGACGAGTGATGATGCCCATCGCACTGGCAGATCCCATGGCATTCAAGTAATGCTAGCGGTATCTGGATCAGGGTGTTCAGTTTGCAATGCATGTCATAATTGCCCGATGGGTGCTCCACAGCGTCGCTCTGGCTGACTCGGTGTGCATCCATGGCGGGTAGTTCATATCCTGTATACTAGGATGTGTGCCATGCCCATGTTGGCGAGGGCATCGGTGATATTATACATGAATGACGGCGGATGCGAGCACCTAACCTAACCCGAGGCCGCGGTGGATTCCTTCTCCGCCCGTTGGAATGAATAGTCCTATTTACGAAGGCGATCAATCATAGCAGCAGGTGTTGTTTATTTACATAAAAGTCAAGAAGGATGGAGTTGGGCAGAGTACAGATCTGAACATGATGATCTGGGTTGGAAGGAGAACAGGCTTTTCGGAGATCCGCCGTAAACTTTGTGATTGCAATCGAGATGCAGATCTAAATATTTAACTTACCCATCCATCGCTGGGACGTCCCGCAAAAAGTCGGAGTTTAAACATGAAACAAACTACGGAGTAGAGGCACGCTCAAAGGGCCCTTGCCACGCCGGAAATTGGAGATTTTACGCTTCACTGATTCCTCATACTTGAGCAGATCCCCCACCAACAACAGTGTATATTCTACTTCTTAACATGAAAACTGCACGGCATCCATTTAAAAACCGTATCTTCATCATTGATTCTCCTTCGATAAAACTTTCAATTTGTGTCAGCGTGGCATGGCCCTCTCCGGAGGGAGGTTCTTGACCTCAAAAGGACAACACCAGGGGGCCCGCCTTCGGCCGCCTCACTTGCTCAACAGCCATGCACAATCCACCGACTATGTACGGAGTAATCTGTAGTGGGCCGTGAGATGAAAAGAGTCCTTCATGTGGCCATTCATCAGGCAGGTTCGAAGCCATTCTCCAACTTTTGACACCAGTCAGTTGATAGCTATCGCATGGTGAGAAGGCGCTCGATCAGCGTGGACACAGAACATCCGGCAATGCGTCTTCGAGTGATTGATGGAGTAGATATTAACTAGACCTCGACAGCCCTTTCACGCCGGAATCCTATGCCACCAATAAATACTCCGTACAACCTCGCAGAATACCTTTTACCTGTTGCTCGCTCCCACCATGGTCGCCTCTGCCGTATGGGATATATTTAATAGAAGCACCGCTGTAGCACGAATTTGCAAATGCAGGCTAACATTGAGATGGAATACCGTGCCAAAACACAGAAATAATAGAAGAAAGGTTCCCACAGTTCCACATCGAATACAATATAATTCCAGCACCGACTCGACGGGCCAGTATAACTTAAGTCTTTTACCCCTGGTTACATGTTATCGGCATTGTCGAACTCAGGACAGGGCCTATTCATCATCATGAGGTTTCTCCACCGCATCTGCGCCACCAGCTAAGGCAATGATGCGGCGAGGGATCCATTGGAGCTGTAGAAACGCGGGGTCCGGTAGAGGGATCTCATCAGATGCATTGATGATGTGTATGAGTGTGTGCCCCAAGAGGATTTCTTCGCCGGATTCTACATTCCACATATTCCACATTCCACATTCCACATTCCACATTCCACATTCCACAGCCGGATCCGACCACAACCAATATCATGAGGGAATGAAGGGCAGCGGATGTTAATGGCTCAGACTGTGCACCACCTTAAGCCATATGTGGGACGACTAGTGGAATCGAACAGTCAAGAGTGGATGATGATTTCAAGAGTTTCCCCCCCATAATAGGCTCTATAAGGTAAAGTAGGCAAGGCTCATGGTTATCTGCGCGGCGAAGGATCAAAACACATGAGATTCTGGGGGTTCTGAACACACTCTGTGGCCAAGGGCCCGGTGATGGCATGATACCAGGTGTCGACATTCTCTTGGAGTCCAAAACAGGTGTTAAACAACCACCACAGGGTTGGTTATATGGATCTTCGACAGTGTCGAGTGATTGCAATCCTCTAATGGAAAAGGGGAACATGTGTGTCACTTCAACTGGATCGTCGGCACCAACGATTGACACACCTATTGCTGTCTCTCCTACGACACTGTCTAGGTGGTTAGAGTGAAATCTTTTTTTTCTCTTTTTGGAAATGAATGCATTGCAATTCAATTCTCACCAGTTCTACAGAATACACATTTTTTGGACCGAGGATCCTGTCTGATCCTCACCTCAGGCTTGGGGTTGGTGAGACAGGTTGCACCCTCCACTGACACCGTCTACGAAAGTGTTGTCATTGATGGCCTTGGTGAGAATGTATTGAGATAAGACAGGCAAAGACAAAAACTCACAATCTTGGAAGAAGGCCTGACTACGTCGAGGGTCCCCAGCAAGAAAAGATTCTAAGATTCATTTGAGTTGGAGAGTACTCCCTTTACTTCAAGCTGTGGAATTGACTAATGGTCTCCGAGCCATAACTACATAACTAGTTAACTAACTTGCTGCTAATAATATATTTTGATCAGTTAACTAGTTATTCTAGACGAGTAGTTACTTATACTTATTTTAGATAACTGCAGGAGAAGATTTCTTCTTCTTCTTCTTCTTCTTCTTCTTCTTCTTCTTCTTCTTCTTTCTCTTTCTCTTTTCTCTTTCTCTTATCTTTGGTTATCAATTCCATTCCAGTGGAGGAAAGAATAACTACTGATGTATATAAAAAAATTCTAAATTCTTCCATCTTCACTTCTACTAGTTAGTAGTCAGTCAGTCATAATATCTCAACATGACCTGTATATCTCTATGCTGAAATGAATTTCAAAGAACTAGCAAATCATACATTCTATTCAGTAAAAGTTAATCGATTCGATTTACCTATAACTCTTAACTCTCTCTCTCTCTCTCTCTCTCTCTCTCTTATCTTCTCATCTCTTCCTTCCTTTTTTCCTCGTTTAATTCTCTTGGGAAAGCAGAAGTCCGCGTATTGCCGAAGCTCTCCACCCCACCTCTCCTCTACCCGATACCCGATACCCGATACCGATACCCGGTTTCGCGGGAGGGAGCCAGGAAATGAATTGGACAATGTCAATTACTCCTCGGTTACGGGAGTTTTGGTGCGGAGAGATTTTGATTTTGGATTTTGGATTTTGCGTGCTGGACTAACCTACCAACCTATCTAACCCCCTTCTTCGGGGTACTGTACTCCCAGCCGGATAAGCATCTGAAAAGGCAAGAAATGGTCGCTAGTCTAGCCCTGGACACCTTGTTGAAGGTTCTGCGCGGCATTCACTAAGGTTTAAGGCATAGTTAACTAGTTAAACTACTGTAACTCTGCCTCCTCTCACCGTCATCAGAGAATCTGTCCAGGTGTCCGGCCTGAACAGATTTGTTACGGATGATGATCACGACAAACTGTTACTACCTAGTTAGTATTGACTAGAATCACGGAGATAATGATACTAACTTGTTCGAACCATGTGTTTAATAACCCTGAGCAGAAGCCCTCAGAAGCCCTGTGTATCACCACCATACAACCATTGCCGACGACGACGACGACGACGACAACAACGACATGCCACTGGCCTATCCACATACCAAGCGGGCTGATAGTTTCCAGCACACCGCACCGTAACGAGCCCCTCTGCTCTCGGACACGGCCTGTAGTTAAGTTGTATTGTAGTGCACGCCATCAATCCGGCTAGTTGATGTGTCTTGTGTCTCTTTGAAAGGATCGTTGAGTGAGCCACTGATCCCACCCAAGAACCTCTCAGCTCTCAGTGCCTCACTCGGGTGTTTGTGTTTGTGTTGTGCTGTGCAAATAAGGTCCAATGGACAGCACAGCGCCAGAAAGGCTAGGCTGCCTGGCACACAAACTTCCGTTCCAGCGACAGCGAGAAAGGCAGTTTAATGATGAGAGCGGAATGTCCAAAAAAAAAAAAAAAAAAAAAAAAAAAGGAAAAGAAAAGAAAAGAAAAAGAAGAGAAAAGAACCCGCGCCCAAGTAGAGACATGTGTCCTTCTCTCTCTCTCCGCTGAAGGAGAAGAGAAGGGATGGGTTTGCGTTTACTTTTAATTTTCATCGTGCGGGATGGAAATGGTTCTTCTTTTTCCGTGTCTGTCTGTCTGTCTGTCTGTCTGTCTATCTATCTATGCGTATGGGGGTGTGTGTGTGTGTGTGTGTGTGTGCGGTGGATTTCTTCCCCAGGCTCACTGGCAGTTTAGCAGTAGTTAACTACCTACTAACTTTTACAGGGTCAGACGCACGAAAGTTAAAACGACACGAGCCACAGGAATGAAGCGGAGGAACCCCCCCCCATTGCCCGGACCCAAAGTTGCGATGACGAGGATTGAAGAGATGCCACAAATCTGCTGCGGCTATCGCGGTTCGGGACTGGAATCTGGCAGCTCATTCGGTTGCCCGTCGTCGTCGTCGTCGTCGTCGTCGTATGAAGGGGAGAAGCCAGACAAAGCCCGAGGTGGGCCAATGGGGTGAACGGGACCTAAAATGGGCGATTAGAGTGCGGCCTAGAGGCCTTGGTAAAGAAAGGGCAAGCCAGTCGAAAAAAAGCAAAGTAGGCAAATATGGTTTGGTGAATACTCCGTAATGATGGTGATGTTGGTGATGATGGTAATGGTGATGACGATGACGATGACGATGATGATGATGATGATGATGATGATGAAGAACTGAGAACCGACTTGACTCCCTTCCTCCCGAATCCCAGAACTCTGCAGCGTCAACTGCGAAATTCACCGGATGCTTCCCGCCCTGGAATCCCAAAACTTTTACCCTGGAGATACGGAAGCCATTATCAAAGTGCGATGAAGAAGTTGTCGTGTCAATGGAGCCCGTTACTTTTGTCCCAACAAGTGCAGAGTCAAGTTTTAAACTTGGCCGGAAGGATTTGGCTGGAGCGGAGAGAAAGATAACTAACTCGCTGACTTGTCAACTAGAGCGAGCGAGCGGGGAAATTAATCTGCGCATCCAAACCAGGAACGAGGCTCGGCTAGGCGCACTACGGCAGCCTAATAGTGACAAATGTGTCAAATAGGTTTTTTATACTAGTGTTACAATGTACACACATCAATCATATTCATTCTATTTGTAATTGAGAATAGTTAAATGGTTGTGCTCATAGTGATATATATACCCATGGGTGTGGTGGTGTGGCCGTCACTGAACCCACCACTGATACACTGCAACCGCCAGCCGCAGCATAGAGAGGAACCACATCACTAGATATCATTGTGAATACATATATATACTGTGGTTTCCATGCTATGCTGGGTGGGTTGCAGTGTATAGATGATGGGTTGGGTGACCCGGCCCACAGCAGATCCATGGATATATATAAGTATATTATATACATACATATCATCATAAGCACAATCATTCAACAAATGATTATGTTGACTTTTTGCTATGAATAATTTAGTTATCATAGTACTAGCTTATTATACTTACTTAATGATGGTATTCATGATGATATCTAGTAATGATATATATTAATAGGATATATATTATATACGTATCTATGGATGTGGGTGGTGTGGCCCGGCCCATAGCAGGTGTGGCCAACAACCCATCATCTATATACACTGCAACCAGCAGCCACAGTATATATATATATATATATATATATATTAACAATGATATCTATCATTTGTATCTAATGATGATATCACGATGATATCTAGCGATGATATCTAGTGGTTATATGAAGATGGATTTCTAATAATGATATCTAGCAATGATATCTACAATGATGTAAATTCACTGTTTTAAAATGTACTGTACTTAGAGAATCCAAGGTGTATTGCTTCCTAGCATAAATTCCTATCAGTGTATGTAAGTGGAATTAGGTAATTACAGTGGAAAACATCAAAAAAACCCCTTTGGCACATTTGTCACTATAGGCTGCTGTAGGTACGCACGTCTTTTCTTTTTCGCAGCCAGAAAGAATCAAGGATTGCTGGCGATCGAGAGAGAGAATTGAATGGAATGCACCATAGAGTAAACTAGCATAATCATTCATCTTGCACGTACGTAAGACCCGTAGTACAAGAGATGTTATTTCAATTACCGTATTAACCATCCATCAATAATCCGTATATTAGAAAGTCATCTAGATTGGAGAATGCTACATGATTTAAGTTTGTTTCGGTCTGGATTATATAGTTATAGCAAAGGATAATAGATAGTTAGCTATGCTATCACAGAAGTTAAATTAGATATCATCATACAGAAATATAGTATTTACTATTTCTCCCTAGGAAGTGGGAAAAAAATTACCCTTTCGTTGACTTTTTATTGCACCTCATAATACGTTGTAGTTAGCCGGTTGGTTACTTTTAACCTTTCTAGAAAAATACAGCATCTTAAACGAGGATTTCGAAGTACCACTTAACAAATCCAATCACGATAGATCGTGGTTGAGATGTGAATTTCCAGAACTTCCACCGCTTCTCTTTCTTGCAAGGAAAACAACCGGAGGAGTGTGAAATCGACAAGTCCCCGGGGGAAACGGAGAAGAACCGCGGAACATCCGCGTGGTGGCGGAGAGCAAAGCGCGGAGTTTGGCCGAAGTCGAATCGAGAAAAGGAAGGCTATCAACCATCAACCTCGGGAAACTCAATCGGTTAGGGAGAAATGGTTGTTGGTTTCTGCCGAACGATAGTTATGGGATGGGCGTTGGTTTTGGGGGTTACCCCGTTTGGCGGCAGCCAGCTAGCCACCACCACCACCACCACCACCACCACCAGCAGCAGCCCCAGCACCACCACCCCCAACCCCCACCACATGGTCCGCATCCAACATCATTTAACCTCCAAGGTCGGACTTCTTTCTGGAAAACGTGGGAGAAGGAGAAGCAGAAGCAGAAGCAGTGCGGCTCACAGCTCCCGTTGTAGGTTCCTCGCCAGCCATCACATCACATCAAATCACATCAAATCACCCCGGGGCAAAAAAACCAGAGTTCGGGACTGCGTTCACCCGCAAATTCGCCCTCTCCCGCTTCCGCTCTCCCCTGCCCGATTCAGGGGACGACGATTACCGAAGTTTATTTGGGCCCCAAAGGGTCCAGGCCCAGGGTTGTGTGGTCTTTCTTTTTTTCTTTCTTTCTTTCTCTCTCTCTTTTTGTGGTTTTTTTTTTTTTTTTTGTGTTTCGTTTTTCCAATTTTATTCTTCGTTTACAGCTTATCGATCGTCTCTGCGAACCGGGGCCGCACTGTGCAATGCTGTTGCCGAGTCCCGCAAGGTGTTGGACGACGGGAGAGATAGAACCTTTTTGCGCCCACGGCATTATGGAAGCGGTGGCTTTGGAGCAGCAATTGGCTGGCTCTCGATGTACGGAGGGGAGGAGGATTCCTTTCGGAAGTTTTCGATTAAGCGCGCTAAGAATTTGAAGAACTGTAATATCGTTTTGTTACCATTTCTCAAGGATCCTTCATTGCCGAGCAACCTTTTTTTGAGACTTAGGGCTAATCCTTTTGTTAACTGAAGCAGGAGGAGTGGGTTATCCTAGCTCTTGTTAAGACATGGAATGGAGCTACTTAATGCTGGTTACAGATATTTCAACTTAAATTGAATAAGTGCCAATCAAAACTTTTTGAGAGGATCCTCCGTATGGATGTAGGGGATGTGTGTCTGTAGAGAGTATGCAGAATGCATCGAGCATATGTAGGGTAGTGTGCATGGACGTAGGTAGTCTGTACCAGTATGTATGCACGCTGCTGGCGGGCAGAGAAAGCATTCCAGCGTGAAGCAAGTTGAAGCAAGTCGAAGCAAGTCGAAGCAAGTCGAAGCCAGCGAAGTAAGCGAAGCGACGACGGCAGCCCAGTTGGCTCTGCATCTCACAAAAGTAGGAGATACTCCGTAGATTGGGCCAAATTGGGGCGTGGTTGTTGGGAACCGGAATTGTACCGTATTTGTCATGTGGCTGTGGAGTCCTCCCCCAAGGTCCGGAGGAAACTACTGCCCCACACGGCCGCTCTCTTCTCCCTCTCTCTCTGCAAGAGAGTAAGTTTCCAGGGACTGGCCACGCGCAAAAGGGTCGATTCAACGGCTCAAGGGCTCCAGGGTTCCACCGCCCAAGCACCGCCCAGAAACCCTAGGCGCACCCTGGAGCTAATTTCGACGAGTCGGGAACAGCGGACGGCGCAGCGTTCGTACCTTGATAAATCCCCTCCTCGGTAACCTCAAGTTCCGGCCGCGGACATTTGATTGTTGCTGACGCGAAGACCAGTGTAAAATAACCCACTACGGAGGTTTTATATGCAGGCTGGTGTGTACTCCGTACTGCACGTTGTTCGGCGCAATGAAAGGGGATCAGCAGCGATCGTGGGCGGTGCATCTACTCGGCATGCTGCTATCCCCCAGGTTGGTACTCCGTACTCTGGAAGCCGTCCAGATTACCGATTCCTCCGTCCCTGGTTGGCAAAAGGTCTCGCCATCTCCCAAAGGGGGGGGGGAACTTGGAAGTTGGGCAACGGTCGGGGGAACAGCCTGTTGGCGGTGGTGACAGGCGGGCCAAGCAGGGGCAGCTCCTGCCAGTTAGGTACTGGTACCGCCCCCCACAACCCGCCAACCTTGGCAGCCAAGCCCGGGAGCAATCGCCTTTACTCCGCGCCACCGCTAAACTGCATTGGGACTGAGGCGCCTCTAAGCCGACCTCGTCTAGCGCTAGGCCGAGTTGGGACTAGTACCCGGGGGGCCAGCACGGCCTTTAAAGAGCCGCAGATTCCCCCGGATTTGAGCCCACGGATTCGAGGAATTCCTCCCACCAGGGCGACAAGCGACAGCGATAGAGACGACAGCGAGGCCCGACAGAGTGGTCGATATCATACAACCAGACAACGTTTCGACACTGCAGCCAATAGCCAGCAGGCAGCAGGCAGCAGGCAGCACCTTGCCCAGCCTTTGGTCTAGGTCAGGGCGAGACAGCACAGCACAGCACGCCGAAAAAAGGAGCGAGAAAAGGACAATGCCACCGTGGCCCTAACCTCTGGATCCCCACTCCCGCTACCGTTGTTCTTGATTCCCTTCCCAAACCACCACCCACCCTTCGTCTGAGCAACTTTTGGGTTGATAAAGAATAAATTAAGAGATAAGAACGCTTGATTGATTAATTAAAACACTGGATAAGAACCACTCGCCTGGCGCTCTCGCCTACTCACTCTCACCCTCATCCTCACAACACCCTCACCCTTTCACCAACTGGCATCCATCATCTCACGCAACTCCCCCTAACCTCTTTACCACCACCACCACCACCATGACTACGCCGTTCTCCTATCTAGGCGCCATGTCTCCTCCCCCGTGTTCAGAACCCCTCCAGTTGACCGTCGCGCCCTCTGAGACTACGTTCTCCTTCGCCCATCCTGTCACTGCAACAACGGTGCCTCTGGATACCACCACTGTAACTACTACCACCGCTCCAACTACTACCACCACCGCTACCACAGCTGCCCCCGCTACCACAGCTGCCCCCGCTGCCCCCGCTGCCACCACCCTCCCTCCCAAACCAGAAGAGAAAAAGCCTGTCAAGAAGAGAAAGTCGTGGGGCCAGGAGCTACCCACCCCCAAGACGAATCTTCCTCCAAGGTAAAATTATTTTTCTTCTTGATCGTCAAAAGACTACACGGATGTAAAAAATAAGATAACATGAATACTGATCGGAATACCTGTATAGAAAACGAGCCAAGACCGAAGATGAGAAGGAACAACGCCGTATCGAACGCGTTCTCAGGAACCGGGCTGCGGCTCAGACTTCTCGAGAGCGGAAGAGACTCGAGGTTGAGAAACTCGAAGGCGAGAAGCTGGAGATGGAACACCAGAATGGAATCCTCCTCCAACGCCTTGCTCAGATGGAAGCTGAAAACAAACGCCTGAGCCAACAAGTCGCCCAGCTGTCCGCCGAAATCCGCTCCCCTTCGTCGAGGGGCTCTTCCACCAGAGGCTCCTCCCCACAATCCATCGTCTCCGGACTCACCTCTCCAAACCTCCTTCCGGCCATGTTCAAACGAGAACGGGACGAAATGGTCTCCCTGGACAACATTCCATTCCTCACCCCGCCCATCTCCGCCTACTCTCCCAGCGTGAAGAGCTGCGATCTCACCGATTCCTCCGACCTGACACAACATCCTGCAGCGATGTTGTGTGACCTGCAGTGTCAGTCGGAGGCGTCGCTACCATCGACCGCTCCTCAACTGCTGTGGCGCCCTCCCCAAGCCTCTCCAAGTCCCTCTTCAACCCCCGCTCCAATCCCGCTGTCGCTGCCCCTCCCACCTCTCACCCAGCAGCCGCTACAGCAACTCCTCTTGAAACTAGCCATCCTCTCAATCATTCAACACCTCTTTCAGACGATGACTTCCACCGCCTATTCTACCCTTCTAATCCCTTTGACCCGGATCTTTCACTCATTGAAACAGGGGTCCCCTTTGACCTTTTCCCCACCGGAGATCCAGCAGCACTTGCCTTTGATTCTCTGGTTGATTTTGACCCCGACCCAGTTAACCTCGACAGCACCAACAACGGCAACGGCAACGGCAAGAACAGCAACAACAATAACAACAACACCGCCTCCACCTGCCCCTCCCCAACGAGCCTCGGACCTTCCGACATCGATCCGCCCAGTCTTTCGAATCCGCCTTTTCACCCGCCTTCTAGCGTGCAGCCCAGCTTTGGCGCGTCCACTTCGCGATGCGACGAGCAAGGCATTGCAGCTTGTGGTTAGTGGTGCAGCGCTGGATTTGGATAGCCCGTTGGCGTCTCCGGTGTCCGGTAGCGTTCTGATGGGTCGTGGTGATGGTAACGGTGGCCAATTTGTTCATAGTAGTAATAGCAGTCGTTGTCGTCGTCGAGTAGTAGGCTGTGGACTGTTGGCAATGATCCGGACGATTGACTGTATCGAGCGGGCCAAGGCGCGGAAGCGGACGTGGAAGTTGACAACGAAAGGGCAGTGGTTGGCTGCGGGGCTAGGGAAGGCTGTGGCGGCGGCGTCTGTGCGGAGGCGGAGGGCCCTCCAGAGCCGGACGCGGTTATCTGGTGGTGGTGGCCGTGCGTAGACTCCGAGTTTCAGGTGCCGGACGGCATTGGCGAAAAAGTTATCTGTGGCGATTTACGAAGTTCCTGGGTCTGGTTTCTGGGTCTGGTCTGATTTTTATTCCAAGATCTCTTTTTAAAGTAGAGGAGGGTTTGAAAAGACGTGATGATCATCTATTATTATGATTTTCGTTTGTGTTTTATTCTTTTTTTTTTTTTTTTTTTTTGGTTTCTGTCTGTCAAGCGGATTCGGTTTACCTTCTTGGAATGAATGAATTGTCTTTTCTGGATTTTGATTTAACAACTTCATCCAGTCATTCCTCCTTCCTTCTCTCTCTTGTAGTACAAACGTTGTACGTACTATATATAATTCATGTCCCTTTTCACTATACATATACATATATTACATATATTTACATATACGTACATATTCAAAACATAGAATGGAATATGAATTTCTCTCTTTTCTCTATTTCTCCCCTCTAACCCACGCCCGCCTAAGTTAATAATAAGTTAAAGTTTTTAAATTATTAACCTTCTAGGCACCGCACGTAACTTTAGCAAACCAGCGAACGCAAAGTTATCGAAGAACCGTGGAAAAGGAAAAAAAAAAAGGAACGCAATAATATTCCAACCAAGGTTGCCTCTCCAATCAGGTTTCTCCTAATTCCAATAGTCACAATGATCATGTTCCGGCTCCGCTGCTGAGCCCTGAGGAGGGGCTGAGGGGAGGAAGCCCAGGAATTGAAATTGAAATTGAAATTGAAATTGAAAGAGAAAGAGAAAACAGGCAAGTGGGCAAAGCAAAATAGATTTTGATAATATTGTAATTGTAATAATAATATTTTATTTTATTTTATTTTATTTTATTTTATTTTTTTTTGCGACCCGGCCGGCCGTCCGTTTGAGCTTGCTGAGTATTTTACTTACTACATAACTACGCAGTTAGGTTGGTTTTGGTTCGTCGGAACTGCGATGGATGGATGGATGGATGGATGGGTGGAAAATAATGTCTTGGGCGGGACCAATGTGCGAAGGGATAACGATACTTACACAAACGGAATAGGATAAACTGGAATCGTCGCTGAGAGCTCTCTGTTGCCTCTTCCCTCCCCTTTCCTTTCTCTCGCTCTTAGAGCAATCGGGGCGATTTTTCTTTTGCTTTTGCTTTTGCTTTTGCTTTCCTTTCTTTTCTTTCGTTTGGGTTCCTTCGTTTGGCTTTGGCTTTCTATGGGCGTTGGGCGAGAGTGATGTCACCATTGCCACTCACTGTCATCATTGTCATCATCATCATCATCATCATCATCATCATCATCATCATCATCATCATCATCATCATCATCATCATCTGCCCTGGGAAGGGGAAGGGAGAGAAAAGAAAAGAAAGAAAAAGAAAATGAATGGGTGCAGTGTGTAACTTGGGAAAATCATCCATCAATCAACATCGGGGGAAGAAGAAGGTGCTTGCTTGCTTCCTTTGTTGATTTGTTTTTTTCTTTTCTCCTTCTCCTCCTCCTCCTCCTTCTTCTTCTTGTTCTTTTCTAGGAGGTGGATGTTGCGTTCTGTCGCTGATAAGTATTAATTGAGGGAGACCGCTTTGTACTATTTGTACCTGTAACCATGGATTGCAATATGCATGACGCTGCCAAAAGAGGGGAGTTCTAGTCTCTCCGAATAAATGAAATGAATGGAGGTCTGGGTCCTTCGGATTGCTGGTCACACGCATGCCTATACCCTACATCCATCTGTAGAGATACACACACACACACACACACACACAATACATACAGGCTGCACGGCGTGCATATACATCCATTTCCTCTCCAATGCATATTCCCCATCACCGCCCGCCAATCATCCCGCCTGCATTGACTCAGTTCTCTTCACTGGGCCCAGCAACATAGCTGTCTCCTTCTCCTTCTCTGAGCTCAATAGCTTCTCCTCGACAAGGTTCCGAGATATCTCCACACGACAGACCGGGCCCCCGAAGTTTTGAGGCTTCCGCTTTCAGGACGGCTGTGGGAGGCAGGGTTTGGGAGCCATGGGTGGAGAAGCGGGGACCGCGGCGGGAGATTTATATTTATTTATAGCAGTTGTGGCTTAAGCGGTGTCGAGCTATCTGTATCTTTTATCTTTGCATGGGCTGTGCAGGGCGAAAAAAAAAAAAAAAAAAAAAAAAAAGATCCTTTGTTGGAGTCGCTCAGGTTTTCATGGATCAAAAACGAGAATCTGGTGGGGATGCATGCCCTCAGTGGCCTTGTAAATATCAACTCAACTCACCGACTCAGAAGCCAGCCTTGCTGTCGCCTTGAGCGTGCCGGCTACCTGGGAGCTATGTAAAATATCTCCTCTTCTGGGATCCATGTCAGGCATCCCTTGCTCCGTCCGATTGGCTTGATATTCCAACACAGATCACCCATTGATCGTCTGATCAGGACGGTGAGCTGAAGACGCTGTTGTGTCTGCATAAGAGGAGTACAGAGGATTCTTTAGGATGAGGACAGAAATCCAGCGTCAGATAAAATTACGCCTCCGTACGTAGGATGACAAATATATTACTAAGTCATCCCAATCCACCTGCCTATCGAGCGTCGATATCGAGGGATCGTTGCGCGGACGGGAACAGTCACGGCTCCAACTGCCGGAGAGAAGCAAAACAGTAAAGGATAAACATATACGTATATTTATTGCGGCCACCATGCCGCCGGCAGACCCTCTGATGAAGGCCCTGATGGAGGTCAAGGTACGACATCATCCCACTCCTCCTCCCCCACAACTTCGCAGCTCCTCTGTGAAGCGATATGCCTATATCTATCGCATATACTATATATGTTGTCCCTTCTCTCTCCCTCGCTGCTACCACCCCGTGCCAAATATCCCCTTTGACCATGCCCATCCCCCCCCCCCCCCCGGAACCTAAATGCTAACTCATCTGCCCTTGCCGACCCCTCATGCCAGATGCTCGCCTCCCGCTCCCGCAAGGAAGCCGAAAAGGCCAACAAAACCCGCCTTGCCGAAGAAAACAAAGCCTCCCGCGCCATGAAAAACCGCGAATTCCAAATCGCCCAGATCCACTCCCAGTCCGCCGTGCGCGAGCACCACCGCTACGTCTCCCTGCGCGCCGAAGCCGCGGAGGCAGAGGTCCTCGTCAACGATCTCAAAGCCGCCTACAGCACGCGCGAGCGCGCCCGATCGCTCGCCTACGCCTCCAAGGCGCTCGAGGGCGCCTCGCGGACCATCAACCTGGAACGCGTGCTGGTGACGGCCAACTCGTTCCTGGAGCGGAGCCAGGATTTCAAGATTGCGAGCTCGGCCATCAGGGATGTGTCGCAGGGGGTGCAGGAGCAGAGTTTAGGTGGGGAGGGAAAGGAGGAGGTGGAGAGGTTGATGCAGAAGTTGGCGGATGAGGCCGGGGTGGATATGCGGGAGCATCTGGAGGCGAATGCGGCGCCGGAGGGGGAGGTGGGGGTGCGCGAGGGCGCGGGCAAACAGAAGGAGGAAGAGGATGGGTTGGATGCGAGGTTGCGGGCGTTGCGGGCGTGAATTTCTCTCTCTCTCTCTCTCTCTCTCTCTCTCTCTGCCTTTTTTTTTATTTTTTTCCCCTTCCATCTCTCTTTCCTTTGAATGGCTTGGTGCTCTCCTCTCTGCGCTGGTGTTGTGGGTTCACACATCAGCGCTCAGAGCTTAGAGGTTCTGGCTTGCTCACACCCATCTCATCCGTCCGGCATTCAACTATTTTGAGCAGTCCCTCCTCGATATTTGGCCCTTCCTTGCTGGTCGTCCTCTATAACTCTCCCTTCCGTGTCGCGGCTACCAGGACACCCCACGCCATCCTATCTCACATTAACGTCCCCGAAGGACGGACCTAGTTACGTATTACGAACTCTTTTAACGAACCCATCTGCACCCTTGGCATACAGATGCTGGCTTCTTCTCATCGGCTCTTCCCATGATAGAAACTCTTCCATATACTTCCTGCCTATCTACCCAGTTATTGTCTTAATTTTTTGGCACTTGTTCTTTCCTAATGGTGTTTTTACTCCTGGCGATATGATTGTATGGGTATTATCTTATTTTTGTGAACTTGCTATGTTAAATCCGATTCATTTTCTCTTCTTACCGTAACTGCAAGGGATGTCTTGTGGTTCTGATTTTTTTTTTTTTTATGTAGATCGAGAGTGCCTTTACCTCGATTAGGCTAAAGGATATGAAAAGGAACGGCGGAGATGATGTCATTCTGGGCATTTGGAGCGAGTACGGAGTAGTTATATAATAACATGGAGATGGAGCAGAGTGGGCAAAACAAGCAAGATTGGTTTATTTTATATGGTAGTCAACGCCATTCACTGCCCCGACAATGCGGCGACATGGGTATACTTATATATATGTGTGTGTGCAAAAGTGCGGGCTAGCTTTTGAGTTCATCAAGAATCATGAAATCTTTTCCGCTGGAAGTAAAACATGTAGGTAGTCAATGGGAATTAATGAATGGAAATGAAAATGAAAAGTGAGGGGAGGAAAAAAAAAAAAAAAAAAAAAAAAAAAAAAAAAAAAAAACCCAAGAAAAAGGACAAGAGAAGATGCATCATATAACCCATATAACCCATATACGTCCGAAGACCACATTATCGCCATCTGAAATGTTCTCCGCTCTCATATCCCCATATCCATCGTATCATCGCCCCCATTACTAACCCCAGCGCCGCCGCCGCCACCCTCCGCATTCCCGGCCAACACAATCCCCCTCCCTCTTCCAGCCAACAACTCCCTCCTCACCTCCGGGCCGATATCCTTATGGCCCCTTACCAATAACAGATCTAGAAGTGCTTCTCGCTGATCCTCCGTAATATCATTCCGATACCGCTGCGCAAACACAAGCAACGACTTGTGCCATAGGACAGGTAGTTTATAACTGTTCGCCGCGGCCCCCTGTGCCGCATCGGCCATGTCCGTATCAGCGCTGCCGGCCCCCTGTGACGGCGGCAATTGCTCCGAGGCTCGAAACCGGAGGAAATGAAACACCAGCGCATCGACGACTTTGTACGGGAGGGCGTATTTCTTCTCCAGAAACACGCGGATGAACATATTCAGCGCCCCCGTGCCCTCGGAGGAGAGGGCGGACGCAGTCTTCTCCGCTGCCAGGTCGCACAGTCGCAGCAGGGCCGCTGCGGAGTGTAGCACGGGAATCGAGACGCGGGCAATAACGCTCGAGACGATGTGGGCCTCGCGCAGTGTGCAGGTGCCCGACTGCACGAGGGGAAACAGGAAGCCTTTGAAGAAGCAGGCGGGTTTGTAGAGGGCCTTTTTCAGCGCGTTGTAGATGTGTACGTGGAGTTTTTTGGTTTCGTGGATGTCGTCGCGGACGCGGTCGAGGAGGACCGTGTTGATGAATTCTTGGGCAATGTGGGGTTTGGCGGAGATGAAGATGCGCGTGGCGGCGTAGATGGTGTTTGGTGTCCATTTCTCTGGCTGGGTGATTTCGAGGAGGGTTTGCCATTGCGAGAGTGTTGGGAGGATTTTGAAAGGTTTGGGGAGGGGCCCGGATTTGTAGCGGGAGAGGAGGAAACCGACCCTGCGGTTTTCGCATGTTAGGTGAGATTGCTATTGCATATCGCGGGTTTGTTTGGAAGGTATACGGTGGACGCACCTTTGATAAACCTCTACTGCTTTTGCGGGGAGTTCAACGGCATCCTCCATCGAGCCTCCTCCAACTTGAGGCTGGCCACCACCACCACCACCACCACCACCACCACCACCACCATTTCCGGCCTCGTATGCTGCGATCTTCTCAAGGATTAAATCTGCCAAGTTGGTGCTGTGTCCTTGCCCTTCATCATCCGGATTGCGCGGATTGAATATGGGATCTTCTTCACCGCGCGGAACGAATTTATGGAATGTATCGAGGTCACCAGGGTCAACTTCCTACAGGCAAATAAACTGTCAGACAGGAGGCATATTTAGAACCACTTTCTATAAAGCGTTATATAGTACACATACCACTTCATCAATCTCCTCTTCATCATCGCCCCACTCCTCCCCATTTTGATCAGCGTCCTCGTCGCCGTCCCCCGCATCAGCCTCAGCAGCAAACCGGGATTCGAAATCAAAAGCCGTGTTTCTTGTTATTCCTGCAGCGGCTAGCGTAACACGAGATTCTTCCGCATCCTCATTTGCTAGATCCTGGCCTATTTGTAGGATCTTCTTAGAAGTCTTGGAGTCGAGATAACGGTCGCCATCGTCTTCGTATGAGCGGGATTTTCGCTTCGCTGATTTTGTGCGCAGATGGCCGGCTGAAAGGATATCGTCTGCGAGGGGCGCATGTTTGCGCTCAGTAGCAGTAAGCTTTGGCATTGTTTCTAGTCTGCGCTATAGTTAATTTTTGTCTTATGTCGACTGTTGGTTTTGTAGATTTTTTGACAGAAATTGTGGGCAGAGTGTAGTCACATGACTCTAGATAAGGATCATTCCCCATTCCAAAAACAGTCTAGCGGCGGAAAGCCCATTGCTTATCGTCCACATTACGTAACCCAAATGACTTCCTTATCGAGCACAGCCAAGATGCGCACTAAACTGTATTCAGTTTTCTGCTTCCAGAAACGGGTTTCGAGGCTAATAATTCAGCTTTGAGCCGCTTTGTCAGCCGCGGCATTTTCTCCTTTTCGAGGAATCTCCTTAACTTTATTTCAGCCGCCATGAACCCACCTTTCCCAATCGGTCATGGTCGGCATCGCCAACAACATCGCCGTCAACCCACACAGCAAGAGCTCTGGTCCTCTAACCTCCAGCAGCCGGGTCTACCACAACGACGGCGGCCAGGACGATACCGGCTAAAATACCTACTATTGCTCAATTTCGTCAAGCGCGCGAACTCCAGCTGGGATAAAACTAACTTCCCATTCGGAGAAGGATACCAATTCCATCCAGTGCTTGTTGCGCTTGCACTGGCAGCACCAGCAGTGTGTTGTTTGGCCGATCGAAGGCAAGGGAGCACACCTATTCCCAAGCCCTTCACCGTTGGAGCAATATTCCGGTGCAAGCCAATTGCCACTTGCTCAAGCGGTCCAGCTTCCCTCTGCCCGGAGCAGAGCCCCGTTTCATCCTGGTACCAGCCAGCAGGTGTCTGTGAACAAAGGAAGGCCAGCGATTTGGGCGTCGGCCGCATTCGGGATTGTATACATTGGAGTGGCTAGACCAATTACCCCAGACTTCTCTGACCACAGAGGGACATAACACACCCCCCCACCTAAATCACCTGTTCGAGCCGTTTTGTACCGCAAGAATAGCCCATATGTGAGAATCGCCCTTCCCAGTGCTAGAGAAGATACTACTTTCGCTGCAGAGATCGATGTCACTCACTTCCTACCCTATTTGTTGTCACTGCAGTTACCGGCACCGCGCGAACTCAACCCGGACTTGGACAGGCATATCCCGGATGCGCAGGACCCGGGACATAGACTCTCACCTGCCGGCGAACCATAATCTGTATTATTTACCGTAGTCCTCCTGCGCGTGTACGGTGAATTAAGGATAATTTTATTTGAGCAGAGATCAAGCGCTGCGTCGCGCTCCAACCCGTAACTCCATTGCTGTTTTTGGATCATTGGACGCCGTGTTACGGCGCCGGTTTCGTCTCTGTGGGAAAACAAGAGGTTAGACATTCGGCGGCATTGCGTGGGTCATTGTATATTATACAATATATTTCCCACACGTCAGGCAGCTCAGATTTTGCTTGGGGGCACTCTCTTGTCTTCTCATCTCTGGGCGTGTGCTGTATCCTCGTCCTCGAGCTCAGCTCTACACACACCTAGATTAGAAATTCACGGTCGAAAAGAAACACCTCTTGGTCAAGTTGGTAGGCTCTGTTCTTGCTAGGTTCCATATTGAGATGACATCTGTACCTTGTCGTGTCATGCGCTACCGTTACTATGCTGTTGCTAATACCCACACTCTTAAACGCCTGCACAGACAAGCAAACAAATAAATTCCCCAAAACTATACACAATATATACAAACCACATAGCAACCTGAACATTTTCGTCGCCATGGGGTCACTACCTCAACCTCTCAATCCCTCCATTTCTACAGCGTCATCCTCAACACCTCCCAGTCTCAGTGCCTCCGTAAATCCCAGCAACCTTATTGATGCCAGCCAGACAACCCCTTCTCCAACGAAGCTCTCGTCTTCAAATATGAACAACGACCTCTCAACCCAAAATGGCCGGGCAAAGAGAGACAAACGCGATAGTCGCAAGAAACGCGAAGCAAAAGGCACTTTAGAAGGGGCGAATGATGCTCCCCGTGAAAAGAAATCCACCACTTCGTCCTCCAGCTCCGCTATTCCTGCCTCTGAGCTTACTATGCTCATGCCCATTCAACTTGCAGACCCGCGGCCATCAGATGTTCTGCCTCCGAAGCCACGCCAGATGAATTTCGCCTACGAAAAGCACTCCGGGGTACTAGGCCAGTCATGGAAGTTTTACGAGATTGCTGATAAGTATGTTTTGGCCTAATAATAAAATCTTTAATTTTTGATAAGCACAAAAACCCACAAATATCTCTCACAGGTTAAGCAACAGAAACGGCTTCCGCTACACCTACGCGGCCATGGACCCTTCTTTCCCACACATAAAATACCGCCAAACTGACGTACCCCCTTACTACACCCGCTTCAGCTTCGAAGATTCCCCCGCAGCTATCTGCTTCACCGAAGACGGCTTAGCAGTCACCACAAATGAACCTTGGCACTCCGCGCGAGCTAATGTCTGCGCCCGCGAAGGCTCTTATTACTATGAAGCACGTGTGATCAGCGGGATCGTAAAAGGATCACAGCAGACTCCGAGTGGCTCGCCGCGGGGTAACGTCCGCTTGGGTTTCGCGCGCCGCGAGGCTGATCTGGATGTTAACGTTGGGGTAGACTGTTACGGATATGGTATCCGTGACGTGAACGGGGAAGTTGTCAACCGGATGCGGTGTGAATACTTTTTCCCGAAAGAGGAAGCCATAAACGAAGGCGATGTGATTGGAATGCTCATCACACTGCCGCCGCTGTGGCTACACAGAAAGATTGTAGAAGGTACCTACGATTCGTCTATTGATGGCGATGGAAGTACTCCAACCACCGCAACATCTGCCACCACTGCTCCTCTCCCGCCAGCATCCAACTTAATCCGAGATCGCATCCCCTTCCATCTCAAAACCGACTTCCTCTATCAACAATCACACATCTTTCCTTCTAAACACCTGCGCGATTACGCCTTCAACCTCAAGGAAACACCCACGTACGGCGTCCCCTCCCCGACGAATACCGAAGACCCTTCTCTTCGAACTTTGCCAGGGTCGAGTATCACAATTTTCAAGAACGGAGCCAAAATGGGTACCCCATTTCGCGATTTGTATGCATTCCTCCCACCCGCCTCGCGCGCGACGCAGGCGAGTAATAACCTCGGTGTCGGCACGAGGGAGAACGCGGATGATGGGATGATTGGATATTTCCCTATTGTCAGTTGCCATGGAGGCGGGGCAGTGGAGGCACGGTTTGAAGGGCCATGGTGGGTCGGGCCTCCATCCGTAAATGAAGTGGATGACATTGGCCATGGACAGGCTATAAAGGGCTTTGGGGAAAGGTACGGCGAGCAGGTTGTTGAGGATGTTCTTGCCGACATTGTCGATGAGATTGAGGCGACGTTTATGGGATGGGGTGGTGATGGGACTGCTGTGACGGCGCCGACAGCGGCTGCTGCGGCAACGACTGTGGATATGGCTGCGAATGCCTCTGATGGTGCTAGTGTTGCTGCCGCCGCAGGTGTGTTTACGGATGATGGTGGGAGTGTGAGCGTGAGTATTGGGACGCCGCAACAGGGGTCTGTTGCGGGGGAGACTGTGATATCAGAAGATGTAGAGATGGGCATGTAGGGCCTAATATTGTAATATATCTGGGGCTTCTCCTTTGTGCTTGACGGTGGAAAATTGAGGAGTCAATGTGTCGAATGCAGGTAGAAAAAGGGATGGTTTTTTGTAACACTATTAATTGTGTTAGCTATCTACATACAAGAGAATTTTTTCTCTCCTTATTTCTACAGCTTTTGAGAGGCATGTCATGTAAGCCGTTATTTGATAGCTCGGAGTTTAATTGCGCACGAATTGCACAAAAGCTCCAATAGCCAATTCGATAATTCAAATCTCCTTCCATCCATAGTAACTATCCGTGCATACCCTCCAACATCTCCCCAACATGTAGCACCATTTCATCATCCCCAAACTGTCCGATCACCTGAATTCCCACCGATCCAAATGCGGCATCAGCACCATCTCCTTTTGATTCATCACCATCGCCTACCATCGACAGACCCCGCACCTGAACTGGTACACTAAGCGCCGGCAACCCTGCCAAACTCGCCGGAACCGTAAATATATCATTCATATACGTCTCAACAGTGCTCGCACGTTTCAGCGACTCAACCGTGGGTGGCAGGGTAGGCGCGGTGGGTACGACAAGTACATCAACACCAGCATTGTCTCCCGCAATTAGCCTCTTATCCCTCCCATCCACATCCACATCCACATCCACATCCACATCCACATCCGCAGCCGGCAACAGTGGGTTCTTCACCCTAAACACCCTCTCAAAATCCGCCTGCACAAGCCTCCGCACCCGCTGCGCCTGTAGGAAGTAGTTATCGATCGCATCCGCGCTGAGCGAAAAGGCTCCGAGCAAAATGCGCCGTTTGACCTCGCTTCCAAGCCCCTTCCCGCGCGTGTTGGCATACAGATACCCGCCAGGCCCTGCATCATCGGGCGCGTCAGTGTCGCGTGTCCCGTATCGGACGCCGTCGTATCGAGCTAGGTTCGAAGAGGCTTCAGCGGGCGCGAGGACGTAGTAGGCGGCCAGCGCGTGTTTGGTGGCTGGGAGAGACACGGGGAGAATGGTATGGCCCATTTGTTGTAGTTGAATGATGCTGCGCTGCCATGCTGTCCGGACGGTGGGAGAGAGTTCGTGGATGTTGTATTCGGTAGGGATGCCGATGCGGAGGTAGGGTGAGGGGGACGAACGTGTTGTTGAGGAGTTGTGGACGGCGGCGGTGAGGCGGGTACGGGCTGCTGGGGGGAGGTTGGTAGGGTCGTGGAGGTCCGGATGATTTATTGTTTCTGGTTTATTGTTAGGAGGGTACGGTGATCCTTGTTTTGGGGGCTGCGGGGCTCAGGGAACGTACTGTAGACTTCGCGGATGGTGGAGATGTTTGACCCAAGTACGCCAACTGTATCCAGGGAATTTGCATAGGCTACCACGCCCCATCGCGAAATATGACCGTACGAGGGCTTGAACCCGACAGTCCCTGTGTATGCGGCAGGGAGCCGTACAGAACCTCCTGTATCTGTTCCCAGTGCACTGTATAGGATTAGCAGCAGAGCTTGATTGGGTATGAAGCCCAGCAAACCAAACATACGCATAGCATTGACCCGTTGCAACAGCAACAGCGCTGCCTCCAGAGCTCCCGCCAGGGGATATTGGCTCCCTTCTAGATTCTGTCACATTTTTCACTGGCCCGAAATGCGAATGCATTGAATGCGACCTATTTTGTAGTTGTAAGCCAATGAAATTCGGAAGCTCCTCAATTGCATATCGCCCCTGAGAGCTCACCCCATGCCGAACTCATCCAGATTCGTTTTACCCGCGATTATCGCCCCGGATTTTTCTAGGGACTCTACGACCGTGGCATTGAAGGGGCTAGTGTACGTGTCGAGGATTCTCGAGGCACAAGTCGTGGGCATGTCGCGCGTACATATGTTGTCTTTGATCGCGACCAATTTGCCATCCAATGGCGATTTTGTGACACCTATAAGCAAATATATCAGGATAAGCGGGTATACAATATATTGGAGAAAGGCATACCCCTCTCTCTCCGAGTGTCCGAATCCCGCACACGGTCCCGCCATGGTCCCGCGCGCTGCAACGGGGTTATGAAGACATTGAGACTTGCATATGTTTTCTGGTTAGCAAGACATTTTTCAGCTTCGCGCAGAAGGGACATTTATGTCTCTGCGACGAAGGATTGGGGAATATATCAAAAGTATTTTGTATCAACTCTCCGTTTATCCAGCTTCTCATAATTTGACTCTTGAATCGACGGAGATAAGATGTTCCGGTTGGCCTTGGCGGTTGTTGTCACATGGTATACAAGCCCTAATTGCCAGCCCATCCCACACCTTTTGCTTCTGTAACAGGCAATGTTTAGGCAAAGGATGCCGGATGCACCCTCATGATTCATATCATTAAGCCTTTTGTTCCTGCATGGCGGCAGAGGGGAATTCCTCTAGCCCCGATATAGTTAATCATATACAAAAACACAGCCTCACCGTGGCAGCCTTGACAGTAATCTCTGCACAGCATATAACTCCTTCTCCTATTTGATGCTCATGACAGACAATTGAACTTATCCCTCACAATGGACCCATTCAATATTGCACAGTTGATTCTCCTCTCAGGGGAAATTATCAGTGCGTGTTACATCTACGGCTGTGCTGTTTCTAATTCCCCAGAAGATTTACGGAAGCTCGTTGAGGAAACCACTTCCCTGAGCGGCATCTTCGTGGCAATCCAGGGTCTGGTCAACGCGGATAGATTTGTAGCCACTCAAAAGGAGGCGCTGTCCAATTCCCTGAAAGAATGCCAGGTTACACTCCGGCAACTGAAGGATATCCTACAATCTATACATCCAAGGCCAGACGAGAAGAAGATGAAGGGCTTGACGAGGTTCCTATGGCCACTGAAACAGAATGAAACGACGAAAATTCTGGAAAGGCTTGGCCGACATAAGAGCTCACTAAACTTGCTTCTCACCCTTGAAGCCACTCTGGAGGCCCAGCAAACGCAGATCGTCCTATATGAACTCCAAGATGCACTCCAGGATGATAGAGAGGAGCGCAAAGGCCGTGAAATTGTGGGGCGCCGAATCCAAGTAAATCAATGGCTGTGTGGTATTAACTTTGAGACTACTCATCATCGTGCTTCTTCAGAGCACTCCTCGGGGACTGGGGCTTGGGTTCTGAATAGCGAGAAGTTGCAGTGCTGGCTTTCTAGAGGACACGGTCTCTTATGGATTCATGGAATTCCAGGATCAGGCAAACAGTATTGATGAGTACGATCTTGAACCAGTGTCTTTTATCCAGTGCCTCCGAGAAAAACATCATTGCTTACTACTATTGTGACTTTCGGAGTCATGATAGTTGTCGGCCTGAATCTGTCATTGGAGCCATTATCCTTCAAATCTGTCAAGTTTTAAATTTCCTTCCTGAACATGTGGAGGACTCATATACGCGTCATATTGGGAAGGACGGCAAGGCCGCAGCGCCAAGTTTTCAAGAATTGGAGGTCCTACTGAGCGAAACTCTGGCTCTGGTACCGAATGTCACAATTGTTGTGGACGCTTTGGATGAATGCCACGAGAGGGAATCGCTCGTCAAAATTCTGAGCGACTTACCCTCCAATGCCTCTGCAAGTGTCAAAGTATTAGTCTCTAGCCGCAGAGAGGTTGATATTGTTCGACTGTTGAAGGATCATCCTAGTATCTCAACACAGTGCCAGGATGCCGATGAAGACATTCATCATTACATCCGTGCGTCCATCAAACTTAGGCCACGGTTACAAAGGCTGAATGGGGCATTGCAAGAACACATAGTGGAAACTCTGACCAAAGGCGCTGGTGGAATGTATGTCAATTCAAAAATAAAGCACGTATTCTAGCGAACTTGCGAAACAAGACAATCATAGTTCGTCTAACAAGAATGTCTTTCTACAGGTTTCGCTGGGTGAAATGTCAACTCGACGAACTTGCCCGCCTCCGAACTGATGGCGCCATCAAATCTGCCCTCTGCGGCCTTCCTCGCGATCTTGACGAAACATATGAGCGAATCTTAGGCCGTATCTCTGAACACGACATACCCCTCGCACGACAAGCACTCCTCTGGCTCGCCTACGCCAGCCGGCCCCTCACCCTCTCCGAACTAGCCGAGGGCGCCATCCTCCAGCCAAATGTCACAATTTTGGACCCAGAGGACAGACTCCATGACCCCGAAGACATCCTGGAAGTCTGCAGCTCTCTCGTCTCTCTTGACGGTCCATACGTCGTCCTTGCCCATAATTCCGTACGAGACTATCTTCTTTCATCCTGCGCTGCGAACAACCTACCACGCTTCTATCTTCCCGAATCCCACTGCCTCCCTGAACTTTCCACGCTCTGCCTAACCTACCTGATGCTATCCCCATTCAGCACGGGCCCCTGTGTAACCTCTGAAGATATGATACAGCGGCTAAAGGACTGGCCTTTGCTCCAGTACATCTCACATAACTGGGCAGACCACGCCCGCCCATACCTAACTCCGTCCCAAAACCCAGCCCTCTACATCCAAGTCACAACCTTATTCGCAGATCCCCCAACTGCCAACTTTTTATCCTGGGTGCAGATCCTCTTCGTCAACCCTCGCCGCCTACAGAAAACGTACAACCTGTACCCACGCACCGGCACACCGCTGTACTATGCCACATCCTTCGCCCTCACATCTGTATTCGAGCACCTGCTCGCTCAGGGCAGCGATGTAAACGCTCAAGGGGGTCGTGGGGGTGGGACACCGCTGCACGCAGCGTGCTGGCGCGTGCAGGTCGAGCTAATACGGCTGCTTCTACGCTCCGGTGCTAATTTGGACGTGAGGGATAAGAACGGGGAAACGGCAGTGGATTTGGCAGAGTCTGCGATGGCAGCGGGGAATGTGGAGATTGCCGGAGTGTTTCTGGACGAGAGGGGAATCGTTTTGAACAATCAGAATGGACGCGATGCTGGTGATTGGTGGGACAATGTTAATGGAAATATACGGAAGTATAGGCTCAAGTGGAAGCCGAGAGTTATCCGATGATGGACGAACATGTGTGAGCGATATGACTTTTTTGTATTCCTTTTTTGTTTCGTGTTATCCTACGAATGAGATGTGTCTCAATCGCAACTGTAGAAATATATACCCAAAATGTCTGTCCTTGTACGGATTAATGTACAGTACAAACAACCACAGCCCATACATATTTAAAGATTAGCTGATTTTCCCATAAAGTCGCCCATGTCTTACTCTGTTTCATATTTCCTAGCCATTCCAACGCGTATATCAAGATAGTCAAGGGCGAGGTGTTTTGGCCATGACGAGTGGGAGTCGTCCGTTGCAGGGGAGACTGCATTGAGAAAGCATCAATGTCTAATTTCAAATCTCGAAGTCGTCAAAATGGATCAAAGAGCTTCAGAAAGTGGACTCAAAAAAATATTTTATATTTATATATTTGTATCCAGAACCAGAACCCGCGTAAAATAAACTGGTCTTGTGGAGAATCTCCTCGTCTGGGGGCGAGGCAACAATTAGCGCAATACCATTAGTGTAATAACTAAGCTGTTAGCTTAGAAGTACCAACCAATAATTTCTCATACTAAAATCTATGTAATCTGATTTGTTGATACTGCTTCATTATCTTGTGTTTTTTGCTCTATGCATTCTGCAACCTTGGAACCTTCTCTTCTTGATCAATATTCATATCCAATGTGGATGTGACACCCCTGGCCACTCTGCCCACCCTGGGATAGAAATATGGATTCTACAGATAATTACCAATTCTTCAATGCTTCTTTTAATCAGATTGACTGATTTTTTTATTAGATAGTACAAAAACAGATGTAAAGTGAAAGTGATTTATCAGTGCACTTTTTGCAAACATTTCATCTCTTGAGAGTATTAAATTCAAATTTATGGAATCTCTTCATCACCCCCCAGCTGTCAATCTGTCTAATGATATTGATCCACAGAATCCATACACCCTATTTTCTCTCTATATTTCAAAGACAAATATTCAGAATATTGTCAGTTCCATCAATGTCTACACAGAGATTCAGATATCAAGGAATTCAGTTGTCAATTCATAGAATTGACAGTCAACTATTTTTGCAAAAATCAAGATATTTCTTGAGCAGATTATCTATATGGGATTACATAAGTCTCCAGCAATTGGAAACTATTAGAACAGAAATGATGTACAGAGACCACTTCATTCATCAAAATTTTATATGATACAGTATCAATTTGAGCAGATCAAGAAATATATTTATATATTCAATTCTCACAGACTGAAATCTTTCTACTTCTCTTTCATACAAAAGTTAGAGTTTTTATACTCCAACTTTCATACAGCATATTAGAAATACTACAACTCAGATTCAAATCTCTTCATTAATGAGATGATGATTCAGTTCTTTGAATGATTCAAATACACAGTTAAGATGCCTCAGAAACTAATCAGACAGAGATATAAAATCTTTAAATTAAAAGAACAGAGATATCTTTGAATCTTTTCCATGTCTCATGATAATCTCTGCATAAGTATGATGTTTCAGATTTTAGAATTAATCAAAACTGAATCTTTTATGATGGAATTGATTGAATGGCTGTCTGTATTTTTGCAGAGCTTCAAGCAGCGAGTTTCAAGCAATAGAGTTCTGAGCAGCAGAGTTTCAAACAGCAGAGTTCTGAGCAGTAAAGCTCTAAACAGCATTTAGAGTTGAATAACAGTAAAGAGATTGCTGACTACTCAATTTATATGAATAATTACTTCACATTTATTGCTCTATTTCATTATCTTTAAAAGTAAGAAATTGAAGTTTGTGAAATCATCTATTCTGTTAATTTGTCTTCTCTTATGTAAGAACTGAAAAACTCTGAATTATTCTCTCATATTCTCTTCAATACTCTGTGTATAATACCTCAAAATGAGGTTCTCTGTCTTAAATGGAAAGACAATAATATAATATTACTACTGTCTACAATTCATCTGTCAGACAGCTTTGTTGAATGTGACAGAAAGTGCTCAGAATTGAGCTCTATTAATGACTTTTAAATTTGAAGAATATTTGAAGATAACTGACAAAAAGCTGTGAAGATTCCTATCATTATTGATGTTTACAATCATCATATAAATGGGATTGATCTAGCAAATCAGTATAAAGTTTTCTATGAAACTCATATGCTCACTAATCGGACCTGATTGGCAATTCTGTACTGGATTATTGACCATGCTATTGTCAATGCTTATATCCTTCATCGACTGGTTACTACTGGCTCTGGCACTACTACTCTATCTCATGTGCAGTTCCGTCAACATCTCTATTTTCAACTCTTTCAATACTCAAATCCTCTACTCACTACTCAACCAAATCTAGATCTAAATCACCATCGGATCTCCTTGTCATATACTCAAACTTGTGCATGGTGTCAGTACAAAAGAAAGGTAGCAGGGGAGAATAAAGAAAGAGCTCCAAGGACAAGATATGGTTGTCAAGCATGTAATAATATTCCTCTCTGGTTGAAGAGAGGATGTTGGAAGAAGTTCCATTCTCATGATATTAATTAAGGCTAGATCAAATAGATTACATAAATTACATAAAAACATGCTAATACAGCTGATCTCTCATATGATCCAGTAGTTTTCGCGTATTTAATACACTAATGTACACACTAAAAAATACGCTAATTGTTGCCTCGCCCCCACACGAGGGGATAGAGACCTTGCCGACGTCATGCCGAGCAACTTTTTATTATCATCATGCTCTACCACCAAAACACCAACATCAATCCGCCAACCCAACTCACCTGCAACCCAGCACTTTGACCGGCCGAGCTGCCACAACGTCATAGCCATGTTTTCTGCTGGGACAGCTGTGCGCGTGCTAGGCCGATTGAAGCCTATCAACGCCGTTCCCTCCGCCTGTGCCTCCTTCAGACTCTCCCTGGACCGCCGACGGTATATCTCCGCCTACGGCTACACCCAGGCCAAAGCCTTAGTCTACGCCAACTATGGTGAGCCCAAAGATGTCTTAAGGTTGTTAAACCCCTCCCAACACCTTTCCGCATTCTCGCTGTCGATCGCACTGTGTAAGCCAAATCCCGCTGCTAACATCTTCTCCAACAGCCTACATTCCTACTCTATCTCCCCCCCGCACCACACCCAGGTCAATGTCCGCCTCCTCACCGCGCCCCTCAACCCCGCCGATGTCAACCAAATCCAGGGCGTCTATCCTTCAAAACCCGCCTTCTCCACAACCCTCGGCACGTCCACCCCGTCCACCATCGCCGGCAATGAAGCTGCCTTCGAGGTCGTGTCAACCGGCTCCGGTGTCAAATCCCTCACAAAGGGCGACTGGGTCATCATGAAGCGGTCGGGGATGGGCACCTGGCGCACGCACGCACAATTCGACGAAGCATCCTTGATCAAGATCGAAGACCGCAGCAACCTGACCCCGCTCCAGGTCGGCACCGTCGGCATCAACCCCGTCACCGCCTACCGGATGCTGAAGGATTTCTGCGAGTGGGACTGGGTGGGCAAGCCGGGGGAGGAATGGGTGATTCAGAACGGAGCGAACTCCGGCGTCGGCCGCGCGGTCATCCAGCTCGGGCGCGAATGGGGCATCAAGACGCTGAACGTCATTCGCGAGCGGGACTCGGCCGCGGAGACGGCGGCGCTGACGGACGACCTGCTGGCCCTGGGCGCGACGGCGGTCGTGACGGAGGCCCAGCTCCTCTCGTCCAAGACCTTCCGCGACATCGTGCACGAACGGACGCGCCAGGGCAAGGAGCCCATTCGCCTGGCGCTGAATTGCGTGGGCGGGCCCAGCGCGACGGCGATGTTGAAGGTGCTTGCGCCCGAGTCGCATATGGTCACGTATGGAGCGATGGCGAAGCAGCCCCTGACGCTGCCGTCGGGGTTGTTGATTTTCAAGAATCTGGTCCTGGATGGTTTTTGGGTGTCGAAGTGGAGTGATAAGAATCCAGTGCTGAAGACAGAGACAGTCAATGATATTTTGAGGTTGGTGAGGGCGGGAAAGTTCAAGGATATACCCGTCCAAGAGAAGAAATGGACCTGGGAGACCGAGGCGGCGGAGTTGGCGGCAGAGGCTCAGGGGACGTTGAGCGGGAGAAGAAGCGGGAAGAGTGTGTTTGTGTACGAAGGGGATTAAGTGAGACGATAGTTTTGCGTCCTCTATACTTCTGTGTTCGGTTCTCGGGTCGTGTTTGTATGGGTGTGTCTGTAAAATCATTTTATGTTATCATATTGTACATTACTGTAGCTAGAGAGCGAGAAGAAAAAAATGTATTTGAGTCTGTTTATGCTATGGGTATTCATTATCTCTTCAATTGAGCCCGCTGTTTTACAAATCCTGGCATCCTGTATCTGTCTAGCAACTATATTACGACTGAACAATCCAAACACGGCGGAGATATATCAAATTTCATCCACGATATCATAAATCCAACACGCAATTATACATCCTTCCCTCTATAGTAACCCCGGAAAGAAAACGTGAATCTCAATAAAAAGCCGCGCAATCCCGAATCCAAACATAAAGAGCTGAAAACACAATATCTAACTAGTAACTAATTTCCAATTCCCAAAACCACAAGAAAGCATCTCGACTCCGTTACCCCCGATCTATACCTTCCCCTCCTGACATTTCCAATTCTCCTCCACCCACCGGACAACAATAGTCCCCAGCGTCTCCTCCTCCATAATAACCTCTGCATCCTCTTTCATATCAACATCGTGTCCCACAAACTTAAACGCCATATCCAGCCATGGCTCGACGAAATCGAGGTAAACAACGTCGACGGCTGCTGGGTCTGCGGTGTCGGAGTTCATGTCCTTGGGCGAAGGCGAGGACGTGGATGCGGATGTGGAGGTGTTTGCAGGAACGAAGGCGGACAGGCAGTTTGGTACTTTGTAGGAGGATATCTTGGAGTGGATCGTGTCGTCACCATCGTCGCCTGCGTCGTCTACAGTAGTGTAGCCCGGCATGATGACCAGAGCTGGCTCTTTGCCTTGATCATCCTCTGTACCGCGGTCATCACCACTGGGGGAGTTGAGTGGGATTTGGTTCGGCGAAGACAGTTGGGTTTCTTCTCGACCATGGCCATCGTTCTCATCGTTGACGAAGCTACTGAGAGATATCTTCTGCTGCTCGGGCGGGGATAGGAAAGATGATGCAGACACAGTCGAGTTCGGCATGTTTGCGAGAATTTTTATCTGTCGATTCAGGACTTCCATGACCAATTTCGCTTTTTCGTACGGCACGTCCTTAACATAGCGAAAGCCGGATGGAAACGGTGATAGAGTGTATGCTGAATCTTTCGTGAAAGGCCCTTTGAAGATATCAAAGCGGAGAGCACCTGTGTTTATGATAATCATAGCGGCCTTGTTAGGGCGAATTTTCACACGGAAGCTATCGGGCAGGACCTTCTTCTCCAGCCAAGAATATAAACTTGCGTTGTGGGGATACGGCACGCGCGACATCCACAGGTCTTTCGGCGCGCAACCATGTACGTGGTCAAGTTTTAGTTCGCGCCGAGCACTCTGGATCATTTTGGAGACATTCTTGCCATATTCCGTGGGGAAAGTGGTTGTGTTGAGACCTGTGTGGTAACTGAAGGACCAGAGGTTATTATCGATGTATCTCCGGGTGAATGATGGGTTGGCTGCTGCAGACGCTGACTGCTTGTCTCCAATCGACAAACCGCTGATGGAGGCGAAGCCGATCGTTTCCATAAACCTGCCACTGGCGAGTCCGTACGCATTTTCGTCGTACTTTACATAGTCCCGGATATGATAGTGGCCTCCAAAGAAATGGATTGGGGTGTCCCAATGCATGCCCCTTATCTCTTTGTAGATGGTTAAGAATTCATTCGATTCCACAGCAACATGTCCAACGACGACGAAAAGGTCGACATCCTTGTCCCGAATCGCGTCTTGGAACCACTCTTCCTTGACAGTCTCCTCCACAGGTTGGACGAAGGTATTATTGTAGTTTTGTTTGAAATTGAATAAAAAACCAAACGCAACAACTCGGATACCTAGTTTCTCTGTCGTGAATTTCTTGAAGCGTGCGGCCAAGGGGACCCGTTCCCCCGAGTGGGGATCCATTATATCGATATTCGAGGAGATGTAGTTGCCTTTGAAATTGGGGACTGTTGTCAGATACTCATTTACGGATGTGTTCTTTTGATACAGCTCATGGTTGCCAGAGCATATGATGTCAATGCGTTGCTGCTTGAAAATCTCCGCGGTATATAGCCCCTTTGGCTCCGAGCCGTCGTAGAGACCATTTCCGTCTACCCTATCGCCTGTGTCTATTAGAAGTAAATCCCCTCCTTCCGCTTCGACTTTTGTACGAATACGAGTCGCAAATGAGATGTAGTCTCCCCAGTCGGCGGCGTAGGAAGCTCTGATTTCAATGGCAAACAGTCAGCCATGTGTATCTGTGTATCCTCGCGGAGCAGCAAGGATAACTCAGCTTACTCCTGGAGATGGCCACCAAGCCAGCCATGCGTATCAGTTGTATGGAGAAAATTCAGCTGGCCGAAGGTGAGATCCCGCATGCGGGCCGGAATGGGCTTGGGAGAAGAGGGTTGCGCCGATAGAACGGAGATGGAGAGGCTCAGGAGGGCGAGCAATAGTGACTCCATGGCGGCTCACGAGGCAGCTAAAACGTGCATACCAACAAATGTGCCTGACTACACTCGTATTTGTAGAGCGGAGGCAACATGTTGATATAAATAAACATTACACGTCCAGATAAACCTGGGTGGTGTTGATGTCACCGCCAAGAGTCAAGGGCATAACCGTAGTTGGTAACTAAGTTACTGTGTGGAACTGTTACTCTCTACGCAATCAGAAAAGAAATAATCACAAAAGGAAAGAAAGGATAAAAAGGAGATTAGATATCAATACTAAATTGAAAATAGTGGAAATATGTGACAGGGTAACACTTATTGATACTTCTCCAAGAGAACTAATGTTCTTGTATCACTCACTATCTTCATACAATCATTCTGTGAGCTTCAACTTCATAATTGCATTTTCATACTACTATGCAAATCTTCAATACTCCTCTAGTGATTCTAGAGAATTGTGTACAGTAAAATCCAAAGATTGAATGACTCTTGTGTCATGTAACCCTTGACTAATAGACTACAAAAGGCAAAATGGCCACACTCAGTAACAGGTAACCGCTGCCGCTGCTATTGGAGCATGTAGCCTATATATAGTTAAACCCTCAGGGCGATGTCCGTCGGTTGCCAGCTGCATCGCCCCAGACTCATTAGGGATCGCCCTCATACCCTTATGGACTGATGGGCGCTGTTAGGAGAGGATGCCCACCGAGCACTGTGGCCAAATAAGGGTTGGGTAGCTCGCTTGGCTAAAATGTGGAGGGAGTCACTGCCCGGAGCAGTAACTCTCAGGTAAAAGCCGCCGTTAGTTAATTATATTACTAGGAATCGAACCCAGCTGGTGAAGGCTGTGAAAATTGTACGCGGTCTGTTGGAGTGATTGGGTTGGGAGGTTCATCCCCTCTCATACCAGCATGGCGCTGGTGGTGAACCTCTTTTGCCCCAGTTCTAGTAGCTCCGAATGTAATTGCTTCTTGGGAGGCGCTTGACCACACAATAACAGCTGCCGCTGTTATCGGAGCCCGTACATCTGTACCCTTAGTCTATAGTTAGCACCCCCCGAAGATGCCCGGCTCGCCTGCTGGGGATGACACCCAGATATCCTCACTGAATTCATCAATCTTATTCTCGGGAGGGTTTTGAGAAGTAGATGATAGAGATAGCTTTTGTATAAGCATCTTCATTCACTCGTTCTGCCATCTCATACTTATTTCATCATCATTTGTATCAGATATTGGTTGTTGGCTGGGATAGCCCAGGGGCGGGTTCATACCAGTAGTATTCATGACTTTAGAGTTCTAGGAGGCATTCTTTATTCCTTTCTCAGTCAAATCAAATCTTTTTGGTCGCCTGCAATTCAGTGATGCACTTCGTTTTATACCTCAGAGTAGTAAAATGTAAAATGAAAACAAGCAATGCAGGCCATAACCGGTTACTTAGGAACGATGAGTGATACGCTAGTCCGTAATAGGAAGCTTAGGGCTTCAACAATAAGGTTTGTTGAGATATTCACGTGATTGATATCATATGCTGAGTCAGCCCAACAAGTCCAACGCCAAGCTCGCCCAATCCGGAAACATACAACGTCCCATCGCTTTCTTTTTTGCCAGCGGCTTTTGCATGCTGCATTTTGCTGTCTTGCGCTTCAATTCTCCCTCTCTCTATATATGTGTTGCTATCTCTGAACCCCCAGGGCTGCAGCTAGCTGGGCTTTCCTTGCTGTATTGTTTTAACTTCTTTGAATTAATATTCTTCTGCCTCCAATGGCTACCCCAAGACTGCTCAGACCAGCTTCGCGCTTGGTATCCACACGGCTCTGCTCCGCTTCCATCCGCCCTGCTTTCAAGCCAGCCGCGTGCTCTCTTTCGGTTCTTCAACGGCGAACATATGCAACTCCAAGTGGAACCAAAGAGGTTACAGTCAGAGAGGCCCTCAATGATGCCCTTGCCGAGGAACTCACGCTCAATGAAAAAGTGTTTATCTTGGGAGAGGAGGTTGCGCAGTATAACGGAGCGTTAGTTGCTATTTTCACTATGTATTTGTAATGCCAGTATTAACAAGGTGCTAATGAATATGCTTTCCGAAATTCAGCTACAAGGTAACAAAAGGCCTGCTGGACCGATTCGGCCCGAAGAGGGTCATCGATACCCCCATCACCGAACCTGGTTTCTGCGGATTGGCGGTTGGAGCTGCGTTAGCGGGATTGCACCCCGTTGTGAGTGATATAAACCTTGGATATCTAATGGCGCGAGCAAAAGCGTAAACTGACACACAGAGCGATTGATATAGTGCGAATTCATGACCTTCAACTTCGCCATGCAGGCAATTGACCAAATCGTCAACTCCGCAGCCAAAACACACTATATGTCCGGCGGCATCCAACCATGTAATATAACCTTCAGAGGTCCCAATGGCTTTGCTGCTGGTGTCGCTGCCCAACACTCCCAGGATTATTCCGCCTGGTACGGATCTATCCCCGGCCTTAAGGTGCTCAGCCCTTGGAGCTCTGAGGATGCAAAGGGACTCCTCAAGGCCGCCATCCGCGACCCCAACCCAGTTGTATTCCTCGAAAACGAGTAAGTACATATAATATACTCTGATACAAACAACTTGTGGAAACGGTAATATACGGGCAAGGATCGAACTAATTAACCTACATTAGACTCATGTACGGCGAATCTTTCCCCATGAGTGAAGCTGCGCAAAAGGACGACTTCGTCCTCCCCATCGGAAAAGCCAAGATTGAACGCGTCGGCAAAGACCTAACCATGGTATCCCTCTCCCGCTGTGTCGGTCAAGCCATGCGCGCCGCTGCAGAGTTGAAGCAGAAATACGGCGTCGAGACTGAAGTGATCAACCTGCGTTCCATTAAGCCCCTTGATGTCGAGACTATCATCAAGTCCGTGAAGAAGACCGGCCATCTGATGGCTGTCGAATCCGGCTTTCCCATGTTTGGTGTTGGTTCTGAGATTCTTGCGCTGTCCATGGAGTATGCTTTCGACTACCTCCAGGCTCCCGCCGTCCGGGTTACCGGTGCTGAGGTACCAACACCGTACGCCTTCAAGTTGGAACAGATGAGTTTCCCGCAGGACGAGACCATTGTCACGCATGCTGCTAAGTTGCTGCGGGTGTAGAGAAGAGAGGGAAAAAAATCTTTTGAAATTTACCGCTATACCCACGGCTATTTTTCACTCGTTATGAGCGCTTTACAGCAAGTCAAAATCTTTTTTTTTTTACCCCTCCGTCTCTTTGTAATCATTTGAATGAATATTCATTATTGGAAGGACAAATAGCATGGACTGGAAATATATCAAAAGGAATCAAAAGAGAGATATGACACCAAAATAAATAGGGAAAGCCTTCCTGTTTTAATCTATACACCATTTGTTTCGTGGCATTGCCCTTATCACCTATTTGTTACACATTTACTACCTATGCCATCAGGGGTCGACCAGAAAACCCCTTGAGCTTCACTTTTATCCTTTCACTATTACCCGCTCTCTATTTCCGATATTTATCCTCTTACTTCTGTTCCCGCTGTCCGTTTGTACCCATGACTTAAGTCTCCCTCTCATCTTCGTTTGCTTTTTTGAAAGACCGTTTCGCTCTGTTGTACGATTAGATATATTAACCACCCATTCAATTGTATGTATGCACCTACAGACAAATTAACATTTCCCCACATCATACCGAAATTAGACACAATTATATTCCTGATTAATTGCGCTCTCTGGCCAGCTAATACCGCTATAAAAATTAGTAGACTCAGACGGGGAAGCAACAGCAGTACGTTGGTGCGTTTTTTTACTCATCTAATGCTGAGAAAGTGATCAACCAAAACAGGTTCAAACATTAGCGACAAACAGACAAGAGATTTGCTCCTCTCAGATTTCCCAATATGACAAAAATTCACCAATCAAACTTCTTCCCAGCAAGCTTTCACCTACCTCTGATCCCCCTCCCTCCTCGCGCGGTCGGCGACGGTGCCGTTGCGAGTGCTGCGGGAACGGTTTGTATCGGCGGACTGCGAGGGGAGGAAGCGGGCGTTACTGTCTCTTGCCGGCGATGATGATGGGTAGATGTGGGAAGAAGCCTGCTCCTGTCTGCTGGGGGGTGTAGGGAGCGCGTCGGCCTCGTGGATGAGAGGGAGTTCCTCGTCGAGGACAGAGTCGTATCATTGGCCTTCCAAGACTGCGTCGTGGTATATGAGCACGTCCTCTGGGGAGACAGAGCGGCGGTGTTGTTTGGCCCAGAGCTTCAGGCGGGATTTGAGAAGCTCATCGAGCCTTGAGATCATCTTCTGGAAGACGGCTTGGGTGCAGAGTTCTGCGGGCCATTGGGTGAGGTTTTGGTCAATTGAGGCGACGATGGCTGCGCCGCTGGAAGCGTTAGTGGAGGAGCCCGGGGATGGGTGGGTGACGTCGACGCAGACGACCACGGTTTTGCAGCCCGGTATAAAGCCGAGCTTGTGTGCGTCGAGAGTGTGACTTGCGCCACCGAGTTTGCGGTTAGCTTCGAGGGCTACGTTGGCGAAATACGTGTGGTTCCTGTCTTTGGCGAATTTGCTGGCGATGGCGCGAAAGCTGTGCACGCCAAATTTGACATCACAGACGTACTTGATGTGATTGTACATCGTGCTGACAGCGGGAATAGTCGCCAGATACATAAATTTGTATCCATTGTATAAATGGTTCGGATTTTGCCAAACGCGCATCAACGGATATCTACGCCAAATTCAAGACTCACAGGCTTCAGACCGACGTCCTCGCAGAGAAGCATAATCAAAAACTAGCAAGGGACAATTGAAAATCGCTAAAACTCAAATCCACATATGGATTTGGCCCAGTCTCTCCACATTTCTCCGGATTCTGAAGGCGCGATTTCCGCTGGATTTCTCTTTTGATGCTGGCTTGCTCCAGCCGAGCACGGAGAAATCGACCGCAGGAATGTGAAGGAGAGTGAAGGGATTATACAAAAGGGGCTAAAGAGAAAATGGGTTGCCAAAAAACATACGACGAGTATGCAAAGCCAGTTAGTGGTTGTGACTCTTTTTTACTTCCAGAAATCATCAGACAAATAATACCTATAGTTCTTCCCCTCGCGTGGAGTGAAAAGAAGTTAAACTGAGTATTGAAAGACGAAGAAGGGTGCCGGGCACTGACACCGACGGCTGATATATACCATCTTGGCCTTATATCATCTTCTCCTCGTCCTTGTGTTTCGAAGAGCCAAATTAAAGTTCAACCCTGTTAGGGAGCAGCCCATATTAATATGGTAGAGCGTCCATGGCTGTTATTGCGCTTGGAAAGTAACAAGAGTTCAAAATAAGATAAAAAACCCAACCACGTGTTGGGTTGTTGGTTTCGTGCTTGTCAAGCTAGCGAAAAGGTAGATAAATCGTATCTGCTTGCATGCCAGCTCGACAGCTTGTTTGCGCCAAGGAAGTATTGCTAAATGTTGATGTCAGTTAGTTAACTCTTGATTGATTCATCCAGGGTGGTCTTACTTCCTTCCTCGCTTCCTTCCTCGCTTGCTTGCTTGCTTTCGACTGTTAAAGCTTTTCAATGTAACTCCAACATGAACTAGATAAATGAGCTGGTGGCTGGCGATGTGGAGTAAGGAGGAGTTAATTCATTGCCACCCCAACCAAATTATCTCCTCTGAACACCCATAACTTGTTAACTAGTCTCAAAAAGTAAACAAAAATCAAAGAAAAATTATAAACCCCTGATTTCCCTGACAACTATACTTAATAATTGTGTTTTACAAAAACGCGCCGTCAAGAATCTATTATTGTAATATAATTGTCACTATAACTATACTGCGTAATGACTCTGAGTACGGATATAGTTATAGCTAGTAAAAACTAGCTGTTTAATAACTAAATGTTAGCTCAAACACAACTGTTTCATACTAATGTTTCTATAGAAATCTCATGTCGCAAAGGGGGGTTTAGCTATCTATGGAGTGCGGGCTCCATGTTATTGTTGGCTTTTTCTTGGTTGAGTGACTAAGGCACCAGTTATATAACTATCTAACTATATTTATAGCGTTGGTAGTTTTGCCGTCAAAAATCTTCCTGCGTATTGTCGAATAGACATCAACCTTCATAATGCTCGATAAAAATGATATTTTCCATCAAAGCTATCGGGCTTGATTGATATAATGCAATTCTTCAAACACGTCAACAAACATTTATAAGAATAGCAAAGATTGAGGGAAAAAAAAAGAAAATGTTGCTACAAACATATCATGTTCAGGTTTTCAACTGAACTCATCAGGGCCTGTCTCAGACGGACTGGGTAACTCTCCATTGAATTCAAGACCAAACATCCGTTTCTCTGAGAATGTTCGCAAGCCCTGATGACCGCCAAAGCAAAGTGCCCCCACGCCTGTAAAAAGGAGCTGCGCCCAGATAGTTACAGGCAACCGCTATCCTACACCTTTATCAAATGATGACATTCTTCATATTTAAACAAATCACAATCTGTTGGTCATTCATAAGGTAGCTAGTATAGAACGAACAATTAATTTTAGTGCTTTTTGTTCCATTAATTTTATTTTATTTTTACAAAAAATTCCCACTAATTTCAAGTAACTAGTTACTAACTTAAACAAAAAACTTAAAAATTTCACCCGCCATATTTAGATGAATTCAACTTCTTCTACAAACAGGTTTTTTGAATATTCTTTACCGAAAGGAGCATCTAATCTCTAGATTCTCTACGTTATTGACAGTTGCTTTCCAAAAACTGCAGGAGAATTTCTCTTGGTTTTTGACCTATGTAGGGCACGGGAAGTGGCTCTGTTCTTCAGCGGGCAGGAAACGCCCTTGAGAACTAATTGAGCATGGTTGCACATCGTTAAAACTATACGATATGTATGTATAGTACAGTCCCTACAACAAGCCACTACTGTTCATTTCAATCAAACTGGTAAAGGCCAAAAGAAAAGGCGACGCGGAAGTGTGGAGAAAACAGCTTTACATAAATGTAATTGAAGCTCTCAATACTCCGTACCAAGGCTAAATTTATAAATGAGATCTTGATGCCTAACTTCATTATCGAGCATTGAACATCAAACATCTAAACCAATCTCAACCGTGTAGAAGCTTGTCAAACCATATATTTATCATATAAATTTCCGGCTTGTGTAACTCCTTGCATAAGTTAGAAGTTTAGATAACTATAATAAACTTGTTAACTATAGATCAGTTAAGATGTCTTTTATAAAATTAAACTGAGTTTAAGAGATATTTAATGTCTAACGCTTGACTATTAAATTAAGTATTATGAGGATTGATTTTATATGAACTTTCAATATTGAAAATTCTATGTGCAAGGGCTTGTATTCCGCACCGCTGTTGTCGAAGAGAGAAACCATCACCAGTTAACGTATTGGTTCTTCTTCTTCTACGACTCGAGGGTTCTTACGGCAAATTCTGCTGATGAATGTAACTACAGCTAATTAATATATACACGATGAATGAGAGATATTGCGCGAATTTTCAACGGTCGATATTACTACCATTTGAGATGTTATAAACAATGTTAAAACTTCTTTAACTTATGATTAATTTATGTCGTTACATGTTATTTACATGAAATTTTTAAAAATAAACGCGGAAAATAGAAATAGATTGCCTTATCATATTCATGAATTATAATTCAATTGTTAAACACTCTATGATGATGAGGATATAATTTATAATCCGAGTTAAAACCCAAGGTTATCTTTAAAAAAAAAAATCTCTTGGTAAATGCTATAACTCGCTTAATAAATATTACCAAGGCACGAAATAAAATGATTGATTAAGCGATATAAAGTACCATGGAACTAAAGTGAAGGAAAACTTTGATATTTAACGTAATTCATCAGTGAGCGAGACACATCACTAAGCGAGATACCTCTCGCTCCACTGTACGATGAGAATGCTCTTCATCAACGACACAATGCAATCAGGCTTCTAATCAAGAAGGAAGACTTTGCTTAGCTATTCAAGCATTTAATTCAGATTAAATTTCAAGTGTAAGAGCTGCAGCAAAGTTGTATGATCTTTCTTATTCCACATTTGTACATTGCATCTCTGATTGTACAGCACATATCAATACTCCTTCAAAACTGTGAAGGGTTCACATCTGTTAGTAGTTAGCTTGTGTAATCAATGCCTCACAACTCCACTCTGCACTCATGTAACTTTTAACAATTCTTCTGTGTAATCTTCACTCTGTGTATATGTAGTTTTGACAATTCCTTCATATAACTCTCAATGTTCTTTCACTTCATGTTTCATTACAGCACAATCTTTAATATTCTTTTATTGTATTTTTTTTTTTTTTTTTTTTTTTTATAAAAATCTCTTTATATGATTTTTTTTTCTGATCTTTTTTCTTTTTCTTTTTTTAATCAATTTATAAATTGTATTAAAATAATGTTAATTGTTAATTGAAATATATTTTTTATATTATGAATTGATTCTTCTGTATTTAAAGTTTAAATATTTTGTTATTAATTCTTACATTTAATACATTATTATATTAGAAGATCTGAATGCTCATCATTAAATACATAAATTATTATATTTAAATATTTGTAATAATTGATTTTGTTCATAAAGAGGCTCAAATGTCTATGAAGCTGTAATACTATAAATAATATTTATGAAGAAGTTTGATAAGTTTAACATTATAATATTATAAATAATATTTATGAGAGATTTGAATGTCTATAAATATATTTTTAAAATTATATATTTTTAAATATTGAAATGAGTTATTAACAAATTTACAATCATTTACTACATCTAAATATGATGAATAATAATCTAAATCTACAAAGCATTCTTCAACAGCAAGTATTATAAATGATTGAATTGTAATGATGATTTATTGAAATGAATATATCTATATTCATCATTTCTTTTACATTTGTGCTACATAAAATATCTCTGAAAGAGAATCTTTCAATTCTTAATAAATATACAGAGAATATAACACTTTATATTATATGAAAATTGAAGTGAATGTCAAATTAGACATCAATGATCAGATAATAGATATATCATTAAATATGTATTAAATTGAATGATGATATACTAATAAAATTTTAATTTTGAATAAATCATCATCTGAATAATCAATGTATATTAAAGTTCGTTTTTTAATAATTTAATTCTCTCTTCCTCAATTCTATACTTCAAATTAAACTACTAAATTGATTGAATGAAATTTGTTAGAAAAACATTTCATTAACAATTTATTTATCTGAATTCAATTGCAAACATCTAAAAACAGACAAATAAAATTGAAATGCTTTTATCAAAATCAATATATTATTTAAAAATTTAAATGATCAACTACATAATTAAAGTGTAGAATAATTAAAAATTTTAATTTATAATAAATATTGTATTGATCTCTGTTTATTGAACAATGATCTGTCTCAATTTCATGCATTTTATAATTATAAAAAATTTCAATAAATGAATGTATACATTTTAAATTACTTTACAATATTCTTCATCTTTGAATCAGAATTAATAAATTAAATCTCTTATATAAATACACAATGCTCAAGAATTTTCAATATTTTAAATAAAAATATTACCGATCAAATAATTAGAAAAGTCTATATATACTATGATAAACTGAATCATTTTATAAATCAATGTTTAAATGTAGTTGTTTTGAATAAATTTCTTATATATATGAATGCTGTGTCATTTGTGAATAAATAAGAGCAGAGAAAAGAAAAACTCTCATTTTAAAATGTGAATGAAAGTTTAAAAAGCAAAAAATTAGTTCAATATTTAAATAAAAAATATAAATAAATATAATCATAATGTTTATTATTATAAATAATTTAATCAATGTATGAGCAATGGTAAACAGTGATTTTCTTCACTATATTTTTATAAACATTCAATTAATAGAAAAATATAAACTTCGGTGTATTTTTTTCTCTGAATTATATAAATTCAAGGAATTTGATAATCTCAGAGAATTCATCTTTTATAATATGATAAAATTTAATATTGATATAGAAGAACATGAGAAAAAGAATGTGTATATATATAAAATATAAAATTTTGAATATGATTTAATATTTAATTTATTAAAACTTATAAAATTCAGAATTTTATTGAACATTTATAATTATTGTTTTATTTTCTCAGAAAATAATCATATTTATGGAAAAGATATCAATAGAATTGTTGATTTCATTCAAATATTAATGAAAATATTCAAGCTACTAACATATCAAATATGTGAAAAGAAAAGTATTCAAGTGTTCACAATCACTGTCAATATGATGAATAATTAAAAAATGCTAGAGAAGTTAGAATTTAAAATTTTCAAAAAAATTATAAAGCATTTGCTTATCATTTACTTCTGTGCTGGTTTATTATTCCTCTCACCGAGTATGTTTTCATTTATTATTGCCTTTTATTATGTTCGTACTATCATTATTTTCATATATATATATATTCCGCACATCCTCCTTTTCTCTTTCTTCTTTTTTTAATAAATAAGCTATTATTATTACTACTATTATTATCTCTTACTATTATTGCTATTTATTATATTAATATATGCTGCTTATTATCTTTTATTATTCACTCTTCACACTGTTATCAACCTTCACAATTTCTAATTACTCAATTTTTGAGAAACAGTTTGTCAGGGGTGATAACAGTGAGAAGAGTGAATACTAACAGATAATAAACAGCGTATATTAATATAATAATAATGGTAATGATAAGAGATGATAATAGTAGTAGTAGTAGTAGTAGTAGTAGTAGTAGTAGTAGTAGTAGTAGTAGTAGTAGTAGTAGTAGTAGTAGTAGTAGTAGTAGTAGTAGTAGTAGTAGTAGTAGTAGTAGTAGTAGTAGTAGTAGTAGTAGTAGTAGTAGTAGTAGTAGTAGTAGTAGTAGTAGTAGTAGTAGTAGTAGTAGTAGTAGTAGTAGTAGTAGTAGTAGTAGTAGTAGTAGTAGTAGTAGTAGTAGTAGTAGTAGTAGTAGTAGTAGTAGTAGTAGTAGTAGTAGTAGTAGTAGTAGTAGTAGTAGTAGTAGTAGTAGTAGTAGAAGTAGTAGTAGTAGTAGTAGTAGTAGTAGTAGTAGTAGTAGTAGTAGTAGTAGTAGTTATTATTATTATTATTCTTCCATTATAAATGTATGCAGTCAATGACTATGACATCTATCTGAAATACTTCAGAATTTTTCAACTTAAGAATAAGCTAATATACAAAGTCAATTTAATACATGCAATAGCAGAATTCCAGCCCAGAATCAAACAACTATTTAAACTATTCAATTTAAAAAAGAATGTCAAAAGAATGACAACAGATCAATACATTTAATTTAAAATAAATGAAATAAAAAGTATAAAAAACAGCAGCTATTAAAAGAAAAGAAAGCATTCACAAATCAAACTTTTCAAAACAAGTCAAAATCAAAAATAATCAAAATGAAACAAATTTTCAAAGTAAAAGTAACAAAATAAAAATAAAATCAAAAACAAAATTAAAGCAAATATATAGAAATAAAAAAATAAAAAAAAGAACATCAAAAATTGGGATTTCCTTATCAAAACACACTATTTCATTTGAAATTCTTGGTAGCACTATTTGAATTCTGTCCCATATTCTAATCAAGAAAATCCATTCCAGTTTTTATGTTGAATAAATGTTTTAAATTTAACTATTTTAATTTAAACTTCTCTCTCAATCTCAATCTTAACTCTGTATGCTTTATACAAAGTAAAAGAAGATGCTCTGAATTTTCATATAATTGATAAAAAATCATATAAATCATTTAAATCATTTCTAATCTTTATTAAATATAATTTAAAATAACCATGTTTAAGCTTTAGCTGCATTGTTGTAGTAAAAAGTTTCTTTTTACATTTTATTGAACAAGCTTTCCATTTTGGCTTAGTTTCAAACCTGGAATAATATACACTCTTTTTTTTATAAAAACCAGATATCTTGCCATTTTTGCAAACATGATTCTTTTATTTTTTTCTTAATAAAAGCTCATATGACAATTCTTTGAAAGCAGACTTCCAATTCAGTTGCTTTTTTTGCAACTTTATCAGCCATTTTATTGCCATATATACTCATGTGAGCAGGCACTCAGTGAAGATGAATAGAACAATTGAATGAGATTTTTCTTTAAATATTTTGAAGATTTTTCAAAATCAGTTCTAACATTGACTGTCCACTGCTGATTTTATTACTTTGAAGTCTTTTAAGCTCAGTTTGATTATCAGAGAATATTCAAATATGCTCAAATGTTTTCCATTGTTCAATCTTCATCTCAATCAATTTGAAAGCTTTTAAAATTGCAAATAATTCAGTATTAAAAACTTCTGACTCTTTTTCAATTTGTTAAGAATCAATAATATAGTTTTTATCATTTTCTGAATATATTCCAGCTTCAAGATTGTCTGTTTTTTCATATTTTGAGTCATCAATGTATATAAGAATTGCTTTGTTTCTCATTTATTTTAGAAGATTTAGATGTTGTTCAGTCTGAACATCTTTTGAAAATTGATTAATATTTAAATCAATAAGACTAACAAGATCTTTCTTTCAAGGAAAGAGATTTTTAAAGACCACTTTCTCCACATTTAAAAGCCCCGGTGGCCGAATGGGTAATGCGGCCACCAGGTAGCGCCTTGGTGTGGGGACTCAAAGCGCGTAGGTTTAAAATTTACAAGAGGACAACATTACATTCAGAGTCAACTTCTCAGCTTCTAAAATAAAGATATGTAAATTTGTCAAGTACATATCTTCAGATTAATCTACTATTTGATTTAGCTTATTATTTTTGAATTGAAAATTTATATCATAAATATCAAATTCTGTCTTTCATTAATTTTTCTATGTATTTGTTATATTTTTGATATCATTCAACACTAAGCATTTCTTCTGTATAACCAACTTTTATCTGTATTTAATATTATATAAGGACTCGTCATAAGCACTGCTTGTATACGAGTATAACGGAAGAATAATAATAATAATAATCCACATTTAAACTAGAGAAACTGTTTTTAATCATAAAGTAAATTCTAAATAATTGAGATGGTATCTTCTTTTTTTACACAGATGTTGAATTATCAGATGAATTTATTTCATTTCAATTAAAATAAGACTCTTAATTCAGATCTACTTCAGTTGATTCATTTAAAAAAAAATTTAAAACTCTTTTTCTAATTGAATGATTGAAATATAACTTCATAATTCTGAAAGCATAATTCATACAAATTTTATCAAATCTCATTTATAATGGTGATAAAGAGGCTTCAATCTTAATGGCTTTAATTGAAAAGATTTTAAATATTCTCAATATTTTTCTTAAAGCTGAATTTTGAAGCTTTTGAAACCTCTCTATAAAACTCTTTTGATTTTTCCACCATACTTGAACTACAAAGTCTGAAACAGAGATTATACAAGCAATATATAATTGTCTCATTGCTTGAAAAGACAAGCCTCTCTCAGTATTTGAAAGTATTAAAATACTGTTTAAGATTTTTTCAGCACTTGCAACTTTGATCTGAATATGAGACTTCGGGGCTATTCCACGCAGGATGCATCTTAAGTTAGTTACATATTATAACCTCTATAACCAACCGACCACTGCGTCCGTCCTCTCAGACCACTTTAACTAGTTCTGGCTTTTCCAGCTAAGGGTCCTAGTTAAGCACCACCGCCCACTCTAGGCATCACCATAGCCTAGGGCTTTCAGTTGCCGATCTCAGCCCATTGCCCCCTTGGCCTACCAACCAGCCGTCATGGCCTGCCCCGTGTAAGGGACTAACCATAGGCTTACCCCACCTAATGTTTTACCCACTAATAGTGTTAGATGACCACTAGTAGGCCTTGGAGATAGGGTGCTTATCAGGGTGTCCTGTTTGGTTTGCTACTATCTCTGTGATGAGGCAATCAATTGGAATGGTTTTTAAAACCATTCCCTGTTGTTGAGGTGGCCCCCTAAGTGCCGGGAGCCTTGGCAGATGCTAGCAGATATAAACACCCTATACTCGACCCTCTGTAATCATCGGATCTTGCTAAGCTTAGCACTAATGACAGGGGAGATGCTTGGCACTAATGAGATCGGCTTCCAGCGGCCACCACCCTCATCACTGCCAAGCAGCATCTCTGTCAGCACTGCCTCATTAAGCTTGGCCTCTGATCTTATCAACTGCGCCACGCGGGCTTCTGAAGCACAAGCGTTGCCCGCGACTTCTCTGAGATGTTAAATTTATATATACATACATACATACAGCATTCATCTTGTTACACAGTTGTAGTATCACATCTTTACTGAGATGATTGACAATGATTAGAATGTTTATAGAATCTTCATTTTCAATTAAAGAAAATGTAAAGTTGATAGTTATATTTCATTATATTCATTTAAAGATGAGTAGTGATTTCAACATTTCTTTTCAATACTCATATCATGCTGTCATTAAGCTGCAGCAATCACAATTGTGTATGAATCAATGTATGTTTTTTAATATATTTAACTAATAGAATTTTTGAATGATGATGCTGTATATGATCTCATACTTTGAATGCTTAATCATTGATGAGTCATGAATTTCATGTATGATTCATATTTATAAAAGTTCTGAATCAGAGGCTCATTGTCTATTTTGAAATGTAAACAGTCATTATTGTCAACTGAATATGCTGAGATATTCATTTTTGAGTATATATTTAAGAATAATTGTGATGTCTTATTTTATATAGCTTCAGCAGTCTGTTGTCAGATCTTATTTATTTTTACTGCTTTTTTTCATTGTTCTTCAAATGAGGAATTTTTAACTTGGAATTGATTAATATACACATAGAGTTCATTTAATTATGTGGGATTTCTTATAATCATAAAATCAATTAATTGATGCTTTTGATATTTTCATCTGTCATCTAAATCATCAGATGATATATTTTGTTCTTGACAAAATAAAACATTTGCAATAGCATTCTCTGTCTCTGATCAGTAATAAATTATAAATAAGAAACAGCTAAAAAACAATGGTCAATATATATACTTTTCAATAAGCTTATAAATGATTATGAAGTATTCTAAATTTTTATAATCAATGATGATTTTGAACTTCACAACATTCATGAGCTCTGACTTTCATTTCTCTAGACATTGTATGATAATTAAGAGTTTCCTCTTGTGGATCTTGTAGTTACATTTAATGAGAGATATATTTTTTAAAATAAATATATAAAGTTATAAAACATCTTTATTATCATATTGCATCAATGTTTCTTCAATCATATAATCAGAAAAGTCTGTTTTAAAAATTGTATGTTTATTCAAATTAAATGATTGCAATATTAAAATGTTTGTAAATATATACTTTAGCTTTTTGAAAGCATTGTCTATTTTGTCAATTCATTGAAATACAGTGTTCTTTTAAATTAAATTTGTCAATAATTATATGATATCTGAAAAGTTCTTGATAAATCTTCAATAGAAGTTGATGAATTCTAAAAAGCTTCTAATTCTTTTTACTAAGATCAGTATCTTTCAATTGAGAATTGCTTCCATTTTCTTGAAATCCATGCATATGCTTTTTTCAGCTTCAATGATGAATTCCAAATATATTGTAAATTTAATTTTAAAATTGCATTTGTCAATATTCACTTATACTTCTGCTTTATATAGATGATCAAGTACTTGTTGTACATATTTACAATGATATATGAGTGATTCATCAGTGAAGATCAAGATATTGTTCAAGTACATTGAAGTGATTTCATTGAATAAATCTCATAAAGCTCAGTTAATATATTTTTGAAATATATTCAAAACATTCATCAATTTAAAGAGGGTTATTGTTCATTCATATAATTCGTAGTATATGCAGAAGACAGTCAGTCATTCATCATCTTCATTAATTTTTATCTTATAGAATATTGTGAAGATGTCAAGTTTTGTAACTCATTTTGCTTTTACTATTTATTCAAGTGTTTTATTGATGAGTGGAAGAGAATATCATTTTTTTAATATAATTTTATTAAATTCTTGATAATCAATACAGAATTGTAAGTCTTCTCCGAATTTCTTTACAAATAGTACAGATGTTGCAGTGAATAAGTTGTTAATATAAATGAATATTTTATTCAGTAATTCATTGAGTGTTTTTTATAAAATAAGAAATTCATCATATAATATACTGTAGAGAAGATCTCAAAGCAGTTGCAGATTCTTATCATTTTTTTTAATGAATTCAATTGTATGATTTATATTATATTCTCAGTGTGAAGAGAGTTTTTCACCTGCTTTTTCATCAAATATATTTATATAATCTTTATACAATTCAGAGAATTCTTTACAGAGCTTTTTAAAATTCTTAAATTCTAACTTCTTTAACATTTTTTTAATATTTATCATACTGACAGCAAACATCTGAACATCTTTCTTCTTATACATTTGATGTGTTAATAACTTGAACACTTTCATTGATATTTGAATGAGGTTGATGATTTTATTAACATCTTTTTTATAGATGCAACCATCTTCTGAGAAAATAAAATAATAATTATACGCATTCAACAAGATTCTAAATTTTGTGAGTTATGACAGACTGAGTATTAGATTGTATTTAAGATTTTATACTTTATATATATACACATCCTTTTTCTCATATTCTTTTACATTGATATTAAATCTTATCATATTGTAGAAGGCAAATCCTCTGAAATTATTAAATTCATTAAGTTTATATGATTTAAAGAAAGAAATATACTGAAGCTTATACTTTTTTATCAGTTGAATGTTTATAAAAATGTAGTGAAGAAAACTGTTGTCTATCATAGTTTATATATTTATTAAATTATTTATAATGATAAAGATTATAATTGTGTCTGCTTGCATCTTCTACTCAAATTTTCAACTAATTTCTTATTTCTTCAGCTTTTATTGATATTTTAAAATGAGAGCTCTTCTTTTCTCTGCTCTTGCTTATCCACAAATGACACAGTGTTCACATATATAAAAGATTTATTCAAAACAACTGCATTTAAACATTGATTTGTAAAGTAGCTTGATTTATCACAGTGTATGCAGATTTCTCTGATGATTCAATCAGTAATAAATTTTATTTAAAATATTGAAGATTTTTGAATATTCTGCATTCATATAAAAGACTTAGTTTATCAGTTCTGATTCAGAAATGAAAGATGTTGTAGAATAATTTAAAATGTACATATTCATTTATTGTAATTTTTTATAATTGTAAAATATGTGGAATTGAGACAGATCATTGTTCAGTAAATGAAAATCAATTCAATATTCATTATAAATTAAAAATTTCAAACATTCTACACTTTAATTATATAGTTGATTGTTCAAATTTTTAAGTAATATATTGATTTTACTAACATCATCTCAGTTCTACTTATCTGCTTCTAAAAATTTTCAATTAAATTCAAATAAATAAATCATTAATGAAGTGTTCTTCTAATGAATTTCATTTAATCAATTTAATACCTTGATTTGAAGTGTAAAATTGAGAAAGAGAGAATTGAATTGTTGAAAAACAAACTTTGATATACACTGATTATTCAAGCAATGATTCATTTAAAGTTGAAATTTTATTAATGCATTGCTATTCAATTTGCTATGAATATATCACATTTAATTTGATGATGAGTCTATCACCTGGCTGTTGATATCTAATTTAATGCTTATTTTCAATTTTTATATGATATAGAGTGCTAGATTCTCTGTATATTTGTCAAGAATTAAGAGTTTCTCTTTCAGAAACATTTTATAAGATGTGAATGTAAAAAAGATGATAAATATGAATATATTCATTTTAACAAATCATCATTGTAATTCAATCATCTGCAATATTTATTGTTAGAGAATACTTTACAGATCTAGATTATTATTTGATGTATTTAAATACAGTGAATGATTGTAGATTTGTTGATAACTCATTTCAATATCTAAAGATATGTAATTTTGAAGTTATATTTATAGATATTCAGATCTCTTGTGAACATTATTTACAATATTGCAATGCTAAGCTTTGTCAAGCTTCTTCATGAACACTATTCACAGTAATACAACTTTATAGACATTCAAAGCCTCATTGTGAATAGAGTTAATTATCACAGATATTTAACCCTAAGTTTGAGCGGTTGGCAAAAGGTCAAAAGCAGCTGTGAAAACGGCCATTTTCAGCCGCTGGCGAACCGTCACATCGTTATATACAGGTGTAGATTTGATATATTTCATCATTTCATCCCTTCAAAGGCAAATCACTACTCAAGTAGTATATATACTGCACAAGCATAGTTTGCTTGCGAAGCCTGCCGCGATCTATTACAGAAGTGATATGTATAGTGCTTTTACGATTAAAGAGATTAAATTAAAAGATCTATTCTTCCTAGTAACTTAGTATACTTAATGAAAAATTATATAGCTACTATAATAATTGTTAACTATGATTGAAGTTTGTTCTTTAATATATATTTATATCTCTCAGAGAATGTCTAAGGTTATTAAATCATTGCAATTACCATCAAGGCTCTGAGATTAGCAAATTGAATTTATACTTGTAAATTAAATTCTGAAGATAAGTGTATAAGTAATTTAAATAGAGAGCTGAAGCTATTCAAACAGAGTATATACATTTTAGTTGAATAACAAACGGATTTAAAGTTAAGAGTACTATGACTTCCGAATAAAATAACTAAATAACGATGAAAAAATAAAAAAAGTTGATTATAATTTGAAAAATAAACCTCTTAATTTTCAAAAGAATAAATATACTTAAATATGTATTTTTCCTTACTATTAAGTTTAATTTCAATAATCACTTCACTTAATAATGTGCATATCTCAATTATAATTCATATATAAGTTGAGAAGTTAGGATTTCTCTAATTAATTTTTCAAATAAGCTAATCATAACCTTACTTTTTCTTTTTTAGTCAATAGATCTTAGAATTATATCGCAGCTTTATAACAATAGTATAAGACAAGGTGGTTTTTTGACTATGAAGCGTGTATCAGAGCACTACTTACTTTGTGTGCATAAGCTATATATTACTGTTAACTATTTTTACAAAAGTAGTAGTGCATTTTTTGACGGATATAATTATCAATTCCCTTTGAAACTTGACTACTGAATTAATTTTATTATCAATTAGATCTAATTAAATAGTTTCTAGATATACTGGCTCTTAAATTTAGCGGCCAACTAGGTGATCAGACTGCTCTTTAATGGTATGGTTGTAAGACCCTTGGAGATCTAATTAAGCCTGACTCCATGGGTTTGATATGCTGGCAGTAAGGGTCCTACTAAAGTCCAGTTAAGGCTGCTGTTAGCGTCAAAACTATATGACAATACGCCAAGGTTTTAAAGGTGTACTCCAATCAGTTGGGAGCAGGGGAGGTGAATTGCCATGCTGTAATGGCCTCCAAAACCTCGGGATGATCCCCTAAGGCGTTTAACTATATATAGAGTACGGATTCCAATCACAGCCGTTACTATTATTGTACAGTACATGAGCTTTTAGTTGAGTTGGCTACCTATAACTAGTATATACCATAGTCATCTTTTGATCATTTAATATACAGCCATAAAATACAAAGCTTTGATTGAATCGTATTTAAAAGCTTATATATATATTTCAACTGTGATTGATTTTCTGAATAGAAGGAATTATAATAATTATGATCATAACTAGTGGTTTTGACTAGATAAAAATGATATCAGTTTCAAAGGTTACTAGTATACTTATTGATAAATGGAAATAAATCAATTCAAAAAATAAAAATCAAGCAGCAGTCTCATATATCCATATTGAGGAGGAGCAGTCACAGCCTCCTAGCACTCCGATCCATACTGTGGCCATTTGTTGATAGAGTCAAAGAACTGAAAACAAACATATCATAGCCGAAAGTTAAAGTTAAATCTAATACCTGGAGACAATGTGGTTGCTTGAACCGTTCCAACTCCTTGGACGCAGAGCGGGTGGTTGCCAATTACCGGCGTTTTTTTTATTAGTAGGAGCACAATCAATCACCCTTATTACGACTGGCATTGAAAACTCCCATTCAATGAACCGCCTTCACCTGTCCACTCTGATTTCAGCCGAAGCGCTTGCTTGAATCCCGTTCAATTGCCTTTCATGTGCAACAAGGATGTGCAAATGACTCCAGAACTGTGGCCCTGACTCGGAACCGGTAACTAATGATTCCTTCGGATTGTCTTGCAATAAAACCAATCGAGTGGCGAGAGAAGTGGAGCAGTGCAATATTTTTCATGTTCAACCAGGTTCTGAGGTTCTTGAGAAGCAGCAGCAGCACCAGCACTAGCACCGTGTGTGTCTCTCTGCGCACCGACTTCAGGCCCAGCCACCTGAGCCGCTTACGCTAGCCCGCTGCTCTATTTCTCGGCAGCGCATCAACATCTCTCGTTCTCATCCTCTCAACATCTTCATCCTCATCCTCATCCTCATCCTCGCCCTCAGCCCCATCACCCGCTCTGAGGGACCACCCCACAATCTGAGAGGTATCCCTGTTACTCTTTCCTCTAGTCACTCTTCATCTTTCACAGATGTAGTGGCAGTGAAGTGACACTCAGACCCACTTCAGAATAACATCAACAATATTTGTTTCCGAACGAAAAAAGAAAAGTAATATACCTCTCAAACCAACTCCCTTGCCCATTTCAAAACTTCCTTCATGTATTAGCGGGTTCATCCATCCCCGCCTCACCTCTTAAGACTATCAAATCCTTCATGGTTATATATTCATATATAGAGATAGATATATGCTTTAAGACAGCCCATTCCTTCAACCTTCTGGCATCATGCCGAACCTACGATCCCCGGGCGGCGGACAGCAGCCCTCCCTGCTCGGCTCTCCCGCAAACGAGAACATCACTGACATTCAGCAAGCACCCCAGCAAGTTACGACCCCATACCATAAAAGGGACGAATGGCCGCCTGAACGTCTGGCCAGGCTCTACATGATTCGTGTGCAGAACTCGAAGCTAAACTGGGATGAATTTCAGGATGTGCGCCTTAGAACACATTCCGCTTAGTTATTTTTCTCATGATTATTTGCAAATTGTTTCCTTGTATTTTTGTTTTCTCTTCTTCCTCCTCTTCCTCCTCCTCCTCCGCCTCCTCCTCCTCCTCCTCCTCCTCTTCTTCTTCTTCTTCTTCTTCTTGTTGTTGTTGTTGTTTTTCGTTGCCGAATATTCATTACGTTTTCTAACTTTGTTTTTTGGTACAGAAATTCTACCCCAATTATCATACGCAAGTGAGATTTAAGTTCTATGTAAGTGAACATATGATATATTCCCTCATGAAATATTTTCAATTCCCGCATCCCCCATTTAATTTTATCTACGCATGCCAGATGCAGCCCGTACATAGCACTCTTTTACTAATTGCTACATAGGAAGCGAGAAAGCTTGCGGCTAAAAATGCACTGGTAATTATTTTTTTATTCTTTCTGAAAATATAATAATATCTCTACTAGCATAACGGGGTAGATGCTGGGAGCTAACAACTAGACCTAGCCAAATATCTCCCCAGGGCATCTTCCAAGCAACATGCAGCCTCGGAGCCGCAAGGTGGGACGTCCGCTTGACAAGTTCTATGGAGAAACCGAACCAGAGGATTCTGGTACCGAAAGTGAGGGCGGTGATATTATGTACCATCCTGACAATACCTTAGCGGGCAATAATGTCGCTGTAAGTTGTCGAATCCCCACCATATACGCCTATATCCGTGCTCATCTATCCATCCCAGAAACCTTTGACCAGCAATCCCACACCCAAACAAAAGTCAAAAACCGCCTCAACCACATCGACCCGCAGAAGCCTGAGACCCACCACCTCTTCTCCAATGACCGGCCCAGGTGCACGCGCAACCAAACGCCTGCGCACCAGCACGTCATCCCACCCTCCAACGCCATCTACATATACAGAAATCCCACACCTACCCCGCGGCCGCAAACCTGTCTCATCGTCTGCAGCAATTACCCCATCCACTTCTCTTACTGGCTCCACCACCATCCCCGTCCTCTCCAGCTTCTCAACGCGTATGCACCCGAATGCAGCGGCCCCAGTCCCAGCACCAGCAACAGGACCGGCACCGGCACCGGCACCGGCACTAGGACCAGCATTCACCGCCGCCGGAAACCCTGCCAACGAATTCGGCTCCAAAATCCGTTTCGACCGCCTCAACCTGTCCGACTGGACGTACATCTACCAGCTCGCCAAAGCATGTCCTGCCGAGCGCGAGCGCGCTGATGCTCTCACCTTGCGTGACCGCGACCACCTGCGGGTCATCGCTGAGATGCGGAGTCGCATGGCGGAGATGGAGGCGGAGATGGAGGAAATGAAGAGGAGAGTAGTGATGCAGGAGGCTGCCGCTGCTGCTGCTGCTGCCGCCGCCGTTCCTATGACAGGTAGGACGGGGAAAGCGGAAGGCGACGGCGAGATGCACGAGGGTCAGGGCCAGGGCCAGGGCCAGGGCCAACCACCGCCGCCCCTACCACCACCATCACTACCACCCCAGTCACCACCGTCACCACCGTCGTCGTCATCATCAGCCTTGTCGTCGTCGTTATTCCTGCTCCAGAACCTAGCTGATCCCACCTCATCTTCATTTCCTGCCACAAACACGCCAACATCCACGTCCACAGTAACAGCCGCCGTCGTAGCAAAGACGGCCGCGCAAGTCTCCTCAACGCTGAAAGAGCGCGCGACAGAGCTCACGGCGCTGTTCAACGTGCTGTGGAAATCGAGTTTGAAATTCATCCCGCCGTTTCAGCTCGAGGAGATGGGGATGCAGCGCGGGTGCGAGGCGGTTTTGGGCAAGATTGCAGAGATCCACGGCGTTGCGGAGGAGTTGGGAAAGGTGGGGCGGGTGATTCAGGTCGGGAGCAGGAGGGGCATCGTTAGTGAGACTGGGAGTGGGACTGGGAGTGAGGAAAAGAGAGGAGATGAAGGTGTCATTAATAATATTATTGGTGGTGGTGGTGGTTGTGGTGGTTGTGAGGGAAGTGATGGTAGTGTTGATGGTGATGACACGAGGCCTGCTTCGGAGCTCAAGGGTGAGATGGAATAGGAGGGGAGCGGACGAGGAGTTTGCTTGAGCGTTATTTCCGTTTGTCATTCTGGGCTGTGGGTTTCAAACTTTCTGTCCCCGCACCACAAATTTCCTACTTTTAATTTTAATTCTTTTTCTTTTTCTTTTTCCCCCGACTCTTCTCTTCAGATTGCGATTCCAGTTCCCCTCCTCTGCCTCCCTCGTTGCCACCCTTCTTTGTAATTTTCGTCAGCTGGTTTCTCTCAATGAATCACGGAGACGGAGCTTCTCTACACTCTACAGATGATGATGAAGAAGTTCGGTTTTAAATTTCCAACTCTGATCTCTGGCCAGCAGCTGACCGGAGGCCAAACTTGAAAAAGTGCCCACTTTTAATTTAATGTTGGATCAAACCGCCCCTCCCCCAATATTTATATAAAATCAAGGATGGATGGCCAACCCCCCCCTATTGATAGCTCAACATTCCCATGGTGTGAAAGTGCTTTATGCTATGCTATGCAATTTACTGATTTCTGATTTTCGGATAGTAGTAATTTTATAATTTATCAGTATATCAGTATTGTATGTATTGTATTGCTGGGCTACGGGCTGCACATTGTAAATAAATGATGAATGGGCTGTTTTGTACCTGTACCTCTAGTTAACTTCAAATATGAGAACCCTGAGAGAATACTAGTACTAATTGGAGTCCCACAGCAATGATATTTTCCAATCTATTTTGTACTGCCAATGTGGGAATAGTTTCAATAACGGTGTCTATCTATAGTTAAAAAGCTCATTCATTATCTTACATCCTCAATATCTTGCAATTCCTTGTTGTTGAGCTGCCATCACATCTGAGGTCTGTGCAGCTGCTGCAAGCTCTTAATTGAATTCAATTCATTGATTTTTGTGTATCACTATCTTCTGTCTTACATACTGCAATCTATTCTCTGACATTCTTGACAGCCATCATTTCTTCTATATTAATTTGTTTTCATAATCTTTTTTTATTTTAATGTTGATGAGCTGTAAGAAGTTGATTGAAGATCTCACTGTGACGGGTTAGCACCCGTTAGTAGTTAACTGGCTTACGCAACCAACCCCTCACATTGCCCACGCCCACCTACGAAACGCTCCTCTCCTCGCGATTCCGCTCCACACTTGCGTGGGAAGTCCCTGACGATTCCTCCGTATAAACCCCAACGTTCTTGCGCTCTGCGCTCCACGATGGTGCGACCCCTGATATTCTTCCGTCCCAAATCCCTTCTCTACAAGAACCCCCTTCGTACGACCTTTCCTTCTGATCTCTTTTCTCTTCCTTTCCTTAATCAATTCGTAATCTGTAATTAGGATAGTGCCAAGTCTGTTGGTAGCACTGTTAGAATGGATCGTACTGTACAAACTGCGCAGGCGGTATGGCCCGTTACAGCATTACATATATACACTATTACAATAATCAATAACTATGAAAAAGAATAAGAATAGAATTGTATTTATCTCTTTAAAAGGTGTAATGACTTTGCTACGTTGCTCTGCATATATTCTTGATTCTCTTGAAATTCAATCTCATCTGTATTATAGCAAATTAACAATTCATGAATTGAATGTTATGTTGCTTCATTGTGATCTTCAATCTGTGAAATTATGCTTTTATAAACACTTTATATTCTTCACAAAAATATCGTTGCAGTGGGACCCAACCCAAAGGGGTCAGTCAACTTGTGGGATATGTGGCCACAATTAGTGCTAGCATTCGTGTTTTTTACACATGTATAATAAAAATTCTCTACGAAAGGCAAATAAAATTTTTAAAAAATATATAGTTACTCGTAACAGGGGATTCTAAATTGTCACCTAACTCTAGATTTCAGTACAATGATTTTGTGGTCGAGCTACACCCAAATAGCGAACATAATAATTGGCTGCGTACGGTACGGGCCGGCCGGATCTGGACCGGATGGCGCAGCAGATGCTAAGGATTTGGGATTTGGGATTTGGGATTTGGGGGCCCCCCCCCGCAACGCGCAAAACCCTGCGGGCGGCGCTTACAGCAGATTTTGTGGGAAAGGGCCTGTTGGGTGACCCCGTCCAGGGCTGTATAAGACAGTGCCAGCTATATGGACTTATACAGCTCTGTACGCGCTAATCTGGCTGAAAAAGACCTGCTGTTCAGTAGAATCTGTGTATAACTCTGTATAACTTGCCAAGAATGCCAAGCTGGCTTCAAAATCCACTTTATTAGAGTTCAACAGTGTAAGTACTATGTAGTTGGAAAAGTGGTGAATTTAAATCTATTCAAGTTAAGTCAGTAGTTAGCTAACGTAATCCACAAGCGAGTCGGCCACACAAGTGAGTCGGCCACTTTTCATCATCTCACTGTGCTATTAAACATAACAATTAAAATATCAACAATGCAAAGTCATCAAGCTTTCTTTCAAGAAGGAAGACTTCTTTTAATTATTTAAGCATTTGATAATAATCAAGTTTCAAATGTATGAGCTGCAGCAAAGCTCTATGGTGTTCCACACTCTACTCTAACTCATCATATACATGATTGTACCACATGTGTTGATACTCCATTAAAGAACTGAAAACTCAATCTTACAAAGAAAGAATCTTTTATTCAATGAATTTTATTCATAACTGCATGAGGGAAATCATTTCAGATTGTAATTATATAAAATATGATCAATTTACTTCATTCTGAATGAGAAATCAAATCTGAATTCAAGCTTTCATCAACAGTTGATGTCATCCTTACAACTACCCACGAACGTAGGGGTACATTTGAATTTTCCACTTTTCCAACTGTTTTTCGTATAATTTTAACCCTCCAACCCGTTCAATATCATCGCACGCCCTCTGCGATCTCTCTACGTGTGTGTACTGCACAGGTTGAGTGGTCATGGAGCCCTCAACGCCCTCCTGTCCGCCCAAGGACATCGAAACGGCCTACACCAGGCCACTGGAGCCGGAGTCACCGGCCAATTTTGTCGCTGGAAAGGCTGGCAAGAGGCAGAGGAAGACTGTCACAATGCCTCCCCCAGTCCTTAAAGGAGCCAGCGACAGCATCCCCACGGCCACCTCTCGGCTGCAGAAGCAGTTTGAGGAGGCTCAGCAGCAACAGAACCTGCAGCAGAAGGCTCTCATCAGATTGGCGAAGACTCTGGACAGCTGGGTTGAGGAGGAGAAGCAGCCAGTCAGTCAGAACTTTGCCCGAATCTTCTGTGAGAGGTTTGTCAAGTATGTGACAGCAGATCTGAGTGCAGCATCAATTCTGAGAGGGGGTGCTGCCCCGGATACTCATCCGCAGCCAAATGCAGCAAAGACAGCTGCGAGGGAGCCGACTACCTGGGCGGGTGTTGCTCAGAGGGGGAAAAACTCTGCCCTCCCTGGGGTTGCCCCTGCCAAGACTGCGGCTTCCTCGGCAGGCAGGGTTAGTGGAGCTAGCCTGCAGCCCAAAAGCGCCAGTCAGCCAGGGGGCCCCACAGGGGGCACAAAACAGCAGGAGGACCCACGAGTCCTCGTCACCCTCCAGCCAGAGAAACGGGTCGCCCGGCTACAGCCATATGCTGTGCGGCAGGCAATCGCTGCAAACATTCAGGGGGTGGGGGATGTGGCCAATGTGCCGAAGGTGGAGCCCACCAGGACAGGTTGGGCGATCACACCAAGCGACAGAGGCATACGCGACGCTCTGACCACTGAGAAGGCAGTGGCTACTCTCTGTGAAGTCCTTGGCGCCACGGAGATCCGGCTACCAGAGCGGTGGTATAATTATGCTGTCCCAGGGGTCCCAGAATTTGTCCAGGACTGGGAAGGGGCAAGAATCCCCACAGACAAGATGATTGAGGGAGAGGTTCTGGCTCAGGCAAAGGTAAAGCCAGTGAGCTGTCGACCCTCGCGTCATGGGGTGAACCCCAAGACAGGGAAGATTACATGGATTGTCTCCTTCCTTGCCCCGGTAAAAGGCTTCTCACTCTTCAATGCCAGTGAGAGGGCCAGGCTGATTGAGAAACGGCCTTTGACAGTGAGACATAACCCAGGATGCCAGGGGTTCTGCCACCCACCAAAGTGTGCGCGACTGGCAAGATGCTCCAACTGCAGTGAGCCCACAAGCCAGCATGAGGGGCCAACAGGCGCGGAGTGCAAGAGAGCGCCAAGATGTGCCAACTGCTGCCAACCCTACCCAGCTGGGCATCAGCACTGCCCTGCCGTACCCAGGCGCGTGAATGGCACCCTCAGGCGCCTAACTCAAAAAGAGCTAGCAGCTGTTCGCCGCCTTGGCGACAGGTGCCACAGGGATGCTCAGGAGCGGCAACCGCCGCCAGCACAGCCAGCACCAATGGTCGCAGTGGTGGTGCCTACACCAACTGCTCAGTCAACCCAGTCAACGCAGCCCGCTGGGCTAGCACCCCGCAAGCGGGCGGCGACTCAGAGTTCCATCAGTGAGGAGGGTGCCACCTGGCAGATGGCCCGCACCAGGCGACGCTCAGCTCGCACAGCAGTGCGGCAGCACAGCCAAGCAGCTAAAGAACAGTCTGACTCCAGCATGCAGATGGCAGGTTTGGAGGTCTTCAACCTCATCCCGCAGGTGGACTTCGGCAGCAGCTCACCAAGTGACTCCTCATGCTAGGACACCAACACCAGCGACGCGGCTGGCGCCGCAGGAACAACCAGCAGGAAAATCGCCCCCTGCAGGTCTTCTGGGCAAATACGGCCAGGGCAGCCCCCTGTCACACAGCAGCTCTGCAGCTTGCTTTCGAGCAGGGCTGTGAAGTGGTCTGTATACAGGAGCCATACACACACCCTGGCACCAAGACTTCTAACCACCCAGCGTATGAGTGCTTTGCGCCTATCCCCTCGTCCGTAGGTTTGTGCAAAATTAGCGTGGTTTCAATTAGTGTATGGAATTCTGCACCGGCGCCCTGGGCATAACCAATAGAATCCTATATAATTTTATATGAATGATAATTGGTCATTTAGATCCACTGATTGAAGATCCCATGTAAATCTTAAGAATGTGTATGGAATTCAACGCGTTTGAAGCCCTGCCTGTCTGCCTGCCTGCCTGATTCTCATATATTCACCCACCTATCCCCCTACCCGCGAATATGGAACCCCCCAAACCTGCGAACGTGGAATCCACTGAGAAACCTACTAAATCCAATGGTGAGTTCCTTATATTAATCAATTCAAATGACATAGCTAACTAATTCATTCTCTAGTTCATACAAAAACATCAAGAAAATGAAAACGGCCTGTTGAGGAGGTTATTGCAGAACTTCCACCTCTAGAATCAGTGAAATTCCACCCAATACTGCCTACCTCATGAGATCCAATTCTCAATATTTCTGCAAATATCAATATTAGCAGTCCATACACCCTGTTTACCTTATTCTTCTTTGAGAAATGCTTTCAAAATATCAGTAATTCTACTAATCTCTATGCAAAATTAAAGAGAGATCCTAGAGATACTGATGATGAAGCTTCAGAGCTTTCAGAAATGGAGAAGAATGAGAAAGCTCAAGATATAGATATAGAGATTTCTGAAATATTTATATTCTCAAAGCCTTCTATTCAGCAATGTTCATGGAAAAATATCAATCCAGTGGAGATAAAGGTCTTTATAGGCATTCTTCTCTATATGAAAGTTCATAAATCCCATCAAACTGATCTATACTGGTGGAATGATCTGAAACAAGGCTCTATTCATTCCATTCAATCCTATATGACCCATACACGTTTCAAACAGATTAAACGATATATCCATATATCTAACCCTCATGAGGCCCGCCGCCCGGAGGCCAAAAATAAGGATTGGTGGTATAAGGTAGAGCCATTAGCTACTAAGTTTCATATGACATGCTGAAAATACTATACCCCTGGCTCTAAGATTTCCATTGATGAGATTATGGTTAAATGCTTTGGACAGAGTCAACATACATACAAGATGTCTAATAAACCAATTCCTTGAGGATATAAGATATTTGGCCTAGCAGAACATGGCTATTTATGGTCTTTTTCCTGGTCTAGCCGCCGGCAGGGTATAATGCCTATGTTTCAATTCCCTATGTTAACAAAAACCGGATCTATGGTGGTGAATCTGGTGAAGCGGCTTCCTATGGTATCCACGCTGAATACGCTGAATACCATGCTGAATGCCACCCCTAATATCGACCCTAATATCACCCATAATATTGGCCCTAATATCAACCCGAATATCACCCCCCTGAATGCTACACCGAATGCCACGCCTAATGAAATCTCTATCTCACAGCTGGTCATATTCTATTCAATTTATATGGATAACTACTTTACATCAGTTCCTTTATTCAAAGAACTACATCAACAGAGGTATGGAGCATGTGGAACCACTCATCCAAACCAGGTTCCAGCAGTACAAGGTGAGCTTCGAGAGCATTCAAATTCCATACCCTGGAATACCCTGCATGCCATTGAAAAAGAGAATGTTCTCTGTCTTGCTTGGCAAGATAATAATATGGTATTGGCACTAACTACGATTCATTCATTGGACGCAGTTATTGAATGTACTCATAAATGCCCAGGGGAACTCTCAACCAATGCCAATATTGTTAGAAAAGTCTTTGAAGATCAACCACAAAAGAAGCTTAAAATCCCATTGATTATAGATGATTATAACCATCATATGAATGGGGTAGACCTAGCAAATCAATACCAGGCAGCATATACTAGTCATAGAGTCACCTATCACACCTGGCTTTCTATTCTCTACTGGCTTATTGATTCCGCAGCTATTAATGCATACCGGCTTCAATATTTATATATGAAGCAGCAGGGGATTCCAGTGAAGGATCTTCCTTCTCATATAAGCTTTCATGAGAAGCTTTACCAGGAACTCTTTGAATTCACACCTAGAATTCATGATAATCTACCAAGGAAATGATCAAATTCTAATCTAAATCATCAATGGATTCCTCTTCCAAAGCAGTGTGTTTGTGCCTGGTGTCAATATAAACGAAAGATTGGCCAGCAGAAATATAAAAAGATAGGGAGATCAAATTCTGGCTGTTCAGAGTGTCAAAATACCCTTTTATGTTTGAAAACTCAATGTTGGGCGGAATTTCATAGTATCCTAATATCTATTTACGCGGATCCTTAATTAGGGTTTATATATTACACTAATACCAATGAATACTCAAAAATACACTGATTATTCAATGAGATCTCGTATAATATACACTAATGAAACCACGCTAATTTTGCACAAACCTACGGACGAGGGGATAGACCGCTGGGATGACACTAACCCGGAGCAGCGAGAGGAGGAGAGGCCCCGGGTCATGACATATGTACGCAAGGGCTCAAAGACAAGGGCACAGCAACACCGGTCTGTGCAAAGCAGGGATCTGCTATGGGTCAGTGTAAATGGCTGCCACATTCTCAATGTGTACAGACAGCCTGGGACAGACGCAGTCATGGACTATCTGACCAATCTGAGCCCACCAGCCCGCTGTCTGATAGGTGGGGATATCAACGTACGGCATGATGCCTTTGAACCAGGGGCAGTGAATCTGCACCGGGGCGGGGAGCTTGTCCAATGGGCCAGTGAACATGGGATGGACTTTGTGGGAGAGATAGGGGTTCCGACTCATGCAGCAGGTCATGTGATTGATCTCACCTTCTCCAATGTGGCCTTTGCTTCCACTACAGTGCGTCAAGATCTACACTGCGGCTCAGATCACCAGTCTATGATCACTATGCTGCCAACAACACCTCAAACACAGCTGAGTGATGCTCGGATCAAGATCACAGACTCTCAGCTGGAGCCCTTTGCAGATCTTGTCAGAGGTCTCATGGTGGACATGCCTTGCCCAGAGGGGGTTGGAAATGTGGCACAGCTTGATGATCTGGCCCAGCACTTCACTCAGAGTCTTCTGGCTGCAGCTCAGGCAGTCAGTAAGCCAGCTCAACAAGGGCGGACCACAGCCCCCTGGTGGACAGCAGACTGCCGAAGAGCGCACCGAGAGCTCACTACTCACCAGACAGAGGCCGCGAAGCACCAGTTCAAGGATGCAGTGCGCAAGGCCAAGCGTGCATACTGGAGGCAGGTGATCAATGAGGCCAGAGATGGTAGAGACCTGTACCGGGTGGTGGCATGGCATAAGCTGGAACCCAACCTCAGAGCACCCCCTCTGGTGATTGGGGATCAGGTCATAGAAGAGACAGCCGCCAAAGCTGAGGCACTTCAACAAGCAATTCTGAAGCGATACAACTCAGCTGATGATCTGGAGTATGACCCACTGGATGATGAGCACTGGAGCGGCATGGGCAGCTATACAACTGCTGCCTCCGGCTCTGCCACTTCCCACGAGCCTGGAAACTGGCAGAGGTGGCAATGATACCCAAGGTGGGTAAGAGAGATAGAAGCTCAGTCCGCTCCTGGAGGCCCATTGCCCTGCTTTCAGTAATCTCCAAAGGGCTGGAACGCATCATTGCAAGGCGACTGGCGTACACGGCACTCATTCACGGCATAGTCAGCCCACAGCATGGGGGGGCGCTGCCCAGACGATCTGCAATGGACCTGGTAGCTGCTTTCACTCATGAGGTGGAGGCAGCCTTCGCACAAAACAAAGAAGTGTCCATGGTCACAATGGATGTGCAGGGTGCCTTTGATGCTGTGCTGCGCAGGCGGCTGCTTTAGCGGATGGCGTAGTAGGGGTGGCTACGCGAGCTGCTGCAGCTCATTGACAGTTTCCTCACTGAACGCAGAGCTCAGGTCCGGCTGGAGGGGACCACCACAGCAGCACATCAGATGCAATGTAGCACACCACAGGGGTCTCCTTTGTCACCAAAACTGTTCCTTCTGTACCTGGCAGAGCTGCTGTGGCAAAACTCGGAGTTGCGCTTTGGCTATGCGGATGATCTGAACATCTGGCGGGCGACCCACTCACTTGACAACAATGCCACCCTTCTCAGACAGGATATACAGAGTATTCTGATGTGGGGGGAGATAAACAAGGTGGCCTTCGCACCAGAGAAACTTGAGATGATCCATCTTACAAGAAAGCGACACAATGAGGCACCAGCAGTAGTTGTGTCTGAGGACCTCACTGTTCACCCTGTTACTGCCCCAGCTGGACAGGAGCCAGCACTTCGCTGGCTGGGTGTACACTTCGACAGAAGGCTCACCTGGAGACCACATGTCTCCACCCGGGCAAAGAAGGCAAGGGCCGTGGCCCAGCACATCCGGAGTCTGGGAAAGACCAGAGACGGGCCCCCAGCAGACGCTCTGCGGAAGGCGGTCACCACCTGCGTGGTTCCCTCACTGCTCTATGGCACAGAGGCCTGGTACGGCGGCCGCACGCAGCCAGCAAGGCACACGGGCAGGAGTGGGGAGGTTAGCTCCCGCCTGGGATGGCATGGGGGGACAGTTGAGAAGGTGCTTACTATGGCAGCCAGAGGGGTCCTCCCAGTTTTCCGTACAACGCCCATCGCTACCCTATACCGGGATGCTGGGCTCCCATCAGCAATGGTAGCTCTGGAGGAGGCCAAAATGCGATTCGCGACAAGGCTTCAGGTGGTGGATGAGAAGCACCCACTGGCTTCACGGATAGCACCTCCAATGATCACACGAGGAAGAGGGGCTGGAACCCGGCAGCGCTCAAAGACCAAGATCCAGCGGTTGGGGGCGCTGCTACCTGCAGTCAATAGACCCACACTTGCCATCCCACACTACTCAGAGGGATGCGGGACAGACCCCACAGAGGGTGTAGACAAAAAGAGTGCTGCTCAGGCATTCAAGAAATGGTGGAGAAGTCAACCCTCAACAGATCTATATGTTTTCTCAGATGGATCAGAACGGAGCCTTGACAACAGCAGGCAGGTGGGCTATGGCTTCATAGTCTATCAGGGAAATAAACAGCTGGCCAGCTTCTCAGCTGCGCTGAGCCCTATGTCACATGTGTTCGACGCTGAGGCAGTTGGTGCCTGCCGGGCATTAGAGTGCGCTGTGAAGCTCCTACCTTGTGTCACAGAGGACAGCAGCAACCCTCAGATCTGGCTCTGCCTCGACAACACCTCAGTCATCTGGGGCATTCTGGGCAGTGCAGCAGCCTCCTCAAACTGGGCCTACAACCGCTGCCATGAGCTCCTCAGACAGCACAATGTCGGCCTGAAATGGGCTCCTGGGCATATGGGGATAGAGGGCAATGAGGAAGCAGACCGCTTGGCTAAGCGGGCAGTCTCATCCACTGCAGCCCCAGCCTATGGTCTCGAGGCCACACCCACAGTCAGTGGGGTCCGCACAGTGGCCAAGCAGCTCAGCCAAGAGGCAAGGCGAAAGTGGTGGAGTGGAGCCTGTGGCAGGCTCTCTGACTGGTACCGGGGCTGGAGTTTCAGCAGGCCGACTGTGGAATACCAAGTGAAGGCCCCTCCGGAGCTCACCATGCCACGGCATGCCCTTCACCGCTGGCTCGCACTCCGCTCCTCTCATGGGGACTTCTCCTGGTACCACAGGCGTTTCCAGCATGCAGATGCGAGGCTCACCTGTGTCTGTGGACACAACAAGAGCCCAGAACATTTGGTGCTCTGTCGACACTCACAGAGGCACTTTCTTCACTGGCCCAAGAGGCCAGCAGCACGGCCACACAACCGGGCGACAGCTGTTGCCTATCTAGGGTCTCTGACCCCTACAGACTTTGTAGAACTGCTGGACTGCACGCAGTTCTACACACGGTACTGCACAAGGTAACGCAGCCGGCTGGCTGCAAACCATCTGACAACCCCCGCAGCAGTTCCACGAGGCCGGCCTGCTGAGTACACCCACGGTAGCTAGTGCAACTGCCAGGGACATCACAGTCTATGCAGACAGTACAGATAGCACAACTAGGCTCATCTGTCTCAATTAGCTGTGGTGTAATCAGTACAGTCTACGTGTCTGACTCAGCTGATATGGTTTTGACTGCCGGCATTGTATCTACGCGTGCTCTGCTTTGTTTTCCTCTCGTTTGCCCTTGTCTCTATCGGCTCAAATGCTTCTTCTTCCTTCTTTTCTTTGCTCTCTCTGTCATTCTCTGCTCTTTTCCTGTCACAACCTTCTTCAGTGCTCTCTCCTTCATTATTTATCTTGTCTGTCTTTCTTCTGGTTAGAAGCACAGACAGCTTTCTGATCAACTGAGAGAGGTATCCCTCTCTGCTCACTATAAAGCCTTCCAGGCACGGCAGCGGCGGTCCCCTCAGGGAACCACACTATAGCCCCACCATGAATGGCCATACGTCGGGCCAGAAAGTGGATGCGCAGCTCAGAGAAATCCTTTGCTATGAGCTGAGTCTTCTCAAGAGTTGCCACCTGGATTCTGGTTTTCTCCTCTCTGTGTACATTA